CTGTAAGGTAGATTGTTCTGAAAGAATAAGATCCAATGGGTCGAAGGGCTTTCTTCATCCAAACCAATCTTGTGACCATATATGCATACACACACACAAACCTTCATGCTTGCCTACATTACAAAAGATATACACTGTCATGAAAAACATACACTGTATATATATATATATATATATATCTTACACACACGTTCTGTATAAATATATACACATACTGACAAACACTGTAAGAAAGCAACAAATTATTTTTGGGCCACCCAAACTTCTGTAAAGAAAAATTTGAAGTTTGGTTGGCACTGCTCTTTTGCTCTAAGATGATGCACACAACTTCTCCCTTCAAGGGAGGAAACTGAATTAGTGAGGGGGGAGGGCAGGGGGAAAAAAAATGTCCAAGCTATGTTCTGTTCTTTGTTAATCTTGGTATCACAAATAGGCACCATCTGACTATTGATTTATGGAATTTCTACTGTAGTAATTAGTTCTGTGTTGGCTTTATTCACCAATTAAAATGGCAAAATTGAGTTCAAGGAGATCAGTTAATTTTGGTTCACCCATATTCAATGTGGCCTCCAGCTTTAAACTTGATTGATCTTTATATTTGAAAACATGCACCCTATTATCTTGGGCTTTTTTTTCAGATCAGTAAAAAATGTACCTGGCATGAAACACATCCAGTGTACTATAGTATCATTTGCTTCTGACATTGCGATAAAAATAATACACAATAACAGTATTATTCCCGAAGACAGTGCCTGGTTTTAGTTTTAATGCAATTTTTTAAAAATGCAATTAAACTGTTTAAAAATACTGACAATTATCCTGATTTTATTCTATTGTATAGTTTCAAATAGATTTTTCTATCTGGAGAGACGGAGGGGGTCTATAAAGAAATCACATTTATGTAAGTAACCAACTATGTGGATATAAAAATAAGCCAGACTGGATCATGATTAAACTAACAAGATAAAGTTGAAAATTTCAAGACTCTAATTTCCAAGAACAGTGTGGCTTTCATTTTCATTAGTGCTTCCCAAATAAACATCAACTATAAATGCCTGCCTTTTATTTATAGTTACTGAAGACAATGGTTTCATTCAATAGCTTTCAAAATGCTTGAACCTAATCAAGTTTCTCCACCCAATATATGTTTCGAATTAGTGGTCAAATAGTTACTCCTTGAATTGCATCATCATTCCCCATATTGAATTGTTCTGCTTTCTTAAGACAAATCCGAATTTGAAGAAGGAAATATTGTAATAATTCTATCTTACAAACACATATGCTGAAACGTCTTGAAGTGCTTTGCAATTAATTGCTGTCAAGTGCACAGAGACTGTGTTCAGAGCAAACACTAAAAGCAATACTCCTTTAAAACCGCATTACACAACATTAACTAGTTAGAATCCTTATGAATACAACCTAACAAAACAACAGTTATACATGATTGAAAATCCACCCACATTTAGAAATTTAGCACCCACATACAGTGTAATACCAGCAAGTGAGCTTTAAAGAGCTGGCCAGACACTGTATTATGTCAAAACATGTCCTTTGAAGCTTTTCATGGAACCACAAGATACAATAATCCTAACTACATCAAAGAATAGATATTTTCACCATTGAATAATTTAAGACTGAATTAGAATTTGCAGAATAACATTGCTCTTAACTTTATAAACCCGTTAAGCTTTAATTTAGAGCCCCAACAGTTTTGGCAAAAAAAAACATGCATTGTTTACGCACTAGACTTGAAACTAAACTTAGAAAGTACTTAGCCGCAATTTACATTTGCATCTAGTCTTGAACTTTTTCACTTATTTGTTAAAGAACCATCGTATATACTAGTGTTCGTTGTCCACTGCAGTTTGTCACAGACAAGAATTATTTTTCCAGAAATGCAACTTTTTTTCAATCAAATAATTTTGCAGGGAAAGTTGCCAAATGCAATCATGTAAACACATCACTAATACTCAAATGATGTGCGTTATCCCTATACAGGCAGTCCCTTTTCTACTAATGCAAGTATTAATAGTGTGGTGGGGGAGAATAATATCAGGGCAGGATAATAAAATAATATTCCTTGCATTTGACGCAGACCTTCACTGTTTCAAAATATCTCAAAGTGCTTCACAGAATGTAGTGACTGGACTTATTTGTTGGAAAATTGCTTTTAAAGGGGTTGGCACAGACTTGATGGGCGCAATGGCCTTCTTCTGTGCTGTAAATGTCTATGGTCACATGGCAGCCAACTTGCACAGCACTGTCCTACAAAACAGTCATGAGGTGAATGACCCATTGACTGAAAAAAAGATTGTTGGCCATGGCAAGGATAACAATCCTAAAAAGTCGCTGCTCCAGGAATTGTGCCACTGGTTCTTGAACGTTCACCTGAACAATGGTTTCATGTTTCATTTGAAGGATGGCACCTCCAAGAGTGCAGGGCTCCCCAATAATAATAATCCTTGCATTTGATATAGTCACTGAGACATGAACGTGGGGCTTCACAGAATATATTGTAAAGTGAATTGACTGTAAATTTGTGAGCGAAACACAGTAGCCAATTGCTATATTAGTCTGTTAGCCTAGATCATGAGCTCAAAGCCCCCAACATGGGACTTGAATCCACAACTCTCTGATGCAGAGGCAAATTCCACTAACTGAACTGAACTGGCATCAGGTTCAATTGCAACACCCAGTTACATAACCACCCGATAATTGTCGTCCAGCCTCAGAATGGAGAAAGATTGATTGAATAAATTCCCATATCCTCAGTAAGTTAGTTGCTTCATAAAAATATTGCAGTGGAGTGTCAGTCTAAACGCAAACATAAATCCCAAAGTAGGGCTTGAACCAAGAACCTTCTGATCCAGGTAAACATGCTATCAATTAAACCAAGTTACCAGTCAATTATATGATTGAAATAAAAGGCAATTAGCTAAAGTGCCAGAAATTTCAAATAATGTTTAATTCGCCACAACTAAAAAACAATTACACATAAAATGACAATTTAATGCCATTTTTTTCCAGTCAGGAATTCATGTTTACCATGTTCCTCTCTTTCAATGTTGGTTTAATTTTCAATCACTGAACTAATTCCACAGCAAACTAGCATGGATAAACTCTAGCCAGAAGAGACTCGGTCGCAGCCTGATTCTATCACAAGTAAGTCACCTAAAAATAAGAGAGAAGAGTTAAACAATTTTCAAATAACACAATGGTGGATTTTATCAATCTACATTTCCACTGAAAAATATTGCAGGGGCTCTATCAAAGCTTGGGCTGGGTGGCAAGGGGTGGGGGGGAGCGCTGGGTGGCAAGGCACAGTAATGTCCCACAACATCAAGGATGTGATCAACCAATTTTCTGGAGGCTTGTTGGCCAGGACCCAGAAAGAAAGTCCTTTATCTATTTTTGAATAATGTCCTGGGTTCTTTAAGGTCCACTTGAACTGAGACGAGAACTCGAATTAACTTCTCATCCAAAGGATGGCTCTTCTGAAAATACAGCACCCTGCCCCATCACAGCATTATTGCTAGAATTTTGCAGTCCACAGCAATTTAACAGATGACAGGGGAGAAATTTTAAAGTGTTTATTACGCTGAATATCTTACTCATCTATAATAAGGATGCTCTTTGATTCTTTTAAATAGTCTCAGAGTCCCTGCGTCCTGTGATTTAGTGGTTTTGAAGCCAGGTAAATAAATGCTATCACAGTTGCCAGGCTTCCTAGCATTCCTTTCCTGAAATGAGTGGGATTCAGTTTGTTAAAGGCCCTGAATTAAATGAGCTCAGGGCTAGTCTGAACCTAATTCCCAGTTGGTAATATATCTACAGGAACAAAACACCCATCATTACACACCAAGTGAAACTCTCAAACAAGCCACAAAGCAACTGATGTGGGAAATGGAAATGTCACCGAATCAGTAAAGTAGTGCTCATCTGAAGCTGTGGTCGATTGTCAGATCAATGTGATGGGAGCTTTATGCTGCCTGTACGACACATTCTACGTGACCCAAGTGCCTCATTATAGACACAAATTGAGCAAATGTTCTATTCCCCAGGACTGATAGCAATCATTTCGATGTGCAAAACATTTCATTAAATTTATAAAACTGGAGCACAGTAAACGTACATTAATTTCTACACATAATTAGCTGACTCGAGTGCCAATTATAGCTATACTTAGAGCTGTATAATTAGTATGGATTTACTGTACTTCTCAGTGGAAGAATAAATGCTGTGAAATCCCCCAAATTCAAACAACAACAAAATTATAAAGGTAACGTAAGGAGCTGACAGACTTCACAAGAAGTTCGGACAAAGAAGACCCTTTGGTCCATTTGATTTAATCTGTCCAGAATAAGCATCCTACCATCTTCCTATTACAGCATCAAGCAATTAATTAATGAGTGCATGGTCCTGGCCTAAGGCACCATTCCTAGTTTCCTATTACAGCTGTTAATTAATTAATTACAAGATATGTTCACTGCATTCCCCTCCATGGTGGCCTAATGCTGTGCAATGCTTCCTTCAACTGGAAAGAGAGACCATTACCTCTGTGTTTTGCAGATACTAATGCATTTATAACCCAAAGAGAATGTCAGATTTTCTCCATTCACCACTTCCCACCCAAACCCAGGCTAGAACAGTTACTTTTCCATGAAGCAGCTCAACTAGTTTGACATTAATCAGCAGATAGATCCAATTGATTCACTCACTCAAACCTGCAACTATCTGTCTGGGTGAACAGAAGGGTTGCAATTTATAGCTATTAAGCACAATAGTACTGCTGCAACTCTGACTGGGCTACACTGATTTCTCATTGAATGTCTCCACAACAGCAAGGGAGGAAGGAAGTTAGAGGTTGTTGACCAAAGGCACACTGAAAGATGGCTTTTTTAAGAGAAGCAATTCAAAACCACTATTGGCACAAATAAAAAAAATTACTTTCAAAAGTTGAACAGCAGAAACTTTCACTACAGTGGTGAGATTATCATTACCTGGCTTTCGTTTCAGTTGCTCCATCCACAGTTCCTGGGTTACACTGGCAAGGTAGAGTGCTGCTCCTGTTGATGTAGTGGAACAGTCTGAATCAGCTTGAGAACAGGTTAATGCATTCAGTAGTTGCAAATGTAAACACAATGCAGTGCTATGCAAAGTACAGGACCATGGAACGTCCTCCCAACGTGAAAGGAGCTACACAAATGTAATTTGTTCTTCTGAACAGATGCGTGCGGATGACACCCAACTCTATCTTTCTGCCTCCACCCTCAAATCCAGGACCACTGGTGTCCTGACAGACTGCCTGTCGGACATCAAGTCCTGGATGAGGGCAAACTTCCTACAGCTGAATGTGAACGAGACTGAGGCCCTCCTGATTGGCTCGCACCAGCGCCTCAGCACCTCAGGCTCTGGCAGCACCAACCTCCATGGTTACACATTTCAACTCACCAAAGCCAGTCAGGAACCTCGGTGTCTTGTTCGACCCTCAACTGTCTTTTCTCCCCCAAATTCAAGCCATGACCCACTCTGCCTTCCCTCACCTCCGTAACATCGCCCGCCTCTGCCACTCCCTCACCCCTCAGGCCGCTGAAACTCTTGTTCATGCCTTCATCACCTCCAGGCTCGACTATGCAAACGCCCTGCTTGTTGGCCTTCCCAACTCCTCCCTCCACAGACTGCAGATAATCCAGAACTCTGCAGCCCGTGTCTTCTCCCACACCAAACTCCGTGACCCCATCTCCCCCACTCTTACCCAACACCATTGGCTCCCTATCCTTCAGAGGATCCAGTTCAAGATCCTGGTCCTCACATGCAACGCCCTCCATGGCCTCACCCCACCCAACCTCTGCGACCTTCTAACCCCCTACCAACCCGCCCGTTCCCTCCACTCAGCCGGCTCTGGCCTGCTCCACGTTCCCCGACCCACTCACCCCACCATTGGCGGGAGAGCCTTCAGCCACTCTGCCCCCAACCTCTGGAATTCCATCCCCCAGTCACTTGGCCTCGCCCCTTCCTTAGCCTTCTTCAAGTCCCACCTCAAGACCCTCCTCTTTGACCATGCCATCAGCCTTCCCCTCCCTTAGGCCCCCCACCCCAACCCCAGCTTGAGTCTGAAATGCTATACTCTGTCCAGCGCCTTGGGACGTCCTCTCGACGTGAAAGGCGTTATACAAATGTAATCTTGTTGTGTTTTAAAAATCTTACAGTACAGCAAAATGTAGTTCTGGGCAATCTCTAGATAATCTAATTAACCTTGAAAATCTGGTTTTCCAGACTATTTGGCTGCTCGTGGATTACTCCGAGATACAATGGACTCCCTTGTTTTTCGTCTCCTGTGCAAGGGTCAACTGGCCGCTGGTGCATCAGGTAGTTCAGGACATCAACATAACCCAATTCTGTACTCTGCTGAACTCTGAGAACAAGGTGAAACATTTTCAGTCAGGGAAGGGAAAATGACATTAAAAAACAGCACTTAGAACTCCAAGAGATTAGGACTATCCACCTTTTTTTTAGGTCTCAATGATAAGGGCTCATAGCCAGTGATTTAGAATGGGACTTTTTTTTAAAAATAGGAAATCATAATGTACATCACTCAGACTTGTGGGAACTCCGTTCCAAAGAATTTTCCGAATAGGATTCCTATATATTGGAATGATTTACTTCCAAGAGTCCCCACTCCTTACAAAATAATCCTATTGCTGCGTATTATAACCCCAATATACTTCATTGCAAAATGCACTGACTTAGCAAATGTAATATTAAATGCGTGGATCAGCAACAAGAAGGGCTTCAATAACTTAAATGAATGCAGAATGGCAAACTTAAAATGGAAACCACCCAATATTGTACAGGAATCAAGAGCTAAACTGGTGTTTGAGATGTGTTAAGTAATAAAACTGATGCAATTCAGTGCAACACACGCAGTAGTTGGCCACAAAGCCTGAAACAATTTGAAATAGAAAGTCACGATTGTTAAAGTTTTTGAATTTTTTTTACTCTTCTGCACTTTGGATCCATAATACTAAAGGATTATGGATTAGTTTTAATCCAGCATCATTACTGTAGTTATATAAGTGTGTAAGTGCAAACATTCTGCTCTCTCGTTGGAACAAGCTCAAAAAGGATTCAATTCAAAAAAAGCTACTCAGATCCTTGTAGTAAAAGGAATGAACTTTGGCATTACCAGTAAGCAAGGAGGCTGCAACAATAGCCTAACAGTCTTCTAACTGTGTAAACGAGTACATGGTCAAGTTAATCCCACGTGATCTGAAAGCTGTTCAATATGATTTCACATCTCTCTTTACCATGGCAAAATTGTCTCTCCTCCTAAGGCTGTTGACTTACACAGGAGGTATAATTCCACAACAGCCTTCCCCTTACAGCAAAGAAAACACTGGTTGATTTTCTCTCTTCCTATCCAGAGGCACCAAAGTTGGAGCTTGCCACAAATTGCCACCCTGGCCAACATCATCAAATTAACCACAGAAAGGAGACTGAACCTGGAACTATTACACACAGAGCCAGCCACGAGAAGAAAACTCGCTAATAGTGATATGTAGTAAAAGTATGAAAAAAAAGTTTTAGACAGACGACTCAACTTACAAATTAATTGCATTAACAATTTCCTTCCTTTCTGGATTTCGGTGCAGGAACATTTCTATTGCCCTTGAAAGAGTTAAAAGTACATTCAAATAAAAACAGAAAACATTTAATCCCGTTGGGATGCAGTCGTGGGATCTTCTGATACATTCTCTCTGGTTTCCTGTTGGACTTCATTCTTTGGCATTTCCTATTTGTTTAATATTTCTATTTTTTTTGGCTCACATTCCCGCTTTCCTTTGCACTCATTTTTTTTTAAAAAAAGAAACCTCCAAAATCTCAGGAAAAAGCTAAAAATCTATTAAACAAGCATAGGAAACAACGAACAATACTACCTCAGATGTGTCTAAATTCTTACTGATGCACTCTTAGGGCACAGTGTGGTTCATTTAATCCTGTCGTTTCCCAGAGCTACCTGTTGTGATCGACTTCAGTAAGTTGTAGTTGCAGTGAAGGAAGAAACAGCGCAGGAAGAAAAATATTCACGTTTCTCTGCATGATGAATTTCCAATATAAATGCAAGTTGTTGTTGTTGATGAGTTTCCAAAGCTCCCCCCAGGCACGTTATAGTGCCACTCCTTGAGCTGTTGCAGGTTTAATCGGAGTACCAATTGAAGACCAAAAATTGGCTTTGGTGACTCTGGGTTTCATATTCCCCTTTCTTTTAAATAATACAATTCTTACATTTAATATTGTGTCCGATCTTGCTGAAAACTCAAGAGTTATTTACACAATGAGCTACTTTCAAATGTAGTTACAGGTATGTAGGCAAGTGGAGCAGCAAATCTCCATCAGCAAAATCCTGTCAACTACAATGTGACATGCCAACCATTGTTTTTTTTAATTTATTTGTTGGAGGGAGAAATAGTAGCCAGGACAATGGAACTCCTCGCTCTTATTCCAAAAAGTGCTGAGAGATCTTCAACATGCACCAAAATACTATGATAGGGCTTCAATGTTTAACAGCTCATCTGAAGGTTGGCAACTTCATCAATGAGGTGCTCCCCCAATATGCACTGGGAGTATCAAGCTGGGTTACGAGCCATGTTCTGGCACGGAGTAAGAAACTACAATCTTCTGAGATTGCTACCAACTGAGCCAAACGGATACCTGTTCAGACCACTTCAGGCATTTCTCCTGCCCCCTTGCTTCCTCTTGTCTCAGACACTGATTAATGTTCTTCTTGTTACTCCACTCCTTGCTTTTAGCTTGATAATTCCATCTTGGCATCAAATCCTTCCCTTTCTGATGGCCAGGGATTCTCCACCTCACCCACTGTTATCAATCTGTCACTGTCCTTCTGTTACAAGACTGTTTTCTTCACTGAAATCAGATGGAAATGCCACTGTCCTAAACGCTGAAATAACTAAACCTTTAAGATTTTATGATGGGATGATGGGAGGAAACCACGAAGTACAGATCAAAAGGCACATCACTATTATATTATAATAATCCTTGCATTTGATGTAGCGCTTTTCACATCTTCTAGACGTCTCAAAGCGCTTCACAGAACATACCATAAAGTGAATTGACTGTATATTTGTGGGCGAAACACAGCAGCCAATTGAGTACAACAGTGTTCCACCCCCGGAAAAGCGATCCACCAATCAACTAAAAACTGGGTTCCGACTTACTGCTTGGTAAACAAACACATGTAGGTAGAGTAAGGAAACTTGCCCAACATTTTGCCCTGCCGGGAATCGAGAGGCAAGTGCTGCTCTAACCACTGAGCTGCAGGACTCCCATCATCAGCAGTCTCATGTTCTAGCCCCTTTGCAGGCAATTATTATAAGCCAGGATTCCTGGGTGCAAGGATCACCAGGGAAAAGGGTGCAATCCCACTATAACAGGACAGCAAGTTACAGTATTCTCAGTGGTACTATTCCACAGTGCTCTCAGATTCTCTCTCCTTCCTCTTCTGAATGCAATGACTCATGCTGCAGCACACAGCAGTTCCACAGTCACAGAAAAGGCCCTCAACACAGAGCGGCTTCATTGCAGTGGGGCCTCCTGTCGGAAACGAAAGGAAATGCTTTTGCTCTCTGCTAAAATAAACAAATCTCTGGTTAAAAAATAGACCAAGCAATAGTATTCAGTGTTCAAATGGCAGCTGAGCAGAATTTCTCAGACTATATATTTTTCAAGGCTGGCCTTAGAAGGCGCTCACTGATCAAGTCCTGTAGCTCAGTGGTTAGAGCACTCGCTTTGCAAATGAGAGACCTGAGTTCAATTCCAGGCAGAGGGCGAAACCTTGGGCAAGTTTCCTTACTCCACACAGAGCCTAATAATAATCCCTCCAAAACCAAAACCAATAATTAAATTGGTCATTTTCAATCTACGACTGTTTGTGGGACATTGCTGTGCGCAATTGGCTGCCGCGTTCGCCCACAAATATAGTCAATTCATTTTACAGTGTGTTCTGTGAAGCGCTTTGGGATGTCCTCCTGACGTGAAAAGCGCTATATCAAATGCAAGGATTATTATTATTATAGTTCAAAATCCTGGTTCTCACCTTCAAAGCTCTCCATGGTCTTGCTCCCCCCTATCTCTGCGACCTCCTAACCCTCTACCATCCTGTTCGCTCCCTCCACTCAGCGGGCTCCAGCCTGTTTCATGTCCCCCTCCTTACTCACCCCACTATTGGCGGGTCTTCCGCTACTGTACCCCACCTTCTGGAACTTCATCCCACAGTTTATGCTGTGAAAAGCTTTGAGAGGTCTATATATCAAATGCAAGGATTATTATTATTATAATCACTATATATTGAACAGTCTTCCCCCACTGGAATGTACACATGCACAGATGTTAAGAGAGGGCAGGATCAGGCTGGGCTGAAATAGGTCCCACTACCAACATTTTATGTCAAACCATGAACAATGACCACTTGGGTGAGATGCCAGGGGGGTCCATTTACCAATTGTGGAACTGAACTCCAAGACACATTTACACTTTCAGAGAGTGTGTGTGTGTGTGTGTGGAGGGGGGTGGCGGTTAAACCAAATGGAAGTACATTACAACAATAAGAATCTTTACATTTCATGTAGGGCCTTACCTCTTTGAAATGTCCGAAAACTCAAGTTTTCCGTAAAGTTTAGCAATTGTAGATTTGTCCAACGAACAGCCATAAAATGTGAATGCACATTTTTTTTTAAAATCAGGGGAATTGTTGGCCAGGACCCTGGAGAAACTCCCTTCTCTTTTTGAACGGTGCCACGGGATCTTTATTGTCTACCTGAACAGGCAGACGGGGCCTCGGTTTAATTACTCTCCTCTAGTATTGCATTGGAGTGTCAGCCTAGATTATAGATTATAAACTCAATGTCCTGACATGGGGCTTGAACCGATAACCTTCTAACTCGGAGCCACTTGGGTGAGATGATATTGTGAATACAGACAAGAGATATCTTCCATACAAACTGCAAGCATGGAAACATCAGAGCATAACACCAGTTTGGATTGAAGCTCAACTATGCTTTGATTATAGCTCACCTATGTCTGAGAACTTCCATTTTCTGTTTGCCACAAGTAGAAGCTTCGCTGACGACCTGTGGGTCTAATGATCTTGGAGGCTGCGAATTACTGACAAACGACCGATAAAACTGAAATTCAATGCAGCGACATGAAATGTTAAAATGGAAAGAGTTAATTGCTGTGGTCCACATCTAGACTGTTAGATCAAAACTCTTCTCAAAGTATTGTGGTGAACAAACAGCAACATGTAAGATTGCACAAAAAACAGCTTCAGATTAAGAATGAAGTCAACCATACTCAGTATTTGGTTCTTACCCACCTGGCCTTGACTTGACTGCAATACTGAGTAACTGCTCTGAATCACTACAATATTGAGTAACAGCGTTCTGAATCAAGGTTGTGATTAAGTACAGGGCTGTGACTGAGCGACAGTGCTCTGGGGCCCTTATGCTACACTCACTGTATTACAATGTTCATTGTCGGTTTGATTTGGAAAGAATCACCAAACCACAATCTCTGAACTCTGCCTTAGGCACATTCCACCAATACCAGTCAAATGTACCAAACTCTGTATGATTCTCATTGTGCACATCTATAAGGACATTGTGAAACAAATAATATTGTGTAAAACATACCTATCCCTCAACTCGAGTGTGTAAATCTTTTACAAATGTAAAAATAGATTAAAAATAAATAATACAAAAAGTTATAATTTGAATACGATTCATTCCAACTGATCACATTAAAAAAAACTGTACACAAGACAAGGGGAGACACAGTTAGGAAGTGTTGAGAAATTAATCTAGCACTGAAGAGCCATCTCCACTCCAATCTATCTACTTATCCACCTCTCAAAATGTTTTATTCAAACCATTTTGATCATTCAATGAAAACTCAGTTGTAGTTATACAACCAGAGCAGTTTTATAATGTGTTAGATATATTATTTATAATATTTTATATCATATTAAAACTGTAGGCATCGTAACAGTTTGAAGCATTGGATGGATTCTTAAAGAGGAACATTGAAGGAGAGCAGAAGGGATGAGATTTGCTTCTATCAAGAAAAACACGAGCACCAACTAGATACAACAATCATTGCATTTCACATCGCGCATACAAGCGCTTCACAACGTTTCTGCAAAAGTGTGACTGGGTATTTGTAGGCTTCAAACAATGCTCATCCGGTTATGAGAGATGATGGAGTACATAGCTGCCACGATTGGCTTTGATTTCTGATCTGCAGATCCCCACCGCATGATCACATCGACAATCAGCAGTACAATTAGTGGAGGTCAAGGAGTACGTGTATATATACACTCACACACACACAAAATGGCTCTGGAGATCTCAGTCATGGTAGTGGTACAACCAAATTGTAAAGCAACATTAAACTTCTCTAAAGAACTCCCTTCAGAATTTGTTTTTAAAAGAAATGATTCTGTTGTCACAGGCAGCCTGGGGAGCATACAGAACAGAAAGCTGCAGGTTGGATCTTAGTTTTGTGCTGCTTTAAGTGGAGTGGGAAGGAGGTCAGGGGGGGAAAGAGAATAGGCATTAACAGGAAGCACCATGATCAGCCTCAGCTCCCAAGATAGAACAGTTGTGACGGGAAGAGAGAAAACAGATAGGATTCCTAATGCCAATTGCTATCCAGTGATTTCTGCTGCAAACTGAAGGTGTATAAAATTCAGGAGCCTGAATGCATTCCTCATCCCTCCCCCGTCCTGGGGTTGAACAACAAGCAGACATTCACTAGGGTCAACCACCTTCAAGAGAGGACAGTGAAAAAAATGGTGAGCAGAAAAATTAATCTGAGTACGTTTTTGTCCTTTATTGTATTCATGAGTAATAACTCTTGTATTTGATATAGCACCTATAAACGCTGAAATGTCAAAGCGTTTCACAAGGTATTCTGTAAAGCTGCAGTGACTGTATTTGTAGGTGAAAATCAAGAAAAATTTTATTGAACACTGTAGGTAGGGAACACACAGTAATGGATATGGCTCCACCAATGTGACCACCATAAAGAGCAGCAATTCTGTAAGGAAGCAGCAGTTTGACAGTTGACATTTTGCTCCAGCGACGAGACAGCTGAAAATTTCCACCTAAAATCTGTATCAACAAGCAATAAATATGAAATCTTAAATCTACATTAAATAACACTTTATTTGTTCCCCTTATAGACTGCTCGGCACCTCCATAGCTTTCTTCAGAGAGCAAGGCTGGATGTAGAGTTTACACCACCACTACCACAACAGCCGATTATACTGAACTCCATAAATCACCAGCTGTGGCACTGGCTATGTTAACCATGCAATTAATTCATTCATTCTTTCAGCAGCTTATTGAAGCAGAACCAATAATTCTGCACATTGACTAATGTTTTGAGCGGATTCAAGTTCAAAGGCTGAAATGGTATAATCCTGATTTGGGGGGTGGGTTACAATGCTCATCATTCACAGTGTAAGGAGTGGATTGAGAGACGAGTCTCAATTCGACTCGAGCTCCGTTGCGGAAGCGAGTTGCAGAGTGGAGGAGGCTGCAGCATCTCTGGCAAAGAGGGTGGGAGTGTTAGAAAACTGGAGGAAAACCTTGACAGGCAGTATAGAAAATAATATCCTGAGGAGCATCGAAACATACCCCCATCTCAGCTCAAAGTGTCAGGCCCAGGCACTAAACAAAAGGGGATTAAAACAAAGGAAATCGATCCCCAAAACTGCTCCTCTCCTGTAAAAATTCTGGAATTGAGATGCACCGCATTTGCCAGTTCCTTCTGTAACAGGAGCAAAGCAGACAATGCAAAGGGTCTTGGTTTCTTTTGAGCCGTGATTAAAATGAAACTCCAGCCTCAAAGGGGACAGGCTTGGTGTTTCTATGGATGTGACTATGGAGCACATGGAGATGATCTCACCAGCAAGGATTGTTCCAATCCCAACAGCAACAAGACGTATCTTTTATTAAAAGCATTCACAGCAATCCAATTTTCAGGCCACACACGTTAGGTCTTCCATTTCCCATTTATTCAGAGGAAGGACAGTCCCCAGAGGATAGTTCCCTTGCAAATGTATACTTGGAATAGCTTCGCCCAATTCAGTTCCACTGTGTGTAACACCATCACTTCTCAAACCTGACGTTACCCATGTGACTCATGCCTTGCAAAGAATCTATTCTAAAACTATTTATGAAGCATTCACCAATTCTCCACCCAGCTGTTGTTATCCCAGATGCCTTTCTTGAGGGGGGAAAACACGGGGGGTTAGGATGGGAGGGAAAGAAATAGGTCAGAGATGCAGTCAATGGAGAGCTTTTCAGCTGCCTCTCACGTAAAGGTTACTAGAACCCTTAAGTGTGAGAGAGGGACACTTAAATAACATCTAAAAATACAATGGTATTACAATGGCAAATTCACCTTTTTGATGCACAAACATTAAAAAAAATAGTTTTAAGCATTTCCCACAAGCAATAATGTTACTTGTGTAAAAACCCATACACAAATCGAGCCAATGTTATTTGCTATTGTTTTTGTGCTGCAGTTCTTTTAATTTACCTTAACTACTGCAAGCCAAAGTGTTGCCAGCACAAAGGCCCTTATTGCACGTGTCCACTGGGCTGCGTGTGGACTGCGAGTGGAGTACTTCACATCGCTCAGAAGTCCATTCAATTCCACTGTCCTCTCCGAACTCATTAGATCGAGGTGATCCAGGAACACAGACAGCCTGTTGCTTTCCAAAATAGTTTGTGGATACTCCCAGAAGGTGAAAGAGAGTATGGCATCCAGGTCACGAAGCTGTATCTTCCCGGCACACAATCCACGTGCAAATGCAAAACACAACTGGTCTTTGAGGATCCCTCGCTCCAGGTGAAGCAGCTTCATCTTCTGATTGTGCGGTATCTCAGACAACCAAAAGTAAGCAAACCTCACAAAATTCTCTCCGGCGTTGCACCATTCTTTCAGATCCTTTAAAGCTCTACTGCCTCTCCGCAGCCAGTCACTTAGCACTGCACTGTCACCGTATACAAAGTTTTCATCTAGAAGTCCCTTTTGGCCTGCTGCATCTGCACTATTATGCGTCATGAGAGGTACTACTGACTCAGTGAACGGACAAACTACTGGCCTCACTTGCTCACTTAGAGACGGGGGCTCACTTCCACCAATATGGGGCAGTGGGACATCCCTGGTTGCAACGCCACTTTGGAGTCTTAAAGGGAAGGTCACTCCGTGCAGCTGATTATAGATGCCACCATCAGATCTCCGCGTGCAACGTGTATTACCATTGGGATCTCTGGGAGCATTATCCTGATCTGTACCTTCAGTGGGCGAAGAGCATTCACCACCTTCTTCCAACACAAGACTTGAAATGCAGGTATTCCTCAGAGATTTCATACTGAGCATATTCCCAGGCTGACTCATCAGGTATCGGCAGGAAAGTTGGTGTTTTACCTACTAAGCGGAAACAGTCCAGGACTCAATTATTCTGGGAAATATGTTCCCTCAAAGCCAATTAATGGATTTCAATATGAACCTATAGAGAGAAAGCACAAAAGAACAATTTGCCTTAATATAAATACTTCAATATAAATCACATTTGTCTGATATGGACAAAAACAGTCACTACACTTGACAGTACTTCTGAAGTACTTTTAAATGCTTCAATGTGAGAAGATACCACACCGAATGCAAGGATAAATATACAGTATATACATTTTAACTGATATTTCTGTTTTTCTCTGCCAAAATTTTCCCCAACTCATTTGAGCAGTTTTTCCTCTGGTACCTTGCCCATATTCTTCACGTGCAAGAACATGTATGGCTATTTGACTTGAAGGGGCATTGCAGCTGAACATCCATTCACAGAACCTAGAAAGGAGCCACAAATTGAAATTGCCTCCCTCCATGTCCCTGCATTACAACTTGAATTTAGACATCTTTCACATAGGTTTCACAGAAACAGAGACAGAGTGTAAATAATCAATGGGTTGAGAGGAGGGTCCCAAGAGGGTTAGAACTGAAAGCTATTTCCTGCTAACAGTTCTATATAGGGCTTTTATTGGGATCCAATAACAAAGTAATGAACTTTATGACCCCTGTGATTGCAGAAATGGTGCAAGGAACCAACAACCAATTGAATCACTACCTCCAGTAAACACCGATTGCTACGAGAGCATGGAATGTATCTGCGAACCTTTACGCTCCAATAAACACAAGTACTTTATTTTGACGAATCGATCTGTATTGAGCACTCCATCCTTCCGAGTGCATGTGCCCGTCGAGGGTTACCTTCCATCTTAAACGTGCGATCGAGGGAAAATTTCAGCGCATTCTGTGAAGCGCTTCGAGACGTCTCAACGTCGTGATGAGGCACGATATCAAATGCGAGGATTATTGCTACTATTATTATTATTATACACCGATACAAAGTTTTAAACAAAACAGACCCAAGTCAATATCAGAAGGGTGATAATAACAATAATAATAATAACCCTCGCATTTGATATCGGGCCTTATCACATCTTCAAGATGACTCAAAAGCGCTTCACCGAATATACTGCAGAGCGAACCGACTGTAATTTGTGGGCTCACGGCAACACGTTGCATTTTTGCAGCGCCCCTCACGCGGTGGGGGTGGACGGTGGGTGGGGGGAGGGGGGGAGGGGGGGGTTAGCGTCCCGGGAGCGCTGACAGGAGGGACCGCAGCCGCGACGAGACCCGTTAACCGTCTCGGACCCACCTGAAGGCGGACGTTGAGCATCATCGAGGCAATGAGGTAGAGGTAGGGGAAGCGGAGGCGCAGTCTCCAGGCCAAGTCAAAGAACGTCAGCAGCGTCCGCGTCAGCCCCTTGGAGAAGACGCCGTAGGAAGCGGCGGCCGAGCCGGAGAACCTGAGCGCCAGGTGGGACAGGCCCGCCATGCAGCCTGGGGCTGGGAGGGGGAGTGGGGGGGGGGGGGGGTAAGAGAGTCAGCGGCCCGGCCCGGCCCGAGCGCAGGAGGCCTCGCAAAGAGCAGCAGCGCTTTTCCGCTCCTCGCCGCCGCCGCCGCCTGTCACCATCTCTCGGCGGCCCCGGTCCCGAGAGGCCGAACCGAGCTTCCGCTTCACCTTCCGCTGACTTCCGGCACAATCACTTCCGGGTTACAGGTCAATCAGCCTTTGACCGGACACCGCCTCTCATGCACTCACTCACTCACACACACACACACACACGGGTGGTTGGGGGGAGGGGGAGGGGGCAAAGGGCAGCAGCAGCAGCACCGACACCGACTCTCTCCTCTCCTTCTCTATGTGCAGCTGTTCTCTATGTGCAATCGGGACGCGTTTCCACCTCTGGTGACACTTTGCAGCGTATTTTGCTTCAAAGCAAATCAAAACAGGACGCCTGTAACGTCGTCATAATGCCACCAGGGGGACGGGCACCGGGGTGGGGTGGGGGGGGGGGATGGTGTTTTTTTATTTTTTTTAACCCCCCCCCCACCCCCCACCCCAAAAAAAAAGGACAAGTCAACGGCAAAACGAAAGCGAATTTTTCACGGCTGCGATTGTCCATTTGCACTGGCGGCCGTCCCCCCCCGAATACATCGGACGAGTTGCCGAGGTTTCGCCGTTAAGTCTCTTGCCCGTAAGATAATAAATGTAATAACAATCCCTGCGTTCGATATAGCGCCCTGTCACGTCTTTTGAGACGCCTCGAAGGTTATTGATTGCCCGTTGGGTTGGATGATAAAACAATAGTGGTCATCCTCGCATGTGGCGCGGAGACGTGTCGGGTTGTGGCGACCTATCTCAAAGCGCTTTGCGCGCATCGCACAATAAACGCCTCCAAACATTTCACAGGGTTTTCCCGCAAAAGTTGCGGTGACGACTCGTCGACAAATCCGCCCAGGAAGGTATAATATTTCTGCGAAGGTTTTGTTTCACAAAAGTGGTGGGCGCGTCGGTCACTCAAACGTTGCCTATTCCTGAGCGAATGCAATACAGTAAAACAAACTCACGCAAATCGGATCCGTATAAATCCTATAATCTATGATAATAATCCTTGCATTTGATATAATAATAATAATAATAATAATAATAATAATAATACAGGGCCTTATCACGTCATCGATTCGTCTCAAAACGCTTCGCGGAATATACTGTGAAGTGAATTGACTGTGCATTTCGTGGGCGAAATGTACATAGGGCCCAAGTCTGGTTCCAAGAGTTTAAACTCTATGCAATTTCTATTCTATTGATATAACTCCCACTTCCCACGAATCACTCCGCGTAATGGTCCCAACTGATACGACTTACGCGAGGTGTCAGCGTGAAGCGGGTGGGACGTGGGCGAGGCGGACGGAACACGACGAGGGGGGCCGCCGGGTGGCGCCCGAGGGAAGCCGCAGTAACCGCTGGGGGCCGCGGGGCGGCGCTGCAGTTGGATCGCGGCCCAGTTCCTGACACGGGAGCGGCCGGAAGTCAGTCAGTGAGCGAGAGAGAGAGACAGAGAGAGAGACAGACAGTGAAGCTCAGGGCGGCGGCGGCGACGACGACAACAACACCACCGAAGTTGGACGCTGTAGTGAGAGGGAGAAGAGAGGAAAGGGCCGCACTCGACGCTGACCTCGGGCCCCAATGCAGGCGATCAAGTGTGTGGTTGTGGGCGACGGGTGAGTTTCGCACTGGCTCCGCGCTTCCCTCAGCCTCTCTCTCTCTCTCTCTCTCTCTCTCCCCCTCACCGCCGCCGCCTCCTCTCGAGGGCCCTGTGGGCGGATGAGTTTCCAGAAAGTTCGCTCCTCGTCCTTCACTTTCAATGAAAGTTTGTAGACGACTCAAAACTGGTCGTCGAGGGCGAGAAACAGCCGCTCGTCAACAGGCCGACACGTTACCCCCCCCCCCCCCCCATCACCCCCCTCCTCCCCTCCCCCATCACCCCCCCCCTCCCCTCCCCATCACACCCCCTACCCCATCACCCATCACACCCCCTCCCCTCCCCCATCACCCCCCTCCTCCCCTCCCCCATCACCCCCCTCCTCCCCTCCCCTTCACCCCCTCCCCCATCACCCCCCACTCCCCTCCCCCATCACCCCCCTCCTCCCCTCCCCCATCACCCCCCTCCTCCCCTCCCCCTTCACCCCTCCTCCCCTCCCCCATCACCCCCTACCCCATCACCCCCCCATCACCCCCCTCCTCCCCTCCCCCATCACCCCCTCCTCCCCTCCCCCATCACCCCCCCCTCCCCTCCCCCATCACCCCCCTACCCCATCACCCCCCCTCCCCCATCACCCCCCACTCCCCATCACCCCCCCTCCCCCATCACCCCCCCTCCCCCATCACCCCCTCCCCCATCACCCCCCCCTCCCCCATCACCCCCCCCTCCCCATCACCCCCCCCCCTCCCCCATCACACCCCCTCCCCCATCACCCCCTCACCCCATCACCCCCCCTCCCCCATCACCCCCCCCCCCCCCCGAGTTCTCCACCCTTACCCCGAGTCTGGTGTCTCCTCTCGTCTATTCCCCAGTTTGCCTGTTTCTGAATCTCAGTCCATTAAGACAAAAATTAAGTCAGAATCCGCAGCCGTCCGTCCTCCCCACTAACGTCTTGTCATCGGTAATTTATATCTTAAGAAAAACTCAAGCAACGTGTGTTTGTATATACTCCCCCAGTCCGTTGCGTGTGGCCCCCCCCTTCCCTGGTCTGGGCCTGCCCCGCCCGGTCTGGGCCCGCCCGGTCTGGGGCCCGCCCGCCCGGTCTGGGCCGCCCGCCCGCCGGTCTGGGGCCCGCCCGCCCGCCCGGTCTGGGGCCCGCCCGCCCGCCCGGTCTGGGGCCCGCCCGCCCGGTCTGGGGCCCGCCCGCCCGGTCTGGGCCCCGCCCGCTCGGTCTGGGCCCCGCTCGGTCTGGGCCCGCCCACCCGGTCTGGCGCCTGAACCCCCCCCCCACCCGCCCAGTCTGGTGCCTGTCCCCCCCGCCCGCCTGCCCGGTCTGGCACCCGCGCTGGGTCTGCTGTACATGCCCCCCCCCCACCACCGGTCTGGTGAGCGTGTCCCATTCTGGTGTGTGCCCCCCCGTCTGGTGTGTGCCCTCGCCCCACCAGGCTGGTGTGTGTCCCTCTCTTCCCCCCAGTCTAGTGTGTGCCCTCTCCCTCATCACCCCTCTTTTTGTCTGTTCCATTCTCTCTGTCTGTCAGGTCCCCCATCTTACACAGTTCAGTTGAAATCTGTATGTATATCACTGGACTCATGCCCTCCATCCCCAGCTGGCATTAAGTGTCTGGCTGATGTTTCTGGCAGGGTATTTCCATTTCATGGGTTGTTCATTTAACATGATTCTAATTTACTGAGCCCGACAGAAGCACAGCTCAGGTTTACGCAGTTCCTCTGCACCCGCATATGTGTGCATATATCCTACTTACAGCTTTTGACCATTGCCATCTGAGGAAGTGTGCAGACTGAAAATATGTTCACACCTGAGATGTAATAGAGTAGTTGCTATAGGTGTCACTTTAGCTTTCAGCTGTGTAAAGTTTAAAAAGTAAGTAAACAATGATGAGGAAATGGGAATTTTCTGTGTTTACTGATCAGGGACTTACTGGGCAGTTTTTCCCGGTCAGACAGGCAACTCTGATGTAATCATTTGCATTGTTGTCCGAACAGTCCATTGTTCCATTTTGTTATCATTTTGTTTATGACTTAACACTGGAGCCATTTGAAATGTAATGTGGCATGTGTGCAGTGTAATGAAAGGAAATGCTTTTACTGGAATTTGGATGGGAATCCAGTTGAGAAAGGTTTGGCATCACTAACTGCTTGATGTTGCAATATTCACAGTTCAAAGCTGATCCTGGGGTTGGAACTTGCACTATTTTTAATGATGCCGGTGAGAAGTGGACTCATTTAGAATACGTTACGTTTAAAAGTTGTTATTTGTCAATGGAAGCAATAGAAAGATTACATGACAAAGGAGGTCATTTGCTCCATTGTGACAAGTGATAATTGTGACTATCCCAAGCCACCCCCGGAGCTGTCTACTCCAATTGCATGTCCAAGCTGCTTAGACTATTCTGCCTTTCCTCGCGCCTATTTTTATAGTGCCATTTTTATATGCAGGAACATTCTTGAGGCATTTTGTCAAGTTTAGTAAGTCCTTTTGCAGAGAACTGTGGCAGCCATTTTGAACATTGTAAGTTCTCCCCTAAATAGCAAAGCGAATAACCAGTTTACCCGAATGATTGTTGACCCTTACACCAGGAGAAACTCACTTCCCTTTCCAAATAGTTCATGGTATTGGTAAAAGTTCACCTGAAAAATAGGCAAACAAGACTTCAGTTTAATGTTGCATTATTATTTAATTATTATTTAATGCAACCATTGTGTGGTTCACTATTAATGTGTTGGCCTAGACTGAACTTAAATGCTGACGTGGAGCATGATCCCACAACTTTCTGACCCAGAGGCAAGAGTGCTACTTGATTGAGATGGCTGACACATTTGTAGAATCGGAAATGTCACTAATCCGTTCTGTGGCTTTTGCAGAAATTTGCAAGCGTGCACAAGAGATGCTTGTCAACCCACATCAATTGTGTATTAATCCGATGCTCAATGGCAGGCAGTGGTGTTGGGATTTAATTTTGATGCTTTTTATACTTTTTTTAATATAAAGTCAAGTTCCTGTGGTGTGTTCCAGACTTGAGGCCATTTGCCTGCATAACAGTTTTGATCATTTTAGGTGGAATCGCAAGATATAGTGATGAGACTACCACCAATATGATCTGAAGCCTTGTGTTGTAGGATTAGGCTTTTTCAGGTTAAACGTTGCCCTAGGGCAGCTATTTACCAATGTCTTTGTTGTGTATATAATAGTAATTCTTGTATTCGATATAGTATTTTATCGAGACATCAAGACGTTTCAAAATATTTCACAGGATTTTTTTACTGTACAATGTAGAGACTGCATTTTTAAGACACCTATACATTGATGGGTTTGTTATAGGCTGGGAAAGTTCATTTAAATGCAATAAACTTCTGATAACTTGACTCTGGCTTAACTTGTCACTGCTACTTAGTAATCGTGCTGCCATGCTGTCAATATCCCGGCTGCATTTATTTATGTAGTTAATACATATACCTAACTGAACACTCCGGATAACTAGTTACTGAGCCCTTTTCCCCTAGAGTGATGAGTTATCAGGAGTTTACTGTAGTTAGTTATGACTACAGTAAATGTAGTCTGCTGCTCTCAATGGAAAGATTTCCTTTAACATCGAGTTGCTGTTCATCAGTCCTGCAAGTGATTATTAGATCAAAACCCATTTTTATGCAGTACCATATTTATTTTAAGTAGTTATGTGGTTAATATTGAAGATCTAAGCTTTGAACAGTATTTGATTTTAATCAATTACATCTGCCCTAGCCATGTATAAGAAACCTGAATTTTGCTTCGGGGTTTGATGTGGGGTGGTGTTTGTTTTCCCCTGTGATGTATTTTGTATGTGTGAAGAATCAAAGGAGAATTAGCCCTCCTGTTAAGAGTTACTGGGCCAGTTTATCCATCACCTGGTTTCTATGGGGAGGAGGAGAGAAAATAACCAGAGTTACAAATGTTGCCTGGGATTTTGTTGAGAGTTTTTGTCCTCTGACAACTCCGCCCTCACCATCCAGTGTAGCTTTACTACTTGAAATGGACATTACAAATCTTTTTTGTTCTAAAAATAAAGCAATACAGTAATAATAATAAAGTAAACAGTAAAAGAAAGCTTTTTCGTGACATCTCTGTAAATTGCTTGGTTTGTTCTCTTCCTAACATTTTGTGATCCTCTTTCTCTCCTCTCCGTCCCTCAGAAAGTGCTAATTCACACTATTATGGCTGTATAGATGGAAGTTCTTAATGATTTTACGGCTCTATTTGAAAAGAGAAGCTGATATCCTGGCCCACAATTCTCTGGATAAATTGATCTTTTGCATTTGGCTGTTTGTGGGATCTCACTTTGTGAAAATTGACTGCCATGTTTGGGTACAAGTGGATAGTAACTGCCTATCTATCAATAGTTGAGATGCTTCATTATTAAATAAGTGCTATTTCAAGGTGCAAGGACAGTGAGTGTTGTCAGAGTGTAGGGATAATAATAATAATAATAATAATAATAATCCTTGCATTTGATATAGCGCTTTTCACGTCGGGAGGATGTCCCAAAGCGCTTCACAGAACACACTGTAAAGTGAATTGACTGTATATTTGTGGGCGAACGCGGCAGCCAATTGCGCACAGCAATGTCCCACAAACAGTCGTAGATTGAAAATGACCAATTTATTATTGTTTTTGGAGGGATTATTATTAGGCTCTGTGTGGAGTAAGGAAACTTGCCCAAGGTTTCGCCCTGTGCCTGGAATTGAACTCAGGTCTCTCACTTGCAAAGCGAGTGCTCTAACCACTCAGCTACAGAGTTTTCATTTGAGTTTTTGCAACTCACGGTTTGGAAGTGATGTTGTACTTTGTGGGCATTTGATTTTTCAGTCACCAACGAATCGTGAATGTTATTGAGCAGAGCACCTTCTAACGTTACTCTTTGTGTTCCCAGGGCGGTGGGTAAAACCTGCCTGCTTATCAGCTACACGACAAATGCATTCCCTGGAGAATACATCCCCACCGTGTAAGTAACCTCACGCAATTTTGTTGCACTTTGGCTTAGTTTGGGTGCTTGGGTATCAGGCACTCATGGAGTGTTTTATAGTAGAAGCAGCTGCTTGTTGCTGTTTTTTTCTGTTGCAATAATTAATGTTTTTCTGAACTAGAGAAGAGGGAGATTTCCTTCATAAAATGTTGGGACTGAGTGGCATCGTGGCTTAGACATTGGCCTTTCACCTTGGGATGTGGAATTGAATTCAGCTCAGGGTGAATGGATGAAAGTCTTCACTTTATGTTAGCTATTTGAAATTTGCAATGAGTACCCATTCTGAAACCAGTTCCTCCTTCCTGTGGGCTCTTTGCACAGATCTGTGATTTGCCAGGCTGTCAAGAGTGGTCACAAGATGGCTGGCATGGGAAATGTCACACAAAGGATAAATAATATCTTGTGCAGAGGGGAGGAACTTTACACCCCATCTCGCTGTGCCATGATCAGACCTGTATGCATATGTCTACTTTGCTTCTCAGTGCTTGATGTTCGGTGTTCAAAATTGCCTCACATTCTTTGCCGAGAGAAGAGTCCCTGCTCTATCATCGATATTCCTCACTTTCAATGAACGTGAAACCTAGCCCCTTCTCAGCACCTCCAGTAGCCATGGCCCGGAGGAGTGGCTCTTCTTGTCAGACCAATGTCTGTTGGCCTTGTTGGGAAGAGTTGGCATTGGAACAAGAGCAACACGTACACACGCCGACTTGGTTAAAGCAAGTAGCATGGTGTGAAATTTAAAAAAAGTGTGATTGAGGGGGCGGGTTTGTGGGGTTTGTGGTAGGGTAGGATAGGCTTGCAACATTAACAATTGTGGATATTCAGCCACTCTCAAGACTGCAGCTTTTTCAGTGGTGCAGTGATGAGCCGTATAGTTTTTTTATAACACCATCGCAGTGGAATGTAAAACTGTTTTGACAGGATTTCCCCAAAACTTTCGTGTCAAGGACAGTTTAAAAAANGCAAATTGGTGTACCTAATTCTCAGGTTAAAATGCTTCATTTTTTCTACAGCTTTGACAACTATTCAGCCAATGTTATGGTTGATGGGAAACCGGTCAATCTCGGACTGTGGGATACGGCTGGACAGGAAGATTATGACCGGTTACGTCCCCTTTCTTACCCACAGACAGTAAGTATTGTGCCCACCCCTCCACCCCAAATGCATACAAATACCCTGCTGATATAGGCTCTTGTATAGCCGTTTGGCAGGGTAACTTGTGCAATTCTGGAGAGAAAGCATGGGTTGGCACCTTTAGAGAGGAAGGAAAAATACTAACATAAGTCCTCCTCTTCCAGCTTTCTTTGAGGAATGCAAACTCTTTCTCTCCCCCCCTCCAGAAAAAGGTCACTGTTTGGCTGGTTCTATGCTGTATGGAGTATCATGTTTTGGATTCAATGCCCTTGCTTGGTAATGCAAATCTTTCTTGGGTTTATTTGATGCAGATCCAAAACAGATGAGATCAGGGGCTGTGTGTAATGTGTCCAGTTTGTCACCTTTTTAAAGCTGTTGGAAAGATGTAAAGAAATGAATGGCTGCATTGATCCCTTCTTGTGCACTTTTTAAATATTCCTATGCTATTTGAGTTTGTTAAATACGTTATTTGCTGTGGTACATCTTTCTTGGATACTATTTATGATTGCCTAACACCTTTACAATAATGATTCAAATTGAATCACGACACTAAGGTGCAAACATGGGCTTCTCCTAATGTCTCAATGGATTGTGTCACTGACAGACCCAATGCTACAAGGTTGATCCTCCTTCTAACGTTAGCTTATCTGAGCCAGGGTAGAGGACAATGTGTCTCCAGGCTCGGGAAGTAAAAGTTAATTAAGCTCGGGTTCCCTCTTTTAATTGTTGTTCAGTGATGCTTCCTGCTGAAAAGTTCTGTGTGCGCAGGATCTCTGTTTGATGGTTCCAGGTTTGAATGGCTTGCTGATACATGAAGAGTGTGTACTTAGTTAAAAGCTGTCAGCACTTATTGAACCACACCCAAGCATGTGTCATCAATTCCAGGAGTGGAGAGAGGAAAACACTGGGGAGGGAGAGAATATTGTATAGATACAATAAAAGCTGTTCTCTTCCTACAGGATGTCTTCCTAATCTGCTTCTCACTGGTGAGCCCTGCGTCATTTGAGAATGTGCGTGCTAAGGTATGTGGCAGTTCTGTGAACAGGCAAAGTACAATACAGTATTACATTTGTAAAGCACCTTTCACGTCAACAGGACGTCCCAAGGCGCTGAATAATCAGGGATTATGACCCGCAGGATCATGGAGGTGGGGGGTGTTTGTATTAGGGAGAGTGGAGGGCAGAGAGTAGGAGGGTGACTGAAGGTATCGTCGAAGAGGAAGATCTCAAAGTGTGCCTTGAAGGAGGCAAGGGATGGAGCGAGGTGAAGGGAATGTGGAATGGAGTTCAAGAGGGTGGGGGCAGAGAGGTAGAAGTCCCCACCTTCGATGGTGGGGCGGGCCGATTGGTGGACATGGAGCAGGCTGCTGAGCGGAGGAGCGGACCGCTGATAAGGGGTTAGCAAGTTGGAGAGGTAGGAGGGGGCAAGGCCGTAGAGGGCCTTAAAGTTGAGGATGAAGATTTTGAACTCGATCCTCTGAGGAATGGGGAGCCAGGGGAGGGTGAGTGTGATGGGATCATGTAGCCTGGTGCGGGAGAGGACACGAACTGCAGAGTCCTGGATGATTTGCAGCTTGTGGAGGGAAGAGTTGGGAAAGTACTTCTAAAAGCACATCTTTTAATCTCAAAGATATCCTGAGCTGTTTGATTTTTTAAAAAAAATTATAATGTAGTTTCTCTTTCTTTTATATTGTGTGTGCACATGTCTACTTTGCTTCTCTGTTTTTTTTCTAGCTGCTCATAAAACTCCTTTGCTCCCTTGTGTGTTTCTTTAATCTGCCTCATATATATAAATCGCTTGTTAACCACTGAGCCATACTGGTCACAAAAATTCCTTTCATTGAGGATGTTACTGTCTGGGCAGCAGCCAAACCTTGGACTCAGAGGTGAAAGGAAAGCATTTGGACTCGCAACTTAACTTTGTTTAAAACTACCTTGGTAAAATGTAATTTAACTTTATTTACATACTTTTTCTCATAGTGGTACCCTGAAGTGAGACACCATTGCCCAAGTACACCAATTATTCTCGTCGGGACCAAGCTTGATCTACGAGATGACAAGGACACTATTGAGAAACTGAAGGAAAAGAAATTGGCTCCAATTACCTACCCACAAGGACTTGCCATGGCTAAAGAGATTGGTATGAGCTACCCTTCTTGTTCCTTTCAAATTCTGTTACGTCTGCCTTTGTCTGTAGATCCTAACCTGACACGTGATCTACTTTAGCAGATGTTTTCCACGTACCTCCCTTGATGGCTCAGTTGACAGTACCACATCCAAGGGGAAAACTGAGCCTTACAGACCTGTGAGGTCCCCGGTTTGATCCCTGTTCTGTGCATGGGTTTCTGGGTGATAATACGATTGGGCTTAGTTGGGAATGCCCCTCCTCCATTTCTCCCAAACCACCGTTGAATATCCTACCAAATGAATGACTATGTAGAACAACCCTGTTACAAAGCAGGGTTATAAAGTCTGAGAAAAAACTTCCTCTGCTTTCAAACCCCATCTCTTTGGGAGGACCTAATGTTAATATCGAGCAGTAGCAGTCAGTTAATGTAGTTGATGTGGATTGGAGTGCTGACGGCCAGAGGTGTGAGATGTCCATTTTAACCCTGCGGTGAAGTAAAGGCTGACACAAATCTTATAAAAATAGAGATATTTATTAATTCGGATCAATAATGGTTATAGGTAGTTAAAAGAATACAACAGAATGATGCTTACGTATCCACGTACAGTTCAGTTCACAACAATTAAGGTTGGCCAAACCAAATGTTGCGGAAGAGATGGAGGAGTAATGTCCAATTAAAGGTCCAATATAAATTTTCAATATAAATGTCCACCAAAAGGTATTCAGGTACTGCTGCACTGTTGTCCTTTTGATCAATGAAACACATTCAGGTACTGTTGCACTGTTATCGGCTGGTGAGGTGGATAAAAACGTTGATAGTTTAAATTGATTTTCTTGCCTTTAGCAGCTGGAATATGGTTTACAATCCAAGTTCCAAACTGCCTGTCTCTTCTGATTCTCTTCGTGAATCAATCTCTCTTTATCCAGTTGGTAGATGACCCTTCATCTAACAAAAACTTCTGCAATATGGTTCAACAAAAAAAACTTTCAACTTCTGTATTTGATAGAAATCATCTGGGCTATCAACATCACATCAGTGTAGTGTAGTTGATCTCAGTACTAGCAGACTTACGGCAATCTAGCCTTACCTGTTGCAGTAAACGAAGGATCCAGTATGGAATGTAGACTGACACACAGACAGACATTTTGTCTTTTTTTAAAATATATATATATGTGTGTGTGTGTATGTATATATATATATATATAAATAAATAAAGACAAAATCCACCCTCTCTGTTACTTCATCAAAAAACTCGATCAGGTTTGTTAGACATGATTTGCCTTTAACAAACCCATGTTGGCTGTCCTTTATTAACACATTTTTCTAAGTGAAAATTTATTTTGTCCGGATTATAGCCTCTAGAAGTTTCCCCACTACTGACGTGAGACTGACTGTTCTGTAGTTCCCAGGTTTATCCTTCTGCCTCTTTTTGTACAGGGGAATAACATTTGCAACCCTCCAGTCCTCTGGCACCACCCCGGTGTCCAAGGAGAGTTGAAACATTCGTAGTTGAGCGCACCTAAACTGGAGTGACCTCTGCTGCTGGGCATCATTTTGCCATGTTCTTGAATGCCTTTCTGCGTCGAAGTCCAGCCGTGCTGTTCTTTGAGCGGGCAACTCATTTTGCCTTGCTCTTGCAGTCCTTTCAGCAGTGAAGTCCAGCCGTGCTGTTCTTTGTTCTTCAGTTTCATTTAATCGGCCTTCTCTCTTTTGTCTGGCATTTTTATTTGTCCTTGAAAGGCTTGATCTTCACTTCTTAGGCATCTTCCCTTAAGATTAAGAAAATGTGCTATTGGGAGGACTCCTGTTGGGAGGACTCAGTGGGAGGACTCTTGGTTGTGCGGAGTCCTGTTGACAACCTGAAAAAACTGCCATACATTTGTTGCAGAATGCATTAGTATAGATGTATCTCTTTAGAAGGGTGTGTGCTTTCCTCATAGAATTATACAACACAGACCATGTATCTACGTCAGTCTGGCGGAAACAGACACACGTGCACAGCAATTCACCTTTATAAGTATTCGAGATGATCACATGTTGACAGTGTGAGATGAAACATTTGGCCATTATCTCCTCCTGATGAAGGGACCATTCTGTATTTCAGCCTTTGGGATATATTCAATCACATACCTTTTTTTTAATCTACGGTCAAGTTGATTACTAGTTCCTTTCTACTCATATCCAGTATTCCTAAAATACGTAATTATTTATAAACATACAACGAAAAGGGGTATGATATCTATGGTCAAGTTGACCATCAAAGTTCCTTACTACTTGTATTAGTAATTATTGTATAAACACGCAAGAAAGAAGATCATATAAACATTTCAGATTATATTTAACCATTATAACACGGTAATTACAGAATCCTTACGGGGTGGTCAAACCATCCGGTACAGTTTTCCTCAGAATAAGGTAACTTGTATCACTGGCTTATACCATTCAGGTCCCATTGGCTGAGGCAAAATGAATTAGGGTTATTCTCACTGTTGTTTCAACCATTTGCATTGAATATTGATTTTCTAACAACAATGTAAATTGAATGTTAAATAGTTTAGGTGAGTTTCTGGTTCTTATAACATTTTAATATTTTGTTTGTCCATACAGCTGCCGTGAAGTACTTGGAATGTTCAGCACTGACGCAGCGAGGCCTTAAAACTGTGTTTGACGAAGCGATCCGAGCTGTTCTCTGCCCTGTTCAAACAAGGCAGACGAAGAAGAAATGCCTTTTGCTGTAATCTGTTCTTCTTGAAGCTTTTTACCAATTCCACAGGGCATCCAGGTTCAAATATGCCAATTATTGCACCTCTCTTATAAATTCAGCCCTCCTTGAAATCTGTTTGTGTAGCCTTTACAAATATACCCACAATGCTTCCATTAGTTAGTTTCAGAATGAAACCAATCTACCTTCTGTATGTTTGTACTTAATGAATAAGGTACGGATGTCCTGTCCCCTTACTGCCTTAATTTTCCACCACAACTGACAACATAGAATTGTATTTGCATTTTTGCCAAAGTATCCACCATAACTAAAGATGTACATCAGGTGAACTAGAAATACTGTATTCCAAATCTGATCCTTCCACTATATTGTACAGTTTACAGGTTACCATATACCTCCACATACCTTCCACCCAACATTGAATATCTGCAGCAAAACAAGGAAAGGGTCTATTATTATTAAATAAATGTTGCTGAACTAAGACGGTTAGCTGTACTCAAGGAAGATAAAAGATGCTTCATTGATGCAGAGATTTGATTCAAAGAGCAATCCAGTCAGATGCAGTTTAAAATGTTGATCGAATTCCTGATGATGAAGACAGCAACAAATGTGATAATTGGGGAATTTTGGTGTTCTCTACTATATACTTAGAGAAAAAGAGTTGGGGGAGCGTGAGATAAATGGAAGGAGGTGAAGAATTTGTTTTAAGCATCTCCATTCCACTTAAGAGCATGAGTGGAGAAAGTATGCAGAAAATACATGTTTAACAACAAAGAGAAAATGTTTACTCAGTAGATACAATGGTGGGAGTAGGATTTTGATAATGTGGCAGAATGCTGGAGCACTAAAGTTTTTAAACTGAGAGCTTGATTTATTGAAGACTATTGACCAGTTCCTAATGAACGTTACTGCTTTAGATAAGTTTTAGGGCATTTGTAACGTACTTAATGTATGTTTTTAAAATGGTTATTCCCACAAATGTTACTCAATTAAACTCTTCTCTTCCAAATAGTAAATCTAAACCAACTAATATTGGGAGTGTTCTTTCTTCAAAAAAACATTTGAACACAAAGATTCCACAGGTTGGGAAGTAATTAATGGGGTTTTATATATTCCTAAAATACAATGAGCTTTTGACAGATCTGCAGGGCTGCTTGACAACTTACTCACACTTAACTATTTAGTGAAGATGATTTCAGCATCAAAAGTATCCATCAGGTCTTTAATTCAATCTGTGCGAGGGTAGGTTGATGTAAAACTTACTTCTCTGCATCAGTCAGGGTTTGGAAGCTTTGAAGCCACAGCATCAACACCATGTATTACTTTTCAAGTTCCAGTATCTTTATCTAATACTTAATGTATATATTCCCAATATTTTCTATTTGCTGTTTAACAATCATGTCCTATGGTTCCTGATTATATTTTGGAACAACGGAATCCAGGGAGTCTTTAAAAAATTCTAATTTTTTTTAAACAAAATTGTGATTTTAATGTTGAGAGACAATGGAAGCTCTCTACTTTTATTGCTATCTGTATGTTTGAAATCATTTGTGTGATTTGATTAAAAATTGAATACAGGAAGCAGTCAGGCAGCTTTGTGAGCTGAACACGTTGGATTTGATTCTCATGAAAGATCTTGCATTCAAACTGTCTTATGCACAACCATCACCCAGCGCAAAAAGATGCATGGAGCTATGTGGTGTGTGAAGGAGTGGGATAACTCAGCATGTGGCCCGGGGTGGGTCAGTGTCTTGAATTTTGGACAGAACTCAAAAATCTGAGATTGTCTGAATTAGTATTGCTCTTGCCTCAAGCTCAGAAGACTGGACTCGAGCTCCATGTCCAAACAGTCCATCAGTACTGGGGTAAGTGCTGCGTTGTCAGAGGTAAGGTACCAACCTTTGGGATGAAATGTTAAATCGGAGTCCCCGTCTGCCTGTTCTTCAAGTGGACATTAAAGATCCCATGACACTTTGAAAAGAGAAGGGGGTTTCCTCCTGATGCTTTGACCAGTCATCCTCCAGATTAATTCATTATTGAACTCAGGGTTATTTGTGGGACTTAAGTGTTCTGCCCTGAATTACTGAGCTTCAGTTATGACTGTAAAGTCTGTGATTAATTTGATAACAATGCAAGTTCATTCTATAATTAAGTCTATATTAGGATTAAAGACTGATCCACCCATACCCTCAGGAAAGCAGATCACTCTTGTGTCTCCAGCAGCTTGTTGAACAAAGCAGTTGAGGAGCTCAAGCTCACAGCCAGGTAGTGGTTTGGTTGATTGCTCTATTTAACATAAGTACATTGTCAATTTTTGTTTAATTAGCCACTCAAGCTAATTGAACCCCACTGTTCCTTGACAACTCTCGATGATTTAGTTTTAATCAAGCTATTTATCCACACCTGTATGATCCAGAAATACTGTACATTGTGGAGTCTTGTGGCTCAGTGGTTAGAGCACTTGCCTCGTAAGCAAAAGGACCTGGACTTGATTCTCGCACAGCAAGTTTCCTTACTCCATATGCCTCTACCTAGCTGTAATTAGGAACCCGGCTGTCAATTGATCGGTGGATTGCTTGTCTGGGGATAATAATCCCTTCTCAAAAATAATAATAATTTGGTCACTTAATCCATGACTGTTTGTGGGACACTGCTGTTTGCAATTGGCTGCTGTGTTTCACCCACAAAACATAGTCAATTCACTTTAAATTATATTCTGTGAAGCGCTTTGAGATGTCTGGAAGATGTGAAAAGGTGCTACATCAAATGCAAGGATTATTATTAGGTTTTCTGATGCAGGAGATGGCAATCAAGAGATGGTATTAAGCTAAATTATAAGGCAGGGCAGGAGACAGTCATCCTTCAGCAAACCATGCCATTACTTGACTTGGACCGTTCATTGGATAATACAAGTACAAAATTCAGTTCCCCACCAAACATCCTTGTCTTTATAAAAGACTGAAGTGTGGCAGCAAAACAGCTGGGTTAATATTTAAACTACAGACACCAATCTCCATGCTGTCACACTCTTGGCTATTTTCCCTAACTGGTTGTTTCCTTGTCAGAGCAGGTTTAATCACTGGTCCGTGATGAGTAAGCGGAACTCAGCTGTGGAACAGTTAAGCAAGTGCTCCAATTAATCTCATTACCTTTAGGTTAGGGAGAGTAAAATCATCCACAGATCCTTGTCGACACATCATGCAAAGACATGATCGGGCTTGTTTGCAATATTCATCAGAATTTGAATACTTTAGCCCTTCACTGGCAGGATGCTTGTGGATATGTATCAGCACTGGAGAGGTAATAAAAATAATGAAACATCTTTAGGGGAGGAATGGGTGGGGGGAATTAGAGGGGAATAGAAGAAACATACCAGTGTGTAGAGGTTGGTGTGCATCTTCGTTCCAGTTATCGTCTAAACATCTATATTAAAAGTGAACTTTTTTCTTCTGATGTTTCAACATATAATCACAAGATCAGCTTCCAAAGCAATGAAATTAGTGGGGTTTTTTAGCCAATTTTATTTCTGTACACCGAAGTATAATATAACAAACTGCCCGCTTGCATATTGTTTTGATGCACTGATTTGAACCTTTCAAATCGTCCCTTGTGTTACATTCTTTTGCACTGAGATTTCCCTTGGCAAGAGCAGATCTATAAGGGAGAGATGGAATCTCTCAGGACCAGCACTGCAGACGAGGTTAGGTTATCCAGGCTGATGCTGATGCCCCAGTCAAAGCAGGATGAAAAATGAATACCAAAAAAATTGCAATATATATATAGGTATAAATCAGCTATTAATAACCAGTGCAACAGTTCTTACTAATATCTATATTTCAGTCAAACTTACATTATATTTACAAATGTTATACAATCAAATCCATTAAAACTAAAACAAATAGTTTTACTTCTTAGTTTTTTTTTTAGTTTTGACCAAAAAAAATGCATTCAGGACTCCATGAATGAGGGAAGGCCTTTAAATGAAATTCACCCACTATTTATGCAACATTTCAAGAAGGAATACAAAGTATCCCAGTCCCAATAATATGAAAAATGCAGTTATATAACAAAATTGTTCTCTTCCAAACTGCAGCAGAATATAAATACATGGTGCGGAGAGCAGTTAACCAAACAGACATCAAAAGATAGATTACCGTAGACTGAACATGTACGAATAGTACAATTTGTGCATTTCAACCCTTTCTCAGGACAGTTAGTGAAACAGAATGGTGAACAGACAATTTGCTCGTCAATGCGCTGGTTGTCTCCAGATTCAATGATAAAGCAAACATTGAGAACTAGACCGTGGATCCACCACCTGGTGCACAAAGGATAAATGGTTCTTCTCGAGTCAGGCTGGTCAGGGCTTTAAGTACAATATCTGGCATGTGATCACTTATAATCTTGGGGCTGATGAGAATACTGTTGAAGGCTGAGGACTCTGACCACACTGCACGGTACCTTATTTCAGGGCGGCAGAAGCTAAATGGTAAAAGAAAAGCGAATGGGTTTAAAATGAATTGCAGAGACAAGCTGGAATTTTTTGTAAAACTGTCTCCAAAAGAATATGCTACACTTTCCACTCTCTGGTGTTCAGTTCATCCTGTCCCTTCTACTAAATTATACAATTTTGATCATATCTCATCTGCAATAAGTTTTCACCTTATAAAAGTGGCAATACTAATATTACACAAGAGAGGTTTAGATAAAGAAGGCCCTTCAGTACATTTGATCTCGTCTCACTAGAATACCCACCCTACTGCAGAGGTGTGTGGAGTAAGGAAAAATGCCTAAGGTTTCGCCCAGCCTTGTGAGGCGAGCGTGCTAACCACTTCACTATGGGACTTAGTTTTGATGATAAAACTCCTCTTATCACACCCCTCCTCCTCCCTATCTCCACCAGTCACTGCCCTGATTAGTGCCTGGATGGCTTGAGTGGGCATCACTCTTCTTTAACGAGACCGATATTCTTACAGATTTCTAAAGTACCCACCATTCATATGTATACCTCGTCAGTGAGCCTCAATAAGGCAGCGTCTTGGGACGTTCTCCAACGTGAAAGGCGCTATACAAATGTAATTTTGGTATATGGGAGTGTTACAGCTGCCGATTCTGTCTGACCCTTGTATACATAACCAGGAAGGATCGCTGTATATCAATCCGGAACTGGTAGACTGGCTAACATTTTCCTCCCTAGTTCAGGGACGCTGAACCTAATAGTGGCCCCTCAATCATTAGCCAAAATGAGTGAGATCAGCTAACTCAGCAGAGAAGAATTTCGAGCTTGGGACCTTCTCAAGTCTACACACTGGATAAACTTGCCATTGATTTTGCAGTCTTTGCTTTTCCCAGTTACTTCTTAGATTTACAACATTGCTACATAAAGTTCACATTATTGGTTGTAAAGGAAGTTTAATTATAGACATTACCTTCCTACATTGTAATCCTCCTGGATATGAATGATCTTTCCCGGAAGGAAGAGAGGATAGTTTTTGGATGGCGAAATTGGAGGCGAGCCATCAAGAAGGCTGTTGTAGGAGGAGGAACGGTGGCCCATGAGACTATGGTCTGCAAGAAGGGGGCGAGTCAGTGTCTCCTGCCTCCTACTCTCCATTTCAGTGGGGAAGTTGTCTGGATCTCCACCGAATATTTCATACCAACATCCTCTCAGGAGAATCTGATACTGAAGAGGTAAAACAGGATGGCTAAAAAGCTGGCAGGTTATTCAAATGTGTGTGTGTGTGTCCCAACCCACATACCCATCTCTCAGCATTCTGTACATAAGCCTTGCAGGTCTTCAGCAAGAACACACTGTTTCAGGTTATTTTGATGTTGCCTCTCCTTTCCTCTATTACTGAGGTAGAGAAGACTGTGTCCTGGAAGAAGACTCCAATACCAAAGGCAAAATATGCCATAGAGAAGGCTTGTTATTTCTGGGTAGTTTGCTATAACCAACACTGACAATAGTAGGCAATAGACTACAATGCTTACCTTTGGGTCAGTGCAAGAAAACTATAGCCTCCATCTAACCAATGTTTTCACCCCCATGTGTGTAAAATTCATTTAGCACCACTGCAATGGCTCTATATTAAGTAGATACACAATAAAACTGTGGAACCACCATTTCTTCTACAGCAGTCAAGATAGGACAATATCCTTCATAGACTGAATATTCCGGTGCTCTCCATTATGTATTTATACGCTAGCCCTGAACTAAACCTTGCTGTTCTGTAGATAAAACATGCCCATTGTTTTCAGAAGTGTCATTAAACAAGTCATTGCATTGTCCTGTGCAGAATAGTTTCCTACCTTAGGCCTATTGCAATTGGCAACTATTCTTAGTATTCTTCTTTTCAAATCTTCCATGTTGCAAAGGCTTAGCCTGCGAACGACACAGTAAACAGGAATATTATATACACTATCATCATTATCATACAGGAATAAAAGCTTAAACTGTACAGGGTTTCCACCAACCTTGGGACAAAATCCTTTCCCACAATCACCGATATGATAAAATCTTTGGTGTAATCAGCCAAAGTCTTGCTGGAGAAGAGAGAATTTAAAATGGTTAGGTTTCCTTAGTATAGCATACTAAGCAACAGCAACAACAAAATTATATTTGTATAGCGCCTTTCACGTCGGGAGGATATCCCAAGGCCCTGGACAGACAAGAGCTTCAGACTCGAGCTGGGGGTCGGGATCAGGAGGGTGAGGGGCGGGCGGTGGGGAGCAGGGAGATCAAAAGCACGGTCAACGGAGGGTCTTGACGGGAGCCAATCAGGAGAGCCTCGGTCTTGTTGATGTTCAACTGAAGAAAGTTAGCTCTCATCCAGAACTTGATGTCCGACACACATTCTGTCAGGACAGCAGTGGTCTTGGCGTCAATGAGCACATTACATCTCGGTAAACAATTTATCATTAACATCTTTAACATTCACCTGAACTGGTAGTTGGGACTTGGGTTCAATGTCTCATCCAAAAGACGGCACCTCCGACAATGCAACACCCCGCAGCACTGCATTGGAGTGTCATCTGAGACTATGTAAAGTTCCAACGTGGGCTTGAACCCACAACCTTCTGACTCAGAGGTGAGAGTGTGCCAGGCTAACACACAATATGGTCAAGAGGCCTGGTGTACTGTAAAATATTCTTCAAGACTGAATTACATGCAGGGTAAAGAGCTGTGCATATGTCAAGGAGTAATTTATCAGAATGTACCAATTACTGGATCATTGCTGGCTAACTCCATTTCTTTAATGAGATCAATGTCAGTCGTGGTAAATGCAGCTAATCTGTGTGCAAAATGCAACTCCTCTCCTCAGCAAATGGGATGTACTGGGAATTGAATCCTGAACCTTCTCAACTCAATCTCAGCCCTCAACACCCCACCCCCCGAGATGTTAACACAATGCACTTATCAAGGCATAAACAGGCAAAGTTTTAATGAATATAGTAAGTGCAAACGTTTCATTGCTCTACCTCTCTCACCTCAGTAACCCTCCTGGTGGAGAGAATGCGTAGCATTTGAGCCCTGGATAAGATTTGTGAAGCATTATAGCAAGGATTGTGGCAGCGCCTGCCCCCAGGCTGTGTCCAGTTACAACAAGTTTATACTCCTGGAGGAGGAAAAAGGAGTGTAATTCACTGCACAAGTTCTTAAATGAATACCTTTCAAAACATTTGCTGGAGATCTAGCAACACTGCTAATGAGGCTGAATAAGTAAATTGAACATTCAAACTGTCAAGATAGCAATCTGTCAAACAGCACCAACGGTTAAAGAATTCATTTTGTTTTTTGTGATCATTTTACATTCCTGGCACAAATGAAAATGAGGGGGGATTTAGAGTGAATTGTGTCTAATAGACTCTGACTTTTGGAGCCTCAGAAATTGAATTTGCTAGAAAAAAAACTACATTCACAAATGCATGCTGAGGAAAAGGGAGGGTCAGCCAGCCTGAACAAGCCTCGCAGCACCTCCAGGAATCGGAATTTGCTTAAATGTTGTTCACGCAAAGTGATTCATCAACCCAACCCGAAGGGCTAATGAGTTGTGAAAAAGCCTGCATAGAGAATACTGGAGCAGAGCAATACAACAACAACAACAAAGTTACATTTATAGAGAGCCTTTCACGTCGGGAGGACATCCCAAGGCGCTGGACAGTCAGGGGTCAGGACCCAAGCATGGGGGAGGGATAGGGGAGGGTGAGGGAAGGCAGAGAGTTGGGAGGGCGACTAAAGGCACAATCGAAGAGGCTGGTCTCGAAATCGGCCTTGAAGGAGGCAAGGGAGGAAGCGAGGCAAAGGGACCGTGGGATGGAGTTCCAGAGTGTGGGGGCAGAGAGGTAGAGCGGGTCGAGCGGGAGACATGGAGCAGGCTGGAGCCCGATGAACGGAGGGAGCGGGCAGGTTGGTTAGGGAGTCAGCAGGTCAGAGAGGTAGGAGGGGGCAAAACCATGGATGGCCTTGAAAGTGAGGACGAAGATGTTGAATTCGAATATTCTTAAATCAGTAAATGAAACACAGCAAATAATCTTCCAAGCAACGCTGCTAACATTGAAACTGTCAGATAGCAAATTTAAACAGCACCAATTGGCAAGGGGGAAACTTGAAACAAAACATTAGAAAATTCAGACATGATGTTGTGCTTGTACAAAATAACTAATACCCTGGTGCTTTGCAGCAACTAAATCTAAAGGACAGAATGATCCTCCCATTCTTTGTTGTACTAAGAATATAGAATGACCAAAAAACACATGAATTCTTTTAACCATCTGTGCTATTTGACAAAATATGTCACCTGTAGTTTGTGGGTTTTAACCCTAATAACACTTCTCAGAAACCTATTCAATGCGCTGCCCATTACTAAGTACAAATTAGCATTATAAACTTTCAGGGAAGAGCAGTTCTCTGTACATTTATGAGTTTTTGAGCCAGGGATTACACCTGGACTTTCTACCAGGAGTACAGTACAGTAACAGGAATTTGTAATTGTAATAGATTTCCTTGGTTGTGCTGTACCAGCTTTCTCCAGTAAACAATTCCTGTCCCCTTAAGGCTATGCTTTTGCAGACAAGGATGTAGCCCCAAAGTTCCTCACCAGCTTCTGTTTAAATTGCAGCATTTTTTAATACAGGATCGCATAAGGGTTTTTATGGTTTAAAAAAAGAGTTAAAGATCATAAAGACTTACAGGAGCGATAACAAAGGCTTGGCTGAGAATTCCATCAGTAACCAGTTTCCTGTAGATATAACTGGCTGCGTGTAAAATCCCCTTGAGAAAAAAAAGTAGAACATTATTCCTGTACATTGTAATATAACCAGTTCATCTGCTCAGTAGTTTTTAAACTATGCAAGCCATTTAAGTTTTTAAACTATGTAAACCAGAAAAAGTATTTAATCCCTAGCTACACTGACACTCAGCATGTTGTGTACACTGTGGGAAAAGGGTAGAAAGAGGCACTCCTTTTTTTTTAAAGAGATGCTACGGTTGAGTTCTGTGGGCACTTAGAGAACCAGTGGGAGCTTGTCCAGGTAGCTAATGTTCATTTGTGAGCCAAGGTATTGGCAGACAGTTTTTAAGTCCCCTGAGACGCTACCCTGCGTGAAAGGCGCTATGTAAGTACAAGTTGTTGTTGTTGTAGACTGGTGGTGGGGAATTAGAGCTCAATCCAGTTTTCACCAGACACTGACATACACATTCCAATGTGTGTTGGGGGGGGGGGGGGGGTGAGTGAAAGGGAGAGCTGGAATTATGGATGCTTTCCCCCCTCCCTAGCTCAGTGCCTAAAGCTTCTACCATCTGTCGCTCTATCTAAAATCAGCTAACTCGGCACAACTAACTGGGAATCAAATCAGCCTCTGGTTTGGTCAGTCAGCAGGGTTTGAACAAAGGCTCAAAATGGTTTAAATTTGGAAGCAACAGAATGGTTTGGTTTCCTGGGGAATAGATAGTGGCACTCAGCGCTACAGCACAGCCATCAAGAGATTGCATCATCAGTTTACATTGAAAGTTTTAAGCTCCTGCCGGATTCCTGCTGATCTAGGTAGAACCCAGCAGCCGTAGAAACAGACATAACACTATTGAAATCTCACCGAACTCTTTCAAAGCAAATCAGAGGCACATAAAATTACAGCCGAGTATGAATTCTTACGTGCACTAAAAACATGCACTTTTCTAAATTTCTTTTTCAACTGAAAAAAATCAAACTGTATAACAGTGTGCGCGTGTTTGTTTGTGGGGGGGAGAGGGGATTATTTTCAATGAGAGATTTGCCATCCTTAATGAAAAGTAAAACCCAGGACACAGAGAGTGAATTACACCCCTCAGAAATAACATTTGTAATTGAACAAGTGCTCACTTCACCTAGATAAGCAGTTTAAACGTATTACCATAGAACAAAAAAAGAAAAATCCATTGTGGTTGGTTAAATATTTCACCTGAGCTCATACTACACACACAGGTTCAAGTAGTTTTGCAGATTCCAATATAGACTTTCATTTTTCTACCCGGTCCATGAGAAAATGTCCTGTGCAATTTCAAGCTTAGGTTAAAAGGAACTGGGTAATTTTTGGTATAGTAATTACAGCTAAAGCCAACACCTACTTACCTTATGTGCAAAGCATCCTTCTGACATACCATCTATGTTCAAATTTTCACATTCTGTGGATAAGTCCGTCAAAACATCCTGCAGGTAATACATTCACTATAATGATGCCAGGAACTTAGAAAATAAACATTTTAGCAAAATGGTAACAATAAACTTTAGTCTGTCGTTCTCTTTCAGGTGGAACCATAGGCTCCACAAGCTTCTTCCTGCCATGTACATTATTCCTCTTTAACGTTTATCCAATTCCCTATTAAAGGTCTCACTTTCAATAAGCAAGTTCTAACAGTACAAATTAATTTCTTCCAACTTCGAGTGACAATCCTGAACTTATAGCCCTCACGTATTTTTCACCATTTATCCTCAAACCTATCAGAATTGTGAAGACCTCTGTAAGTCCTCTGTTAACAGATCCGTTAAATACAGAACTTATCTTAGCTAATGATATCCTTTAAATGTCACTGTGTTGCTGCAGTAACAGATTCTTGTCATTAGGGTAACTGGAGAGAAGCTCAACAGCAACAATGCAGCACTGTGTCAGGTTTCTGCACAGCGCAGCCTTGTGGCTGAAATCAGATGGATCAACATTTGTAAACATAATCATATAATAAACCTTGCATTTGATATTCTGCAAAAGGCAAACAATGAAAGTTCAAACAAAAACGATTCATTGGGAGCACCAAGTCAAGATTCTGGGATCAACACTATTCGTAACCGTGAACAGAACAGTTCTGGGACAGTACTTCTACACCTCTTAAAAGTAAATTTAAGTCACTTTAGCTCAGTTGGCGACACCCACGCCAAGTCAAAACGTTCTGCCTCTCTCCCCACACCTTCAGATGAACCATTAAACTGAGGGGTCCCTTGAAGATTCCATGGCATGAGTGGAAAGAACATGGCTGTTAGTGGGACGTTGGTATGTGCAAACTAACTGCCGTGTTCATCTACAAATCCATAGTCGCTATACACTGGATCCTGTGAAGCGCTTTAAGATGATCAACGACGCTCTTTATATTATAGTATATATTATAATAAATAATAATTATAATCGTAATAATCATATGAAAACTCACCCGAAGCGAAAGAGTTCCTCGAACAGCCACCAGCACAGCCTCAGTTTTATGATCCAGGGCCACATAGAATGGAATTTCATAAATCTGAGTGCGCAGAGATGCGGGGGTGGGTGGGGGTGGGTGGGAGAGAGGAAACAAAATGAGCATGTTTTATAACAGGAGATTGCAGCATCTTGGCCACTGATAAAGACACCTCACTTTTCCGAGCAAACAAATCATACCTCAACAATAGACGATCAACAATTAGATTATAGGGATATAGAAGTAGAAGGAGATTTACAGCAAGAATAACTTGTACCAGGAATTGTAATCCAGTGGCTGGCCTAGTTTCTCTTGCTCTTACCTTGTTGTGAAAGCTTATATGAATGAAGTCCCGGTACTGTAACCCTGTGATTTTAATCATGGACGTCAAATGGCAGCCAAGGTGATCACCACCGACGATGTCAGACTCGGCTGCTGGGCTTATGCAACTGAGGAGATTAGTTCAATGTCAAGCTTAGAGGCACCAGATGTTTCTGACCGTTCGGCAAGTTTAATACAGTCGCTGCACATCTCTTTATAGTAATGTCCTCCCTCCCTCCCTGGTTAACGCAAACCACAAAGTCCGTTTGTGGTCTTGTTAACCCAACCCGCAAATTGACCCACACACACTGTAAGAAGATACTCTTTTGGATAATGGGCTTTTATTTTTAAATATAAAAAGTGTAGAACTTACCAACGACAATCACGGCTGAGGTTACAGAATCCAGTTAACGGGTTAGTAAAGACGTAGATGGGCCAGCCATAGGCTGCCACCGCAAACAGCATATAGTGAGCTGCGTTGTCCAACTCCATATCCAGCTCCTCAGGCTGCAAAAAGAACAGATATCGTTTACAAGCTACACAGCCCACATGTCAGCCTTCGGCTTGCTGAAAATACAAAGTAAATTGTCACGGGTTTGCTTTCTGATTTACTTCCTGCTTTTCCACGAAGATGGGGTATTGTTCCTCAGGATGGCGTGCGTTCGCAGAGTGTTTGGCTGTGATTAACATCTTTAATGTTAATGTATCAAACCCGGGCTATTCCAAACTGTCAGCAATGACTGTGGCCAGTACATTCTCACTACCACCCTTCAGTACTGGGCAACATCCTTCACTACAGTGGATTTCATAGTCACATGGGCACATTTTTCTCCTTAGTATGATGAATAACCAATTTTCCTTCAGTATAAAAAGCCCATCGATCTCTCCTATTGTTAAAGACGTACAATTATACTCAGGCTGACCAAATATCTGCAAATTATATTGTGTCTGAAATTTGACATGGACCCTGATGTTGAATAGGTTACTTATGTAAAAAGCTGCTTGTAGTTTAAGAGGAGACTGCCGTCTTATTCATGAACTCACCACTGTAGCCACTGCCGGGTTATGACAGACCACCTCAGGCTCCCGGGTTTGTTCTATCTTGTCCTGCTCTTGGTGAAGAAGTGACAACCCAGCTGCTATGTCACTGGGCACCAGGTCTGTGTCCTGGAGACATTTCAAGGGAAATGGAAGAACAGTCAATCATTTCAATGGATGACATGAGAGTGATCAAGGTGCAATTTATCAAGTGTAAAGTTTGGTTTGTACTTCTGTGGGCAAAGCTCAATCTGACTCAATCTAGCTGCAGCAGTGCACAGAAGTTTATACAACATACCATAAAAAATCCACCGAAGAGTTCCCCCAGGCTGGAAAAGGCAGTTCGGACCTCGTCATCCTGCATAATACAACAGCACAACAGCTTCAGCCTGTGCTCCCAGACCCGGGCAGCCACCGTCCTGGCCTTGTACAGCAACTGATCCGACTCACTGCTCTCCAAGTTGTGGTTCAGATAGTATTCGAATTTCTTTGGTTTGCCCAGAGGATCGAAGACGACCAACACAGCAACCAGGGTGAAAAATAAGATAATCCAGCTGTGCAAACACAGAGTCCCAAGTCAGCATAAACCTTACTTTAAATGAATCTATAAAGCAATTCTCTTACATTGTCGTTTGTTTCTGTCTGTCCAGTTCCTAATCTTCCACCAGCATTTCCACTCATTCAACCTCAATACAATAAATTGAACATTTAACCAGGTGAAAGTTGGGAGTTTCTTCAATATCGCTCCCCCCTTCCCCCCCCAATAAAGCTTCAAAAGGCAAGTTGATTAGCTGGCATAATACAAAATCTATATATATATACACACACACACACTCCTTTCACATTGGAAGGAAGACTCAAAGCACTGAGACGCTATTGGAAAAGAGAAGGGAGTTTCTCCTGATGAATTGGCCAACTGGTGATTATTTTACAGCACCTTTTCATGTCAACAGCTCAAAGCACTTTACTGGTAAGTACTGTCAAGTATAGTTGCAGTATTTTGTGCCAGAAAATTTCCACAGACGAATTAACCAGAAAAGAATTATTCACCAAGAGCAGAATTATTCACCAGGAGGAAACCCTTCTCTTTCGAATAGTCATCGAATCATTTAGCATCAAGTAAAATAGAGATTTATTTTAGTACCTCTGTATAATAAATAATAATCGTTGCATTTGATATAGCGCCTTACCACGTCTTTGGGACGACTCAAAGCGTTTCACAGAATATACTGCAAAGTGAATTGACAATATATTCGTAGACGAAACACGGCAGGCAATTGCGCACAACAGTGTCCCACAAGCAGTCGTGGATTGAAGTGACCAATTTATTAATTGTTTTTTTTGAGGGACTATTATCAGGCATGTGGAGTAAGGAAACTTTCCCAAGGTTTCGCCTTGCCAGGAATCTAACCCAGATTTCTGTCGCTTGCGAGGTGAGCCCTCTGACACTGAGCTACAGGACTCCACGAGTCACATGTTGCATATAAAGTTCCATCTGTGACCAGGGCTCCCTCTGCCTCCTCGTCTTCCTTGACCACTCTGCTGCCTTCAATACCGTTGATCACTTTATCCTCATCCACCGCCTCTCCTCTCACCTCAACCTTCATGGTTCTGTCCTTGACTGGTTCAGATCGTACCTCTCATATCACCTCCACTTCATCTCCACAAACGGTTTCTCCTCTAGTCTCCGCACCATCTCGTGCGGCGTTCCTCAGGGCTCTGCCTTGGCCCCCTCCTCTTCAATATCTATATGCTCCCTCTTGGCAACATCATCCGCAGACATGGGGTCAATTTCCACATGTATGCGGATGACATCCAACTGTACCTCTCTGCCTCCACCCTTGACTCCAGGACTACTGCTGCGCTGACAGAATGTCTGTCGGACATCAAGTCCTGGATGAGAGCTAACTTTCTACAGTTGAACGTCAACAAGACCGAGGCTCTCCTGATTGGCTCCCGTCAGCGCCTCCACACCTCAGGCGCTGACAGCATCACCATCCAAGGATACACACTCCACCTCACTGAGCCAGTCCGGAACCTTGGGGTCTTGTTTGACCCTCAACTATCCTTTCTACCCCACATCCATGCCACGACCCGCTCTGCCTTCCCCCACCTCCGCAACATCGCCCAGCTCCACCACTGTCTCACACCACAGGCCGCCAATACTCTCATACACTCATTCATAACATCCAGGCTCGACTACACAAACTCCCTGCTTGTTGGCCTCCCCAACTCCTCCCTCCATAGGCTGCAGATCATCCAGAACTCTGCAGCCCGTGTCCTCTCCCACACCAGGCTCCGCAATCCTATCACCCCCATCCTCGCCGGACTCCACTGGCTTCCCATCACACAGAGGATACAGTTCAAAATCCTGGTGCTCATCTTCAAAGCCCTCCATGGCCTAGCTTCCCCCTACCTCTGTGACCTCCTAACCCCCTACCAAACTTCCCGCTCCCTCCGCTCAGAGAGCTCCGGCCTGCTTCACGTCCCCATCCCACCCACCCCACATTGGCAGGCAGGCCTTCGGCCACTCTGCCCCCACCCTCTGGAACTCCATCCCACAGTCCATCCGCCTCGACCTCTCCCTCGCCTCCTTCAAGACCTGTCTCAAAACCTTCCTCTTCAACCATGCCTTCAATCACCCACCTTCACCCCCTACTCTCCACCCTCCCTGATCCCAATCCACAGCTCGGGTCCAAAACACTGATTGTCCAGCACCTTGGGGTGTCCTCCCGACGGGAAAGGTGCTGTACAAATGTAATTTTGTCGTTGTTACAGTGTCAGCCTGGACTGTGAGCTCAAGTCCAATTGTGAGTCTTGAACAGACAGGCAAGAGAGTTAGTAGTCTCTGTGCTTTAACTTAAACGTTACTCACTCACCTGACAACGATGGCTAGGATAACACCAACAATCAAAGTAGATGAACAGTCCAAGCTTTCATCACTAACCCAGATGATACCCAGAATTCCCCAAATGACCTCAGGCAAGTAGAGAATGGCACGAATATAAATCAGTGTGGGGATCGCCCGCCTTGGGCCTGGGTTAGTGATAGTACCTGCAAAGAGACCCAAATAAATATAGTCATGAACAATGTGCAACAAATTATTAAGTGTCCAATATTCTTCCACTCCAACTATTGTGTATGACAAATTATATTTATACTGTGACTGGCTCAGTGAGTCACACATCAGACTTGGGAGCAGCAGTTTCTCTCTGTCTTTGACAAAAACAGGATGATGTGTAAAACAAAAAAAATGGTGAGGATACGTACTGGAATCTCTCATTTGGCTCCACAATCACCAGTCTGGCTCATCAATGAGAGACTTCCATGTGCTGATATCTCCTCAACCCCGTGAAGCCCAAATCCCTAAGCGTCTGACAATCACCGTGAAAGATGTCAGTGCTTCATACTGTTCAAGTGTATGGTTACTGCTCAGGGTTATAGATGGATAAACTAATCCCATTCACAGACCCCTGTATGCCAGTTTGCAGAGATAACTAACAACCACTGGGTGAGAATACAGGGGAAACTCTTAAAGCATAACAAATGATAAACTGTATTGTTGGAGGTACCATTTTTCAGATGAGTAGTTAAGTGGGGGTGCTGTTCCCCAATTTTGGTTGATGCTGAAAGATCTTTTAGCGTCAAAATGAGGATTAAAAAAATGCAATTCTTAACTTTGTAAAGGTTTGAGAGATATACAGGACAAACAATCAGCACAGGAGGTATTAGACATGTTCCTGGGAATTAAAAAGATTAAACATCAGAATAAATACATATAATCTATAGTCTTGTTACACAGAATAGCAGCTCACTGGCTGCTGGGCAAGGTGATACATTGCAGTCAAAAACACAACTTCTGGTATTTACCTTGCATACTAACACCAACAATTATACATGAATTGAGGATGATCCCAGCCAGAAGCACCATTAAGACAAGAAGATAGTTGCGGAGTTGCTCTCCTCCTTTACATTCAAACTGCTCTTTATAAGTGAAGTAGAAAACTAGGATCCCAATCCACCTAGAAAAGGAACAGACAAAAGTTAGCCATTTTTTCAAAAGGTTAGAACAGCAGGTATACAAGGAGCACATGCCAATACAACTACGTTGGCTTTATATTTGGCTCACAGAAAGAGTGCAACAGACCCTCTCAAACCAATATAAAAGTACTGTTCCACAGTCCTATTGTTAAACCAATCAGTTTGAATATATATTTCTAACCTCTTTGATTCCACGATCAGATAATGCTCTGCTGAAAGGCTGCCTCCATAAAATTATCCTATCTTTTCACCTGTTATACATTTTCAGCACTTTCCGCTTTTATTTCAGAAAGCCAGTACTTGGTCCTTCTGAGGTGTTTGCCTAAACATCTCAAAAGTAACTCATGTGTGAACTGTTTCAAGATGTTTTGATGCGATAAAGCACTTTATCAAACACAAGAACTATTATCATGCAAGAGCGATCAAATTAAACAACACAGATAAAGTGAGGACCGGAAGAAAATATTGGTTTTCCTGGCCAGTCCTATTTTGTAATGCCACCTCACCCTACCTCACTCACACCCTACTTCTTCCTTCAATTTGCAGCTCTATCAGGTGCACTTTGCACGCAGATACAGAAGCCCTTTACCCAATCATGCTTTGGGCCCTCTCCTCCAGGAGGTGCTGAGGTCGGGTTCACCGCTGTTGTGGACATGTACCTGTTCTGGCTGAGTCTTTGTAGCGATTACTGGTAAGCTATTCAACTATTGAGGCGTAACAGCCAGGCCAATGCTATGCTTATATCCATGTATATGGATTGTCCAGCAGATGGTGGTGTACAGTAATCAAGAGCAAAAATCATAACTAATTTAGAGCTGTTGATCAACTGTGGATCAAGAGGATCTTAATATAATATACTATCTTATTGTAATAGCAAGACGAGCAAAGGTTCCAAATCAATCCAAAGTTTGATTCAACAGGAAAAGCCTCACAAGAAAAACACTTACATCACCTCACAGCGCTCAATCCACAATTTCAAGAAAATTACGTAGCAAACAATTAAAGTAATACAGTATAGTTTTACTGTTTCTGGTACAGGGAAGCCTCTCCTCTGGCCTTATAAAAATACTTATTGCATTTGATGTAGTGCCTCATTAAGTTGAGACATCTTAAAGCATTTCATGGGAGGTTTCTGTGTAAATACTATATTTGTATGCAAACCGAGCAGCCAATGTTTGCATAGCATTGTGCCAAAATAGCCATGAATTTAATGTCTAACAGGACCGCAGTTTAACATTTGATCTGAAGTACAGCATCTCCCCCAGCAACACATTGGAGTGTTATCCTACCCACAAGTTCAAGCGCCCAACATGAGACTTCAACTCACAGGAGAGTGCGAAGAACTGAGCCGGACTGACTCCATTGCAACAGCTTTTGTTTTTGTTGAGTTTTTGTACAGGTTTCTAAAATATAATTCAGGCTTCAACCATAGAAATTTGCCTCCTGCCCATTCCTGCAATTCACAATGGGGAGGCATTGCTCATTGTAATGATTTTTCCCCAAAACCAGAATTCAAGCCACGGATCTCTCTCTCTCGCTCTTCCCTTCCAGGGTCTGAACTTCGCTCGAAGCAGCATTAACGCTGCCCCGAACAGGGTCTCGATTTAATAATAGTCCCTGCATTTGATATATAAAATCTCAAATGACTTCGCTTGGCTTGAGTAAAAGTAAGTAACAGTAACTATATCTATAGGCAAATCTGGCTAAGGGAGGGGTTGGACTCGCTAAAGGAGTACAGCACCAACCCACGATTTATCGTTAATTCACAGAGTTTTTTTTTTACTCCTGGTTACTCTTACAACACGTCAGACCGGAACGCAGCCCAAACTGACACGACAACGCGCTGCACGGTGGGAGCTGCCGTCCTTTGGATGAGACGTTATAAGCCGAGGTCCCGTCTGCCGGTTTCAGGTCGGACGTCAAGGGAACCCCCCCCTCACGGTGTCATTTGAAAAGAGAAGGGAGCTCCTCACCCCCTGGCCGTCCCGGTCAACAACGCCGACGCCGGCGACCGACAACAACGACGCCGACGACCAACAACAACAACAACGACAACGCCGCCATAAATAAGGAAAGAAAAAGGCGAGAACGACTGCAGATGGGCCGGAAATCCGAAAAGAAAAGGAACGATAAAACAGAAGTGGCTGCGAACCGCGCCCACATCTGCGGAGAAGAAAGGAAAGTGAGGCAACGTTTGGGGGAGAGGTGGAGGAGGAGGAGGTGGAGGAGGAGGGGGTCCACCACCATCTTTGGTCAGAACAGAACCAAATAAAATCGGGCCACTGACTCCCAATAGCCGTTTGCGGGGCTGGGGGTTGGGCTGCGGCGCTTCACCTACGAAACCACAACCGGTCACTTTCCTGTGAGGCGCTCTCGTTAATCATTGGCGTTAACTTAAAAAGAGCTAATTTTGATCAGACGAGGCCCCTCCGCTCACTCACCACCCGACCCTGATCAGCAGCTCGAAGGCTCCGGGGAAGACCAGGTCGTCGCTCGCCAGGGCCCAGCGCCGCCCGAACACCACCAGCCCCGGCATGGCGCCGGCTTCCCCCCCCCACCCGAGAGCCGAGCCGAGCCGACGGGGGGGGAATAGCAGGTTACACGGCGGCCCGCGGGGCACCGAGTGACGAGCTCCGAGCTGGGGCTGGCGGAGCCATATCAGCGGCCCACCTCCTGCTCCTCCCCCCGCTCCCTCTCCCTGTGGTGCCCGCGGCAATAACAGCCCGACGCAACCGCGCAGTCCCCGCTCAAAGGTTCCGCCCTGTGACACCTCTCCTCCTCCTCCTCCTCTCCTCTCCTCTCCCCCCCAATGAGGCAGAGGGAAGCAGATCCACTCAGGGTGCAAAAAAAAACAATTCTTACCTTGTGGGTATCTTTTATGATTCGTTTTATTTTCTCGCTCTCGTGCCTTAAATGTGTGTTTTTTGTTGTTGTTGTTGTTGCCCAAATGCTTTGTCCATTTCCCTTTCGAATGAACCCTCAACTGATCCAAGAAAGTTCCCAACCACAGATCTGTGCATTTGAAAGGTTTTTTTTCTCTATCTCTCTCTCTCTCCACATCCATTCAGTTTGGGCTTTTCGTGGTTTTATGGTTTTCTTTTTTTTAAAAAAAAACACACACACCCACACACACACAAGTACGCAGCTCTTTATTCTGTGCAGCTAATGTTCTTTTCGTGTTTGATTAAACTACCCAAAGTGATGAAGCTCCAATAAAGATCTGTGAAGATGAGTAGTTGTGTTTTTGTGTTTGTAGCTCTCTTGTGCATTTGAGTTTCTGCTCAGTTACAATGCATCAGCCATTCTGTCCACAGCTTCAGTCACTTAGTGAATAATAATCCTTGTATTTCATATGGCGCTTTTCACATCTTCTCGATGTCTCAAAGCGCTTCACAGAATAGACTGTAAAGTGAATTGACTGTATATTTGGGTGCAAAAATCTATTTAGCCAGGATGGGGAGCAGTCCAGCCTGATTCTGTCCTCAGCCAATATGCACAGAAAGTAACACAGGAGAAACAATCTTGCAGAAACAACAGCTCTCGTGATCAAAAGATTGAATCTTGGAATTTCTTGCATCTCACTCACCTAAGAGTTATATAACACAGTTACAAAGAGTAGGGCTAATGTACACATTAGGAGATATTAATTACATTGAATTTTACATTGTTCACTATTTCTTTTGGTTTCTTTAATTTTTTTGTTTCTTTTTGACACTAAAGAATTTAGTCTTTTCTGATTAATGGACAATTTAATGACAAAATGTCTTTGTGATCCAAGACTTTGCACTTTTTGTTTCAAAATAAGAAGAGTGAAGATGGAGGAGTTTACTGAATGCATTTTATCGTAAATGTTTTAACCTTGGTTTAGCTATATTGCAAGAATTCTTTGTATATTAAACCTGCTTCAAAATGCCTCCAAAAGGCAAATTAACTATTCCTGTGTTTTGCTGTGAGTTGGTAAATTGGTATCGTGTTTATTCTGCAACTAAGATGGTTCTGTGTAGATCCAAAGCTTAACGGACTAAGAATTCTTAAGAGTCCAGGATCAATGCATATTCAGTAAAACCGAAGACCACTGCAGGATGAGTTAATGTGAACGTTATACTTCAAATGCATTGAACATGTCTTTTTAATACAACCTGTAAGTTTCAATAGGTTCACCTTACAAATCAGCTATAAAACATCTATGGACAAGTCGTAGTCAATTATACAAGGTTCAAGGATGCGGCAAATGGGAAGGACTCCTGTATCAAACACCAGAAGACTTTATAAACAGGAATTTTGAGTAACAGAATTTACCCAATTTCAGGGAGGTAGAAAATTGATACTTTGATTCAACTTTTATACATTGTTTCTGGTTTGCTCAGCAATTCCAGCAGACCATTGCGTCGCACTATAAATAGCAAAGCCACTCACCTACCCTAACCCTTCATGATCCAAGGGATGGGTCTTGTTCTGCTCAACCAAACCACAAGGAAGTGAAGGAAGCAAAATAATTTAACGAGAGGGAGTAAGGAAAAAGAACCTCTCACTAAGCACACCATCCGTTCACTTCCTTTGAAGAAAAATGCAAGTTGAATATATTTTAAGTAAAAGCAGTGAGTCCTAATTGAAGGTTAAGAATATCCTATGGTACTTTTCCTTAAAAGTTGGGATAGTCCATAAAGACTAGAGCAGTGTCCTCAGGTCCTGTAGATGCCAGTGTTCCTATGCAGGTTCCTTGATTAGAACACGACAAGCAGCAAGATTTTTCCATAAAATGTTTATTTGGGGGCAGTATCACAAGATAATCATGCAACAGCTCAGTAAAAAAAACCTACAAGATAAACCTCCTAATGTTTCAAAAGGATATGAAGAGTGGTAGCTGAGGCCAACGATTCTGAAAGTGATTTATTTGTTCAATAAAAAAATCTGAGATCAAGTCATATGGTCCCCCTTGAATACATGACACTTTGCAATCCACTTTTCAGTTAGTAATATGCACATCTAACATAGGTAGGTTTCTGTGATGTTTACTCCTCTTTTTCTATGCTCATTTATGAACATTTGTCCTTAAAGGTAGAACAGATGGATTCTATCTGAAGGTGGTTTGACCACTGCCTGAATAAAGGAAACCTGTCGGTGGAAATGACATGGCATATTTCATTACATCAGCCTCAGAGACATACATACGTAGTGTTTCAAAATAGGGAAAAAAAATCATGGTTTCAATTTGGAAAATTCAAATAAATACAGTAAAGTGGACTTAAAAAAAACACATTACTGACAACAATTTTGTCTGCCAGGTACCATGCTGCAAATTAATTGGGATAATAATTTTGTCCAAAATAATCTTATTCCTGGTCAACAGTTTAACAGAAACACATTCAGCTATTCCAATCTAAGCTTCCACAGTGTGTTTTTGTAAACTGGTGCAAGTAATTCATCCTTTTAGCATATATTTCTTTGTAGAAAATATATTTTTACATTGTAATAAAAAGGTAAGACAAGATGCAGAAAACAGAAAACTGATGGGTGTGATCCATTGTATACTACAGAAGAGCTGTTGACATTAAATTTAAAATGCAATTCTTAAGTGTAATCCCTTGCTCTCTGTCTCAGGCATCTTACACTCTTGGTAAGTTTTCTGTTGCTGTGGTAATGCTTCCTCTGTCTAGAGATGACCAAGGACACAAGTTCAGGTGATCTTTGGCACTTAAGCTGGTAAACTCAGCTTCTTTCCTTTGAGAACTAGGAAACAAAAGGAAAAATAGCATAGGTCAAAAATTCTAAAACCAATTCTATTTACAGACAACTCATACTAGAGTGTGGTTGTTATATTTCACCCCACTGAGAACATATCTACGCAGTGAGGATAATTACTTTAATTATTGTAACATTATAGAAATTTTGCATCATTAAATATTAAGTAATTTAGCTCAATAAGTGTGTTTTTTCAATTTTCGCTTGCTCTCCAAGTACCTATACTATAGAGCACCCATGTTATAAAATCCCTGCCCTCCATAGGGTTTCCAGTGAACATTTGCTAACCTGAAGCCTTTACACAAGGCACCTCATGCTAGTGAGTTACTAGTGAGGTCATTTCCTGAGCGCTGTGTGCAAGTGCTGTATTTTACATGATTGGAAGGCACCACTTATAATACTTCACAAACGTATTCCAATCGCAGGAAAAAAGTCAAATGATTCAGGAGAAGGTGAAAATTAGAGGAGTTTGTTCACGAGTAATTGAAGTGTACAACACATTCCTCGAAGTTGACTGACTTTAAGACTGCAACGTTGATATGTCAATTGACACATAGCTGGAAGGGACAACAATAAACCACATTTGGAGGAACATGCAACGGACCTGGGGCTTTTCTACACTTTTACCATCAGATCTTGAAACTTTGCACTTGCAAAATACTCAACACCAAACCTGCGAAGCCCACTCACCTTTTGTAACATACAAGTAGAAAAAGTCGCAGTAAAGAATAGTCTGAACCACTCCAGCTACAATAGCGATGAGATCAAAGAAACCCTCAAAGTAGTAGCGCCAGAACCAGTTGACAAGGTACAGGGCGCGGTACAGGCCAAGGAAGAAGAGGTAATGAGTGGTGATGGTCTCCGCTTCACCAGTCTTACTAATCATGAATAGCTGTGGCAGGATTGCAACCGATTCTAAGTAAATAGAGAATGTCCACAGGATCTGAAAATGAAAAGGCATCACTGATCACATGGCGTTGTTGTTTAGTGATAGTTGCATTAAACATTACTAAAATCAAAGCTGTGTATAATATAACAATGGAGCACCAACAGAGACCCATTATTGTAAGCTGTCTCTTATTGTAAGCCCATACACTTGCTCAGACCAAATCTCCATACCTAGATCTCACCAGTTCTGACTCAGGCTCCACTGGCTCCCCATCACCGAACGGATCGACTTCAAGATCCTCACGTTGGTGTTCAAATCCCTTCACTCTCTGGCACCTCCCTACCTCTCCGACCCCGTCTCTCCCCAATCCACCACCCGGCGCCTACTCTCGACCAGCACGGGCCTCCTGCTCGTCTCTCGGCCTCACTATCGGAGGTCACGCTTTCAGCCACTATGCCCCGAAACTCTGGAACACTCTCTCTCGATCCCTCTACTTTGCCCCCACTTTCCCCTTTTTCAAGCCCCGTTTGAAGACCTTTCTCTTCGACTGTGCTTACGGCCACCTCCCCCCCCCACACACACCGGCTCGGAGTCAGGCTCCGCCACTGTTAAGTGATCCGAGACGCTATCCTGTGTGGAGGCGCCATATAAGTGCAAGTAGTTGTAGACCAGGGAGCATCTTCCAATCAAGGGCAACTACCTTGTCCACATCCAATACAAGGGCATCCACAACCTCCACAGATCAGAAATTAGGAAAAGTTAACACTTGTTGGTATTTGCCAAATATAGAATATAAAATCACTTAATATTGTTTCCAGAAAGCATCGCTGAACCAAATACAGGACTTTTAGCAATGAGATGAATAATTTAGCAACAGGAACTTCAGAATGAAATAACCTTAACTTTTAACATTTGCATACAAGTGAAAAATGCTCAAAGGTTCCAAAGAACATAAATGTTCATGGTCATAGATGACTTGCCAGGAGTCTGCACTGTGACACACTGACAAGGAGATCTGCCTGAGCAAAATACATGTGGTTACAAACTATTTTACAATTTAAAGAATCCGGATATTCAGAAATAGAGAATTTAACTTGAAAGAAAATCTTTACTCAATTCTTCCCATCTGTTCATCTGCTGAATGATCAGTTACCGCCAACACTTCACTCAAACCAACCTCACGGCAACCTAGAAGGCAATTCCCACTGGACAAGTGCTCAGTTTCTCAGTGTGACTGCAGTATTTTTTTAATATATTCTTGGGGTGTGGATAAAGCTGGCATGTCAGCAATTATTACACTTCCATAGCTGCCCTAGCAAGGTGATGGGACCTCTTTTTAAACTACCTTGGGACAGTGATAGAACCCCAACAGTATTAGGTAGATAATTCTAAGACTTTGACCCAGGTATAAAGGGATGGCAATTTATGTTCAACTCAGGATGTGATGTAACTCAGAAAGAAGCTCTTTATTTTAAAGAGATTCCAATTTGAAACTAAAGATTTCTCAAAGTTAAGGAAGAAAGTGACAGACCAGATCTGAGAATATGCGGTCTTGTAATTTCCACACAAAAAATGACCTTGATCTACTCAACTGGATTAAGTGCATGGAGACAATAGGAATGCACATGAAAAGTACATAATAGCCTTGAGTTTACAATTAGCTTCAAACAATGGAGGTCTCAGAAATACAGTATTAAAAGAAACCCATTACAGGTAATGTAAAGCAATAGTTACCTCCAGTGGAGAAAAGTCATGGTTGACCAAGAAAGATAATCCACCCACAGGAACAACCAGAAACTCCACACGGAACGTGTCGTGGTTTCCATCATAGGTGGCCTTAAACTTCATGTAGATCAAATACACAGTAGCATAGGCACAACCAATGTAGATAATCTATATGGAAAAACAGGAATTAAATGAGCACAAGATTTCAACATCACAAACTGATTCACTGTACTGCAAGAGTTCTAGTCTATATTATAATCTGCAAGTACATCATTCTCTTGCTGCTTGTGACCTCTCTCTTTTCTCTTCGTAACTAAAAAAATGCTAGTTGAAATACATACACTTGCGAAAGGCTGCAACTGAGCCGGAGAATGGGTAAACAGGGATTATAACCAAGTATTCAATGGTGTAGGCACAATCAATATAGATAATCTAGAACCAGCACAATCATACTGTCCAAAGGTTTGTCAGAGAACCCTGACGAGTTAACGACAATTTCAACAGTTGACAGCGGGGATAAGAATACTTTCAAGGAAGATTTATGTGCATCAACTATTCTAGTACTTGAGCTGACTAGATATTCTAGGATGTTATTCTGCAATTCAGATTTAGTGCCCTTCTGGTTATATAGAGATGTTTTAGCTTCACCAATGGCTCAGATAGGTCTATCCTCAACAGGAAACGAGACCAAATTTTGAGTTGAATGGGAAAAGATGCAAGTGTGCTACAAATCGTCTTTTGATCCCTCGTTAGAGAAAGATCAGGGAAGGAAGAAGAATTCTTATGCCTACTTTCAATGCTATAAAGTGCATATATGGACGCATGATTTGTCCTCACGTTAACAGCCACTTGGGAGAGGAAAGCAAGTAACTGCTTTTCATCAACATACCCACCTTCATGGAACTGTTATAGAGGGAGATGAAAATGGTGAATAGGTCCAGGTATCGAGTGGTGAAGACCAATGCAAAAAGGATCTGACTCTTGCCAGAGATGCCTGTCAAAGAAAAAAAACATAAGGATGAAAAGATACTATAAACAAAAGTTCCAAACTATGTTCAAAGATAGAAACTGAAATAACCAAACTATCGTAAGGGCAAATAAAGCTACTACATTAGAATCCAGTCATAACACTGATTCACTCACTTATAGGATGGTTGGGAATGTGGACCCTAACATTTACACTAAAAAAATCCGAAGTGAAACCATGCACCAAGAGAGTCAGACATGTTTTTGAGGCAAGCAATTCCACATTCAGCAACATCTTAGCTGTGATGTGTAAGAATTGCAAAAAATCTTGCACTGCAAGATTTAACACTCCATGCCACCCTTTACCTGGTCTGTGTAATGTTGGTTATGGGCAGATAATATGATTCAAATGTTATTGTCTTGGATAAAGCGTGTATTGAATTAGTTAACTTTAATGTTAAGCTCATTTAGCAAATATGTTTCCCCATAGAACAATATTGTATCTTAAGCATGTGAAAAATAAACCCCTAGGAAGTTGAAAACTGTTTTTGAGACCTGTTTTGATGTTAAAATCTTCAAATTGCAGCCCTTTTAATACACAGAATGAGTTCTCCAGCTCAGTGCGTTGCTATCTTTAAAATTTTTAAGCCCCATTTTAAAGAATAAGCTGCAAGCAAGAGCAATCTTACGATGAATTGGTACATCTCAAACAACTGACCCAAAAGCCTGATACATCTTCTGATTCAATAAGTAGAATGATCTGAGCTCTATATATCTCTACAAGTTTATTAAAGGAATAACCTTTGTGAGCAAGTTTAGAAACTTACAAGTTAAATATACACAGTATTTGTGCGCAATTGGCTGCCGCAAAATACAGTCAATTCACTTTACAGTATATCCTGTTTGAGACGTCTGAACGACATGCTAGGGCGTTATATAAAATACAAGGATTATTAATCTTACAACTGTGGGCAAGGCAGTGGAGTCAAAGGAGGAAATTCCAGAAGTTAAGGAGCCCATAACTTGTCCACAACGGTGGCAGATAGGGTGGAGAGCAGGAAGCCTAAGTGAGATGATCAGGGAGGTGAGTAGAGGAAGGGGTAGGAAGCAACATAAAACACATGCTGATTTTTGCCTTTCAAGAGTGTGCATTTGTGCTGGGGATAAAATCAACCAAGTCCAGCACCCATTTTCCAGCAGAGCCAGAATTCCACAGATGCACATTGAAACCATAAACATACAAACATGTGGCACATACTCAAGGTATCAAAGGACAGTATTGTTCAGAAACTGATCCCTGCCCTCTTGGGTCAAAGGTAAGAATTTGATTGTACTATCAAAGTAATCTATTAATAACAACAGTCCTGAAAATACTGACATTCTCTTCTTGAGCTGGTACTGAATTTAGCGCCTCACATTAAGTAAAGCAAGAAACAGATTTTACCTTATACAATATGCTCCTTGTAAACTTCCAGTATTTCTTATTTTTCTCTACACATTTACCATGTTGTTGCTCACAGAATAGCTGTAGTCAGTTACAAAGCTGATTTTTATTTAGAACAACTAACATTTCGAAACCTGTCTACTCGTTAAGAGAAACTGAAGAAACCCCTCCCAGATCACACCTTACATAATACTGTAGTTTTAGAACACTAACTATGCATACTGAGGCTTAAGACTACATTTTAACACGGTTCCTTTATTAATAAACAATCCCACTCCCAGAGAACTGAAATAAATATTTGAACTATGTTACAGCCATTCAGCAAAGCACTATTAAAATAACCTAAATTAATGTTGAAGCCATTTGTAACAAGTTAAACTTTTGAGGTTCCAACTTTACTTGGTACTTTGGGGGATTGTCATTATGGCAACAAAACAGAACACACACCAAAAATAATATTAAAGAACCCCAATTCTTAATAAAACGCTATGATTCTAAAAATAGCTCTACAAATTTAGATCAAGCTTATGGACAAACAGAATTCGAGGAATTTCACTGACAACTGGAAAGGGTGGGGAACTCATTTTATTGGACTCAACAGTTGTCAGAGTCGTTCCTATAAGAACAATTTTTTTTGGGGGACAGGCACAAAGATAAGAACAACTAACATTTCTAAACCTTTGCAGAGATCCTCAATAGATTTAGATGTAGCTGTGAGGTTTAGTTTTCTTCCCATTCCCATTTGAGGCTCTTGCTGTCATTCTCTCCTTTCCTCAACAGCCTTTTGTATATTAAGTAGTAAACGGTGCAGCAAAAATCAGCATTATTGCCAGACATTTCATCAATTTGACCTTGATGTCGCTGGGACTTTGTATTGTATGGTAGAAATTAGGCACACTCGGGCATCATTGGCTCAGTTAAGGGAACAATGCCTTTCAATTAGTTTCATCTTATTACTCAATGGTGTTTATGCTTAACTCCCTTCACTTATACCTTTGATATGACATCTTTTATTGCTTCCTTCTTTTGCTCTTGCGTGATCAAGATAACTTCTATTTAATATTCTAGGCGATAATACGCTCTGCAATAATGGACCAACATCAGTAAATTAATTTCAAATTCACAAACCAGTGTAAATAGAAAACATTACCCAAGAAAAAAAATCCCATTTTAATTGCTCTCAAATTACATGAGTATTACATCTATCACTTCCCTACACGTCCTACTATGGAAGCATTGAACCCTAAACAGGCAAACCGATGATCACACGCAGACTTTGTTACTTCTGTAGCCTAAAGTGTTTAGCACTATTGTTCAAATAGTATACTCCCAAAGATTTTCATAAGGCAATAATGAAGCTCCTTTGCTCACATAAGTGCAAATAGGTGGTCTGAGCTCAAACCAGGATTGCTAAGCACCTTGGGATGGGGTGTTATCCCAATGTGATAGGCACTATATAAATGTCAATTTGTACTGTATTATCATGCAATTCTCGTTTTCATTTTGATGTTTTCTCAACCAAGAAGCCATCCTTCCTAATCCCAGTTAACTTTTCTCTCCCCGTAGCCTTTAATACCCTTCCTCTGCAGGCGTTTGTCCAATTCTTTTTAACGCTCAATCAACTCTGTTTTATCAGCCACCCCAGCAAATTATTAAATACCTACAATCCTCTGGGAGGAGTTCATCTGAACCTATTCTTTTATTCCCCAAATAAGAATCTTGCATTTCTCAATTACTTACAATATTTAGAAGTTAAAACGTTCCAGTCTCCACTTCAATAACTTTACAAACCTCTTTGGGTCTATAGGAAATGTAACCATACTGGTGCAATGGAAATCACCATTCATGTATATTGCACGGAAGCTGAATTCTTGAGTTTATTCCTTCGTTGACAAATGAAATTTGAACCTTCTCAAAGGTTGTTTATTACTATGATGTAATATGCATACATGTACTATGCACACAAATACACACTGTTGCAGTTAGTCAATATATTCTGGGGTTTTGGTCAAGGCCAGATCTCAGGGAGTACAATTGCAATCGATACAGCAAAACATTTGTGATACAAGAAATGGGGACATGTGAGGGAAGAATATAAATACAGCAAACTCCATTGAGGTTACTGAATCTCATTCTGCAAGTAAATCACAAACAGCCACTCAAATACTATAGAACAAAACGCACACACTAAATTTCCTGCCCAGTAATAAAATTTCCTGGCAATCGAAGCTCAAACCACAATTGTTACTTGACATCTTTGCATTGTTGAAATTCATCTATCAACTTAGGCACCTGGGAGTTACTACACTTGTCTTCCAGTATTTACCTTTCCTGGTTGGAAGTCAGAGCTCCGAGAGCATTTGTTGGCATAGCAACAAGCCTCACATTTGCACATTTAAATCCCTTTGCAACTCACTGGAAGTGTCATACAGATGGAGACAGAAGCTGAACCAAATACAGAATACCCAAACAACAAAGACTGCAATCCTAGCAAACAAGACCACCTATCTGAGAAACCTCAACTTTTTTTTAATAAAATGCAAGTTATAAATGGTGCAGGAACGCCATCATTCACACGTGTGTAGGCTGAGCCCTGTACTACCTTATAGCCTTGCCTACAGTCTGCACCACTGTAAATTTGTGTATATAATACATAGCGGGAAGACAAGGTGATAAATCTGTAAAAGCTAATGGGATGCCACGTTTTAAAATACACGTAAAGAGGTATTTTACAAAAATACTAATCCTGTACACATCATTGGTCAGATTGCAGTTAGCACAACGTGTCCAGTTCTGGACATCCCACTCTAGAAAATATGTCAAGGCCATAGAAAATACTAAGCTGTTTTCTCTAGAACAGAGAAGGTTGAGAAGACCTGAAAAGTGTTCAAAATTGAGTTTTTTTTATAAGGTAAGACCCCTACTGTCACTATACCTTACAGTAAATATTGTGAAGCACTTTAAGGTATCCAACTAATGTGAAGGGTGCTTATTATAGGAAGAATGTATTTTCAATGATCAGTTAGTAAATAGAGGGCAAAAATGCATTATCATCAAAACTACAAAGAGCAAGATGAAGAAATTATTTTTAACATGTTATTTATTGGAGCATTCCATGTTCAAGCAGATTCTCTAACAGCTTTTAATTTGCCAAACATGTAAACGAAACATAAAAAGGTGTGGGGAAACAGCAGTACAGTGGGACTAAACAGGTAAGGCTTAGAGAGTGAGCAGAAGCAATGGGATGGAAACACTGCAGACAACATACTAAAAACAGCCATGCCCTCTACTCCAAATTAGAGAACGGTAAATACGTATTCACAAATCAAAACTATCTGTCCAGCTTTCTTCCGACTTTGGTGCTCAGATACAACTTCACAGGGACCAGCAGCCCACCACTAGTCTTCAGGGAGAAAAATAAATTGGAACCATCCACCACCTGTTTAATCAATGAGGACATCCCAATCCCACCTCACCAAGCATTCAAACAAATTTGAATTCCGACAGGATAGCAACACGAGCAGGAATAAAATAGTAACACTATCTGGAAACCTGGCTGAATATTTCCTCCTAGCTTGGGAGGCACCTGGAGCGGAACGTAATGAAGACATTTATAAAAGTATACAACTAAAAGGCAAGAAAGTTTCAGACAAGTTACCGGTTCATGTAATGTTGAATAAATTGGGTTTCATTGGGTGAATCTCATTAGCATTAGAAGAAGACCCTCACTGTCTCAAATCAGATTGAGAATATCACAATATTTAACAGCCAATATTTAAAATCTATGGGTTTAAAGATATGCTGATTAAGAAAAATATTACTGCACTACTGTACTTGGCCTTAAATGGTCATGGATGGAGCTTTGGTTTTCTACTCCCTGAATATCTGTGCATACAGCACTGTAATTAAATCCTGCAAATGCACAGATCTGAAAAGAGTCTGCACTCAGCTTTTTTTTCCTCCCCATTCAATATTCACACATCTTTCTCTTCTGACTGACGAGCAAACGGGGTGAGAGAGAGAGAGAGAGAAAAAAAAGATCTGCTCGCTGCACCTACAACCGGCTGCCACGTCAGACCAAGTCAGGGAAAACCGCCGATGGCTTAAAGTCTTCCTGGACAATTCTTTCAAACGGATTAAAAAAAAACATTTTTAAATTTAAAAAAAACCCGACACTGACGGAACATGAAACCGCAACATCAGAAGCAGTGATTCAATCAATCAATCAATCAATGGACATCATACCGGACGTGATCGGTCGTTACTCCCTGCTGATTCCTCTCCATGACATGAAATGTCTGCACTTTATACATACAACACACACGCGCGGAAAAAAAAACCTGCAACAGAAACTAAAGCCCAAACGGATCCTTGCAAACTCGCCGGATAAAAACTGCAGTTGTTTTTTTTTGTGTGTGTGTGTCTGGTATGTGTATGTATGTATGTGGTGTGTATGTATGGTGTGTGTGTGGCGTGTATGTATGTGTGTGGTGTGTATGTATGTGGTGTGTGTGTGGCGTGTATGTATGTGTGTGGTGTGTATGTATGTGTGTGTTATGTGACACGAAAGTGGATCAAGTGTAAATCAAAACCCAAGGGACACAATTCTTGTGAGAGGGAGGGAGGAGGGAGACTTGCAGCACCTTTTTACCGGGTTGCAGGGCAGGTCGGAAACGGCCTCGCCATTTTTCGCGTGAAGTTCTTTTTTGAAAAAAAAATGTGTTTTTTTTTAAAAAATGATTTATTTGTTTGTTTATCGTCGTCACCGCCGGGTGACGGTCCCGGTTCGAAGCTGCTCTGGAGCTTCGAGGAAAAGTTTTTTTTAATATATTTTAAAAAAAGGCCCTCTTCCTCCTGCCATCGACCTCTCCCCCTCCCACCCACACCCCCCCCACCCCACACCGCCCCCTCCCCACAAAACGCAGCCCCATTCACTCTCCGGCGTATCCCGGAGAAGCGCTTCGAGACGTCCCGCCGAAGACGTGAGGGCGCCATTATCCAACGCAAGTGGTTAATTAATGATCGTTACGCGCACCTCCAACGATAACCTTTTTTTAAATAAATATAAATATATATATATATATACACACATAAACCTTTCCCCCCTCACATTTTTTTAAAAAAAAAGTCGTTAAAACAAACGCAAGTGTTTTGATGTTGAAATGCACCCGGGGGTGGGGTGGGGGGGGTGTGGGGGGGTCCAGCTCACCTTCTCCTCATCCCTCATCCTTCTTCTTCTTCTTCTCCCCCCCCCCACCACCCGGGTCTCAAGACGATTCAACCCCCCACTCCCTCCCTCCCTCCCTCCTCTCTCTCCCACCCGAAAGGCTGCCTCCCCTCGACCCCTCTCACCTGCGCACGACCTGGTTTTCCATATCTTCAGCAGGAGGATGATGATGGCCACCAAGTGCGAGAGGTCTCCGCTCAGCCGAAAGATGTTCATGGTGAGAGGAAGGTGCGAGGCCGGGAGGGCGGGCGGGCGGGCGAGAGAGAGAGAGAGAAAGAAAGAAAAAAAGAAAGAAAGAAAGCGAGACAGACAGAGAGTGTGATGTGGGGAATTGGGGGGGGGGAGGAGGTGGAGGGAAGGGGGGGGAGGAAAAAAAAAGGAAAGCGCCTGAGAACCGAGCGAGCGACCGAGCCAACCGACAGAACCGCGGCTGCGAGCGCGCTCTCTCTCTCTCTCTCTCCCCTCTCTCTCTCTCTTCTCTCCCTCCCCACCGGTCCCTGCAAAATGGCGGCAGCGACGTGGCCCGGGGAGGACGTGGCCAACCGCCGCGCGGCACCCTGGGAAAGGGAGGCCTGTCCGTCAAGCGCCCGCCCCGCCCCCTCCCCGCCCCGCCCCCTTAAAGGGGCAGGGCCGCGCCGACACCCACTCGCCGCAGTGTGTCACCCACAACAACAACAACAGCAACAGCAACAAGAAGATTCCATTTATGGATCGCCTTTCACGTCGGGAGGACGTCCCAAGGCGCTGTACCCACCCCACCACACCCCCCCCCCCCAACTTATTGCGGGACACGTAGCGCGCAACCTTTGGCAATCCATCCTCGCTCTTCCACTGCTGCCTCTCTGACCCTTTGCCCATTGCACTTGAGGGTGCGTGGGGTGACGTCGAGTTATTCCAGTGGATGAATGACCTTGAGTGATGATGATGATGATGATAATAATAATAATCCTTGCATTTGATGTAGAGCTTTGTCACGGTCACTGAGACGTGTCAAAGCAGCTTCACAGGATATTCACTGACAGAATCCACGAACTCGAGTTCGTACAGCACTTTGGAACGTCAAAACATCTCAAAGGCTCTTCACAGTAATTGATTCCTATCACGTGTAGTGACTGTTTCTTGTAAGGATAGGTTTTGTGTCCTATTTGTACTGCACATTTAATAAAGGATCATAATCCTTGATGAATCCTTACGTTTGGTGTAGCATCTTTCACATCAGGAGGATGTTTCAAAGCATTTGACACAATATACTGTAAAAGGGTGTGACTGTGTGTTTTGTGGGCGAATGCTTATTGATAGAAGCAATACAGCCATGCCCAATCCTGGTTTCCCATCTTCACACTTGCACCTTCCAGCGAGGATCATTAATCATGGCCAGGAGTGAAACCACTGGCTGGTATTTGCTGTATTTCCGGGAGTAATCAACTCTAAGAAAAATAATCATACTAATTTGGTCACTCGATCCATGTCTATTTGTGGGACACTGCTGTGCGCAATTGGCTGCCGTGTTTCGCCCACAAAGTAGACAGTCAATTCAATTTACAATATATTCCGTGGAAGAGCTTTGGGACGTCTCAACGACGTGATATAGCCCCAATATCAAATGCAAGGATTATTATGGCTGTTGGAATCTCAAGCCAACACTCTACTACAGTTTAAGAGAGGAATGAAATTGGTTTTAGAATGCAGTAATCGCATCCCTGAATGGTCCTTTTAAAAGAAAGATGACTAAAGGCAAACGTAACCATTCAGAAGCTGGCTGAAAAAAAGATCGATACACGTAATTGACCAGTGACCATGGTGTAAGGGTGAGTTCTGTACCTGTTGGATCCTGTTCTATTTATAGGGGATCGGATTTCTATCCTGGACAGTTCATTGTCAATAGTGTTAGCAACAAGTAAAGCAAGATCGCCGTTCCAACCTGACACTGCTAAGCTACTCATACAAGAGACTATGAATTAACGTAACAAGCACTGAGGTATAAGCTTTTTTTTTTAACCCCCCCTCATCATGGATTCCTGTAGCTCAGTGGTTAGAGCACTCGCTACTCAAGTGAAGAGACCTGGGTTCGATTCCCGGCAGGGAAAAGCCTTGGGCAAGTTTCCTTACTCCACACTCCTGATAATAATCCCTCAAGAAAAAAAACACTAATAAATTGGTCACTTCAATTCACGACTGTTTGTGGGACACTGCTGTGCACAATTGGCTGCCACAAATATACTCACAAATATACAGTCAATTCACTTTACAGTATATTCTGTGAAGTGTTTTGAGATGTCTAGAAGACATGAAAAGCGCTGTATCAAATGGCAGGATTATTATAATTTATTATTATATAGGGAAAATTAAGAAGTAAGCCAATATTCTCTACAGAAACTGAAAGTGGCAGTCAGGACTGATTTAAGAAAATTAAATCATGTCTGACATAATATATTGAAGTGGTAGTTATTCTTCATGTCTCTCGCCTCTGATTCAGAAGGCTGTGGTCCAAGTTTGATGTTTAGGACTTTTAGCTCTCAGTCTAGGCTGATACTCAAATGCAGTGCTCGATTATCGGAGGTACCGTCCTTTGCATGAAACGTTAAACTGAGGCCCCATCTGCCTGTTCAGGTAAGATCCAATGACCCAATTCAAAAAGAGTTTCAAAAAAAGTGTTTCTCACGGTGTTCCAGCCTGATAAAATTAATCATTTACTTCACAGCTGTTTAGGGGATATTGCTGCCTGGAATTTGCTTGCTGAAGTTTACAATAAGTCAGCCTAACATCAGTAGTGGGGAAATTTCTAGAGACTATAATCAGGGACAAAATAAATTTTCACTTAGAAAAATATGGGTTAATAAAGGAGAGTCGGATTTGTTAACTGCAAATCATGTCTAACAAACCTGATAGAATCATACTGCACAGAAGGAGGCCAAAAGTCAGGAAGTTATGATGAACCTTTATAAAACACTGGTTAGGCCTCAGCTAGAGACTGTGTACACATCTGGTTTGCCACTATTCTCGCCAAGTGTTGTATTCAGATCCTTTTATTTAGAAATTATATGGATTCTACAGTTATATGGGTGTGTGGCAATACAGCTCAGAACACAGCAAGGTATTCATTCAAACTCTCCATTGGAAGATATTCCACCACAAATGCATGCAGGTTAGATAGATGTGGGTGGCTTGTGAGAAATTAAACCATTACTCCTGAGCATTCTAGGGAAGGAAACCTTTATTGATTAAATCATCCCTTTTCCCATCACCCCTCTCCCTCTCCCTTCTCCCTTGTTTGGCATCTGACCTCATCATTGTGAAGCTCTCCGAGACATTAACCTACAACAAAGAGCACTATCTAAATTGCAATTTGTTGTTCTTGGCCCCAGGTATGTTAAGAAGGACTTTCCTCTTCAGTGTCAGTATAAACTCTTTGAACTGTAATCATCTTCGTTGAAGATGGAGATGGAAGCTTGAGTGGTCTATGAGGTCGCAAGGCACTACAGCAGTCCTTCAACGAATCTGTGCCACAGAATAAGAAGATACAACTCTGGTTTCCATTATTCCCAACCCAGCAATCTTACCTTTAACATTAAGGGTATCAAACAGAAAGCAATTTTGCCAACACTCTTCCTCTTAGTCATAATCCTTACATTTGTTATATACAATACAATAAATTGTATTTATATAGAGCCTTTCAGGAGAATGTCTCAATGCACTTAATCATGTTATCAAAACATGTCAAATCACTTAACAGAATTCACCGTAAAGGGTAGTGACTATGTATTTTGTTGGCAAACACGGCACAAAGCAGTGCCCCATAAACAGCAATGAAGTGAATACCAATTTTATTTGGGGTGATTATTGGCCTGGACATCCGGATAAATTCTCTTCTCTTTTCCAATAGTGCCATGAAATCTTTAATGTGAAGATTATCTCTGACTACTCATGTGTTCCTTCTATTCTCATCTTGCGTCGTCAAACTAACAGATAGCTAGAAGCAGATGATGCCATTTAAGCACATGATTGAGCTAGACTGGTCACATTGTGTTCATTGTTTTAGCTCAAACGAAGAATGGCCACAAGGTAAAGAATCAGAGAACCATCATTGTCAGTTGAAACTTTACCAAGCATGAAATTACTAATCTCAAATGGATTGTTGCAAGGAGAGGAAGAGAGGTGCTTCCTTATATGAATTGAGGCAAGGAAGAAAGTGTCCCTTATTGCATTCTACATTCAAATTTCTGCAATGTTGTCAGTGTGAACAATACACGCAGAGCAGGCACATCCATAGAACATTTTTATCACTGATAAACTATGGATTTAACAAATCATTTAACAAATTTGAAGATTTCTGCCCCCTACATTATGTTTAATATTACAGGATCACATCGCTAGAACAATAATATAATAATAATCCGTGCATTTGATATCGTGCCCTATCACGTCATCAAGACATCTTAAAACACGTGACAGGATTCCTGTAAAGTGGTTTTAACTGTGTACTTTGTGGGCAAAACAAGGCAGTCAGTTTACACACAGCAGTGTTCCACAAACAGCCATAAAGTGAATGACAAGTTTTATTCGGGGGGATTGTTGACCAAGACACTGGAAGAAACTCCCTTCTCTTTTCAAATATTGCATGGGATCTTTAATGTCCATGTGACAGAAAGGACCTCAGTTTTAACATCTCATTCGAAGGACGACACCTTCAACAATGCAACACACTCCCAGCACTACATTGGAGCATCAGCTTAGACTGTGGGTTCAAGCTCAATGCGGGACTTGAAGCCACAACCTTCTGATTCAGAGATGAGAGTGTTATCGTTGAGCCAGGCTGACACACATTGATGCACCTATCTGGGATTCAACCAAGATTAGATATCAGAGTGAGGTGCGTGGACGATAGATAGCATGAGTTCTATTAAAACGTTTGTGCACGAAGGGAGAGGTTTTATTATTGTTTGTTATGTTAACACAAATGGGAATTCTTTGCTTTTGCTCAATTATTTTACCTTCTGCCTCCTCTGAAGGCAGTGACTCATGTTGACATTAGTTGCATGGCACCAGTCGACCTCCGGTACCTCGCCCAAGTGGTCGATCTGGACAACATGTGTTAGGAGCATCAGTTGATCTCATGCTTATTAGCAGCTGTGCATGTATGCGGTGTGTGTGTGTGTGGGAGGGGAGCGGTGGATAGACAAACCAAGCCACATCCTGTAGAATGTATGAGGAAGGGAAGTCAGAGGATATCAGGAGTCTTCAGTCTTGAAATTTTAGTAAAGTATGAGTTAGAGTTGGAGACGATATTGATTTCAACAGAAGGAGAATATGAAGAAGAAAAAGATTGTGTAGTAAAGCATATTTGGAACTCAGAAGACAGTATGGTTGGTTATAAGTGCGATATAGAGAATACAGATTCCATCCAGTCTGTTTAATTCTGCATCCCTGTGCATCAGAATTCAATAAAAAAACAAATCATATGAAATTACTATCCTCCTCACTATGGGAACAGGTTTCCTATAAAACTCTCCAACTCCCACAATGATGTTCCCAGCTCTATAACCACAACATAAGATAATCTTCACCGTACATGTTGGAACCATTATTCAAGGGGAAGTGATACCAGTCAAATTAGCTGATTTCTCATGAACTTCAGCAGGGCGAAATGTTGGGCAAGTTTCTTTACTCCACACACCTGTTTACCTAGCAGTAAGTAAGATAGTTGTATGGGAGATCACTTTTCTGGAGATAATAATTCCTTAAAAAAATAATAAATTGGTCACTTCAATCCACGACTGTTTGTGGGACACTGCTGTGTCTCCCTTGGCTGCCATGTTTCACCCACAAAGTATACAGTCAATTCACTTTACAGTGTATTCTGTGAAGCGCTTTGAGACGTCTAGAAGATGTGATAAGGCGTTATATCAAATACAAGGATTATTATTATTATTATTGGATATAAAAGTATTTGGCAAGCAATCAGTTAATACCGCTCATTGGAATATTTTCAGTGGAACAAAGGTACAATGGTCACAGAGTTAGCAGAGTTAGCACAGAGTTATTAAAAAATAATTAATAGTCAGGAAATAATCGAAAGGAGGTAATGGGACAATTTACTACCGTCTGACTTTATCCACAGATAAACAAAGCTAATTGTGAAACTATTTCTTACTAAAGTTGGGTGGTTTGCGGCTCTTACTTTTGCTATGGTGTTCAGCATCAAACCTTGTAGATGAGTTTTTAGCCTGAGTTTTCTATGGACGACTATTTATAGGACATTTCTGTGCACAATTGGTTACAGCATTTTGCCCACAATTTTGCCCACAAAATACACAGTCAATCCACTTTACAATATATTCTGTGAAGCATTTGAGATGTCTCAATGACGTGATAAGGCGCTATATCAAATGCAAAGATTATAATTATTATTATTATGGTGAGGAGACGCGGGAATCCTTAGTAGTCTCTTTTAACTCTACAATTTAACAATGTTTTGCCTAGAGGCTGATTGTGGCTTTCAGAAACCCCTGAACACATGGTGGCAATTGGTGTTTTCAACTACTGCCTCCTGCATCCTTTTATCTCAGATGGAATTTGTTGGTTAATTATAAAATTAAGGTCCGTTGCAATTACCTCTGCATTACATGCGAGGCTTAAATTCCATCTGGGTCTAAATTTACTCTGTTTGCTTAGCATTTCAAAATGTGCAGAATTTGGCAAAATGTGGAATTCAATCTCATCTTGGAAGGCAGCAAAAAAACTTACAAACAGCTTCAAATTAAGGCAGCATTGAAGAATTTGTCAAACTCTGGATCCTCTGAAATGCTAAGTAAATAAGAGTAAATGTAGACCCAAAGAATCTGTACCCCACGGTTTACCCATGGTGTACAATACACACATATTTTTCACGCAGAAACCTAGAACTTAGAAAGTCTAGAACTTAGAAGAGGTCATTTGGTCCATCATGTCTGTGTCATCGCTATCATTCCCCCCCCGCCCCCTCCCAAATCACCCCTTTTTTTAAATTAATCCGACATTTCAGCCCTTTTTCCAATAAACCTTAATTTCTTTTACTGCTCACGTATTTATCCTATTCCCTTTTGAACAAATCTATTGATCCAGCCTCAATAGCCATTTGTGGCTATGAATTCCAAACCCCTAACAACGCCCTATGTGAAGAATTCCTTCTGACCTTTCCCCTAATATTTCTGCTAACAATCCTGAGACGATGCCCTCTCATCACCGATTTTTCAACCAAAGGAAATGGTTTGCACAATTGGTTTGCGTAATTGACGTGTATATATGGCAAAGTGAGGAAATCTATTACAAGTGAACCATGGAGCCAACAATATCCCACCCAGTGGTCCAAGAATTGATGGATTGGCTCCAAGTTAACAAAGTACAAACCTTTGGGCTCAAAGCCACTCAGTAAACTCAAGGCAATTACTCCAATATAACTGACCCATTTTTGATGTTACTGCCTGGACTACTGTTACTGATTGTGTGCGTAACTAAGTGATCCCAGGAACATTGCATGTCTCAAGCTTTTATTTCTACAATCAAATGCACATTACCCACTAGAAAATGCTTCAGAGTCAAAGAACTAACATGCTTTGGCTCTGTCACCTCACCCAAATGGCTGTTCTCCTTTTGGAATCTCACAATGAAAGTTGGCGCTGGCTATAACATGTCAAATTCAAAATCTGTGGAAAGTTCCTCTGATTTATTGCATTTGGCTTAAAATTACAATACTTGGCTGGGTGGTGGATAAGAATTGTAATTGTGTCAAAATGAAAATCAATGAAAAATAGTGGAGTCCTGTAGCTCCAGTAGTTAGAGCACTCGCTTCGCAAGTGAGAGACCTGGGTTCAATTCCCAGCAGGGTAAAACCGTGAGCAGATTTCCTTACTCCACACGCCTGATAATAATCCCTCAAGAAAAAAANCAATAATAATTTGGTCGCTCAATCCACGCCTGTTTGTGGGACACTGCTGTGCGCAATTGGCTGCCGCGTTTCGCCCACAAATATACAGTCAATTCACTTTTACAGTATATTCTGTGAAGCGTTTTGAGACATCTCAAAGACATGAAAAAGCACTAAATCAAAGGCAAAGATTATTATTATTGTAAATGGACAATTTTGCATTCTGTTAGGTAAGTGCTTTGAACAGAACAAGAACATTACATCTGAAATTGACTCCACTTAGTGAGAAGCGGCATTGATTTCATTTACAACTTTGCCTAACACTAAAAGAATACAATGTACAATAGTGCTATACAGCAGAGCTCTGGATCACCTCACAAGGCTTCTCCTCAGTCAGTGATGTAGTGTATAATGCAAGCGGTCCAAAGTAAGAAAACATTTCCGCCGTTGAAAGCCACTCCTGTTAGGAATAAGAAAGGGAATGTGAAAACTGCAGCAAAATGATCGATTCAATATAAGTATAAACCCCCAAGTCCACAGTCTTTATGTACAGACAGCAAATGTTGGCCATTTGGCATCATAGTCAATACTCCATCCTCTGTGCTGTAGCAGGAGCTCACGTGATAGCCATTAGGAGCCGAACCTTGCCTGACTTATTGTTCTAAATCATCGACAGTAGCTAACGTTGAGTCTTAAACAGTATCACAACACACTAGGAGAGTTGTCTTCCAGCGCACAATGTTATTTATAGCTTGGCACAGGATGCTTAAGTGGATTTAGATAAGCCTGTGTCTTTTTTTACACTTCTCAGAGCTTAGCCAGATCTGTCATGACCGATATCGTCTTGCTATTCCAATCTCATTGTCAGTAATAATAATAATAATCCTTGCATTTGATAAAGCACCTTATCACATCTTCCAGATGTCTCAAAGCGCTTCACAGAATATGCTGTTAAGTGAATTGACTGTATATTTGTGGGCGATACATGTGTGATAATCAAGATGCTTCTTTCTTCCTCTTCAACAGTGAGTTACTCCTGCTAAGGAAAACTGCTTGAGCCTGAATAGTTCCTGGTACCTCATCCCAGTGGGCGATTGTGTGAGAATGAACAATGGTATCAACAATGTGAGAATGAACAATGGTAGTGACTGTATTTGTGGGCGAAGGCTATAGCCAGTGTGTGAACAGCAACGTCTCATAAACAGAGAGTAGGTGAGTTATTAAGCTTGTCTGGAGAATTGTTGGCCAGGATACAGGAAGCAAGTAAACAGTGTTTCCTGCAGCCTCCAACACCTTGGGCAAGGGCAAGCTGAGTTCTCTGTCCATTATACAGGGCAATATTGCACTTGTTACAATGTTGACCCATCCATATGTTCCTCCCAGTTGAGATGAGCTTATTCAGCACAAACCAGGACTTGGATGTGGGGCTGGAGATATCTTACCATTAGATCTTTTATAGTGAGGAATTCCCAATATCAACATGGAAACACATTATTCACCAGTTGTTCTCCACACACACAAACGCACGCACACAAACGTTATACAACAACAACAACAAAATTACATTTGTATAGCGCCTTTCACATCGGGAGGACGTCTCAAGGCGCTAAACAGATAGAGTTACGGGTTGAGGTGGGGGAGGGGGAGGCCAGGGAGGGAAGCAGGGAGATCAAAAGCACGGTCGAAGAGGAGGGTACTTGAAGGTGGCGAGGGAGGGGGCAAGATGGAGGGACTGTGGGATTATACTCACTATTTGTGGACTGGAAAGCAGAGGGAGGTGTGGGAGGTAATATGCCGGGCTCAATCCCATCGATCACTGATTGCAGGCTGCGCATCTGCTCTGCGTTCAGTGTTTGTCGCTGTGATGCTGTAACTGCAGCTGCATTTTCCACTCCGAGGTTTCCCAACTGTTCAGGAGAAAGCTCCTGACAAAAGGCAAACCAGCATATCCTGAATCCTCCTCCCAAGAAGATTAGAAAATCCCTAGTTATCTGTGTGATTGAACTCACAAGTTTATTTTGTTACTAAGAGTAACCGGGACTTTAATTTGCATCTGGAATTACCCTTGTGTCCTGACGGTTTATCTCCTCCTGTTTTCTCCCCTCTTCTCCCGAAGGCATTGGACTCCTTTTTCCTTCTCAAGGGGCGCAGCTCGAAGGAACCTCCCCCCCCAATGTACAACCCACCAGTGCCCACCCAACGTCTCCATAAGACCACCTACCACCAGGGATCTCTGAATACTGCAGTGATAACTTTCCTGCATGACTATCCTTCAGTTAACCATCACTATAAGCCTGTGTATTACACCCACTGACAGACCCCTTCATGGTGATCACATTGTAAGCTCCACGCTTTACACCGAGCAGCACAGTCCTCCTGTACTTACTGTAAATGTGTGGCTTGGTAGAGCCGCGATTGCTTTGGGGTGAAAGTACGGCATCAGATTCTCATTCAGTTCCTTCAGCTCTTCTCCACTTATCCCAGCTGTGGAAAGGAAGGTTACAGTAAGCATTTCTCACTCGGCAACTCATCTGGGTGAGACACGGAGACACTGAGCAAGCAGTTTCCTGGAAGTGCAATATTCACTGAGTGGGATCAGCAGTTTGCACAGTATTTAATCTCGACACCAACTTTATACATAACATCACTGCAGAGTTACAACTAAGTGCTACAGAGCAGCAAAAACCCAGATTCAATTCCTGATCCATCCTGCATTAGTCACTCCCTATTCAAGCTTACTTTCACCTTCATAATAATAATAATAATCCTTGCATTTGATATAGTGCTTATCACGTCGTTGAGAGGTCTTAAAGAGCTTCACAGAATACACTGTAAAGTGAATTGACTGTGCATTTTGTGGGCAAAACGTGACAGCCAATTGTGCACAGCAGTGTCCCGCATACAGTTGTGGATTGAGTGACCAAATTATTATTATTTTTTATTTCTCCCAGAAAAGCGATCCGCCAATCATACATGTCAGGAGCCCTTGAAAAACTCACTGTTTATGATTGGGGAGCTTAAACGTTCATGAATTGCTAAACATCCTTTCCATCTCTTTCTGTGTTGGGAGGATCTCTTTCCGTCCATTCTGGGGTTATGGGGTCTTTAATGTGCCAATAGCAAACATGGATGACTTTTCCAATATATTCCCACCACAAACACAACAATAGATAGCTAATGTTAAAAATCTTTGTGATAGAACTGCCACCCAATCCAATTTCTCTGAATTTTGAAACCAGTTACCAAATCACTGACCTGCCACTGTTCCAACTTCTTGGAGAAAAAAGTTATACGATTCACCCCCATTTCCGTAAACACTTCTTGCTTTTTTCCACAGTTCCCGTAACACCTCGGCTCTGCAAGAGATCTCACCAATCCTGGCAGCTGCAGCACTGGACAGAGCAGTGCAAGAGTCAGCCCATAATGCACGAATATTTGGAAATCTCCAACAACTACAAGTTCCACTTATAGAGTGTATTTCACATAGGGGGACACCTCAAAGAATTTTTTGAGATAGATTGAAAACTTGAGCAACAACAACTTGTATTTATATAGCGCTGCTCACGTAAGGTAGTGTAACAGAACATTTGACAGTGGTGGAGCACGTCACCAAACCGGGGGAAGATGACCATAGGCCCGGTCGAAGAAGAAGGTCTTCAAAGCTGATCTGAAGATGGGAGAAGGATGGTGCAAGGCGGAGGATTGAGGGAAAGTGTTCCAGAATTTCAAGGGGGTAGTAGCTGAAAGTGCAGCCACCGATGGGGGAATGGAGAGCACGACAAATCAGGACAAGGTGGGAAGCAAGGTGGATAGGAGAGAATTAACTGAAGGCAAGTCAAAGAGGTAAGTTTTCTGAGGGGTCTTAAAAGCAGAGACCAAGAATGTGTGATAGAAAGATTTGGGAAGAGAGTTCCAGAGTGAAGAACAGCTGTTGAAAATTTGGCCACCAATTAATAATACCTATTTATGACACACCACTGACTCACAGGATAAGAATAATGCAAAGAACACCGACAGTTTCACTGATAGACACACTTGGTCATTGGCTCGCTTCCATTCTAGACAATGACATCTATGAAAATTGATGCGTGTCAAAATACCAGAATGGAAAGGTGTAACAGAGGAAGAATCTCTGACAAGCTGAGACACACAGCCCTTCCCTACTGTGCCTTGTGCACAGTCCTGAAGCGCTGTTTGAATACCTGTAAGCTGCAGCACTAAGGGAGCTGATCTGTTCACCGTTCATTTCACACAGGCCTACCCCCAACCCGACCAAGTCCGAACCCTTCAGAGCACCAACGCTCTGCCCAGAATCATGAAGGAAACCTTCCAGCAAGCCCCGAGCCTGAGAAAACAAAAACACAGCGGCCTTTTAAATAAGTGACATTTTTTAAAAAGATTGGGAGACTGTGGAAGGGAGTCCATAGTCCTTATTGTGTACTATATAGTCAGCCCTTTCATCTCAACTTCAGGAACTCAGTTCCACTAATTTATTTATTATTATCAATAGCAATAATAATTTAAAACATAGCTTGGATTTATACAGCACCTTTCATAAAGATAAATATCCCAAATGGGCTTACAAAGTATAATGAAATATAAGTGAATGTTATACAATATACAAATCAGCAGCTAATCTGCATAAACAACATCCAACAAAGAATATTGAGATGAGGAAGCGTTTCAAATGAATTTGGTGTTCGATTTGAATTAGGAGAGGAACATGAACCAGGTAACTGGGTAACCAGGAGAAAACATTTTGTTTCTTTGGAATAACTACAATGCTTTACAGACACCTGAATCACAGGGCAGACGGAACCTAAAAGATGAAAATGTGAAATGCAGTTCAATTAGATTTATCATCAATTATCAGGTTAGATTCAATTATATGTTGATTCTAACAAAAAATTGACTTGACCAAAGTTTAAGAGCTGAGTCTCATTGAAGCTCTCTTATCTGCCCCTGATCCTGTGTAAGTACAAAGAACCATTCTGTGGCCCAGAACTGTTTCCCCACACAGTTTATAAACATCATAAAGTGAGATATTTAGACTGCCACTTTGCACTTTTTTATCCAATGCAGAATGAACACGACAGCGTTCCACGTTGTCTCAGATTAGTCATCATTGCAATAGATGTAACACCTCATTAATAAAATCAATAGGTGATAAGGGAGCGTCCGTAACTTTCAAACTAGCAAATAGTGGTGAGTGAATGGCAGTGAGGATCTTAAAGTTTCATCTGTTCTTCTGGGTCAGAATGAATGCTAATCTAAGTAATCTAATGTTTCTCATTATAAGTGTAAAAATAGTAGAGCTTCCCTCAGTGTCTCAAAGAGTAAAAATGCATTGTCTTTCTGACAGAACCTGGGACCTCTCACTTGCTGATTGCAAAATAGCAATCTACAGTATTTATTGTGGCTTTAGAATGAGATTTTCCAATGAAGACATCTAGAGGGTATAGGCAAGCTGCACTTCACAACCCTTTAAAATGTGGTCAAAAGGTTTACAATAAGGGGTCCTGCTGGGGAGGGTGAATAGACACTTTCTGTGCAGCGAATTTATGTAGAAATGGCTATAATAATAATGCTTGCATTTGATATAGTGCCTTATCACATTTTTGACACGTCTCAAAGCGCTTCACAGCATATACTGTAAACCGAATTGACTTTGTATTTTTTGGTCGAAACACGGCAGCCAAATGTGCACAGCAGTGTCCCACAAACATTTGTGGATTGAAGTGACCAAATTTATTTTTGTTTGTCTTTTTAGGGGGATTATTACCCTCGGAAAGTGATCTGTCAATCGACTAACAACCGGGTTCCTAACTTACTGCTAGGAAACAGAGTCGTGTAGAGTAAGGAAACTTACCTAAAGTTTTGCCCTGCCCGGGAATCAAACTCGGTTCCTTTCACTTGTGAGTCGAACGTGCTAACCACTGGGCTAAGATGTTTTGCCCTCCCTTTCCTCACCTCCACGGTTCTGGGAGACAACAGTTCAGAACTGGGCAAAGTGGCTCAGAATACCAAGAGGAACTGTTTGCTCAGGGAGGTGCGCCGTGGGTAACCTCAAGAGAAACTTACATACATTTTTGACCGCGAAGGGTATTGAAAGATGTGTGAGATAGGGGAGAGGGATTTATAATAATAATAATCCTATAATAATCCTTGCATTTGATATAGCGCTTTTCGTGTCTTCTAAATGTCTCTAAGTGCTTCGCACAATATACTGTAAAGTGAATTGACTGTATTTTTGGGGGGCCAAACACCGGCAGCCAATTGCGCACAGCAGTGTCCCACAAACAGTCGTGGATTGAAGTGACCAATTCATTATTATTTTTTTTCTTGAGGGATTATTATGAAACGTGTGGAGTAACGAAAATTGCCCAAGGTTTTACCCTGACGGAAATCGAATCCAGTTCTCTCGCTTGCGAGGCGATTGCTTTAACCACTGAGCTATAACTGATATTGGCCGGATGGACTGCAGTGCTCAACCACAAGTTCCTATTTTTTTAATGTAATCTCATAAATTTCACAGTGAAAGGCTTTAGCCATGGCCAAAGCAAACAAAGGGTAGCGTCTCGAAGCACTTAAAAGTCATATGTACTAGGTATCTGTTTGAGAGATCGCAGCAACCCCCTAGCCCAGTCGGTAATAGCACGACCTGTTTCAGCACCGAGCATTAGAAAGTAAGGTTACAGGTTTGAGTCCTGATGTTTGCTGATTTAGCTGATCTTTGAGGCAATTATACGGTCAATTCACTTTACAGTCCACTCTGCAAAGCGCTTTGAGACGTCGAGAAGCCGTGAAAAGCGCTATATCAAATGCAAGGATTATTATTATTATTATTATATTACAATTGGTCTCGGTGTTCCTGGGCAATCAAGGTGCAGGGAAAAAATCAGCTGCAGTTTACGCTCCTGAATGCTATTTAGTGAACTTCCCTTCCCTGTTGGAAGATATGCTTGTTTGCACTCAGAAACCCTACCCTGCTTGAAGGGTGTTTTATATTGGCAAGTTGTTTTATTTGAATATTGGGTGAGGAACGCTGTGGATCAGGCTCAGCTGTGATGTCCGGAAGGAGGAGTCATGCCTTGGGAGAGAGGAGTTGGAAGGAGGGAAAGTTTAGGGATTTATACACAAGAAAAGACGACAACTGTGGAAGTGCACTGAACCCTGAAGTAAAGTTGGGCTGAATAAAGCTGCTGCTTACCTGTGCAGGTGTCCATTCACTCAGCTGACTCAGGGCAGCCACAGTATCAATGGAGCTCAGATCCAGAGCTTTGATTTCTTCCTCATTTAAGGACAATGCGATGCGTCCGAGTGCAACTACCTGGGAGCTCCTCCAGGTTGATACCGGACCCCACATCTGGTAATAACAAAGGTTTCAGCTTCATGATGTGAAATAGCTTGTCCCCATCCATCTCATCACATGCCAGAAGATGGCACTATTGGTTTCAGTAATCCAGAACAGTAATAAAGGTGACCTTAAAGAGAATGTGAATACTATCACTCCAACCCAAATAGAATAAGTTAGGACCCCCGAATGCTTCATGGTCTTACAACGTAAGATTACACAGAATTTTGCTATCCTATATGGAAAGAATGGTCTATCATAGTTTTAATATGTGGGGAAAATATATAATACAGAAACCTTGCCTTAATGTAACCAGCCAGTACAGTACTTGCGAATGTCTTATGTGTTACTCGTACAAAATCCAAATTATACATAACTTTACATAAGTCATATATGATATATATATGATATGATATAGAAATATGATATATATATGATATGACTTAGGCAAGTTTTCCATAACTCGTACTCTGCATAAGTTATATTAAATGTTATGGTCCCAACTGATACAACTCATGTGAGTTTACCTGACCACAACATGTTACATCGGCCTTATACTATCGCAGTCTGATAGCATTATCATAAGAGCCAGAAGCAAATTGTGTGTCACAGAAGGTTACAATCTATAAAATCCTCTCGACTTTGCTATCCTTTTGAAGATGACTGTTTGATGAATTTAGAATCATTTATAGCTTGAGAACAAGTTGACAAAGATGACAAACAAATGTTAAGTTTCATGAAGGGTTTTGAAAGCAGGAAGAGAAGGGATTTTTTTTTGTCATTTGTGGGCAATTGGCTGCCTCGTTTCACCCGCAAAATACAGTCGCTCCAATATATTCTGTGAAGTGCCTTGAGACGTCTCAGCAACATGATGAGGCACTATATCAAATTCAAGGATTATTAGTATTATTTTCACAGAGTTCCAGAGTGTCGGGACACAGGGACTATATAGGAAACCTATAGGCTCTATCGGAAACCACGAGAAGTTTCTGTGTCTTGTAAAACATACCGTCTTTGCCTTGTCCTTCAGAGCTGCGAGCTGGGTTAAGTTAAGCACGCTCAGCCCTCCGAGCACCTCCACGCTTTGTGTGAAGGCTCCAATGGTCATGCACTGTAGCTGTTGGGCTGACCAATAAGCATTGGCGTCACCCAGTTTTAGTATATGGTCAAAAGAGGGTGCTGTAACACCACTGCACTCTGTCGAGAAAGCAGATGTTTCGATATAACATATAGAATTGTATAACATCATCATACAACATGCACTGCATTCCAGGTCTATCCTATTCACTTTCAATTTAATATACAATATAATAATAATAATAAGCCTTGCATCTTTGATATAGCGCTTTTCACGTCGGGAGGATGTCCCAAAGCGCTTCACAGGACACACTGTAAAGTGAATTGACTGTATATTTGTGGGCGAACGCGGCAGCCAATTGCGCACAGCAATGTCCCACAAACAGTCGTAGATTGAAAATGACCAATTTATTATTGTTTTTGGTTTTGGAGGCATTATTATTAGGCTCTGTGTGGAGTAAGGAAACTTGCCCAAGGTTTCGCCCTCTGCCTGGAATTGAACTCAGGTCTCTCGCTTGCAAAGCGAGTGCTCTAACCACTGAGCTACAGGACTCCACTATTATACAAAAGGACCCTTTTTTTTCCAATTTTCTTCTTCACTCCTGTGGATTAATGATGGGTACTGTTTCACGGACACCAAGAGCCAACTGAAATGTCACCCAAGTGACCATTGTTTATAGGTGACCCATGACGCCAAATGTCTGTACGTTATTCAACCATGGTGGGCTGTGTGGGGGGGAGGTAGGGTGGGGTGGGGGCAATGTAGGTTAGCCTGTTACTGTTCTAACCAACACTCGTATCTTCCAGGAAATGTGAGCTGAATAGTGAGCAGGAGGAGGAACCTTGGCAGATTTTCCATTCTCTAACCTAGTAACAGGCCTTTACTGCTGTCCCCTCTTTGTTTGCTCACCGTGCCTTAGAGTGGAGGCAGAGAACAATTATACAATAACTCTGTGTTAATTTATCAAACAAAGTCACTGTCACATCATTGCCTTCAAGCTGTGTAACAGCTCAGTGGGATGGCCAGTGACTGCTTCAAGGGAGTGGTGCAGATTTGCATAGTTGTATCTTCAACTCAAAGGTCAGGGTATGTAAATGTTTTCTTTGTAACACATAGCTTTACCTGGGCTGTGATCTACGGCAGCCTGGCCCTGCAGCTGAGAATCAAATGGACAACATCCTCAGCTGGTATCTTTTACCATTCGCTTGAAACTGATCCCGTTCACCACCCTTTGTCTCAAACGAATCATTCTGAGCTCAACTTACTGGAACCCTTATTACCCTTTAAACCACTGCGAGGCACGGATGATGCAGCCATAGGCAGCCTATTCGACTTTCATGTAGATTGCAGAGAGTTTGATGTTAACAAACCCCCAGAAGATTAGAAGAATTCGTCCCCTTTTACAGAATACGGGTTGCGTGAGATGGATTCCAGCAAAGCAACACTTTGATTGTGTTAGTTAACACCTTTGATGTTGCACACATGCGTGTTATTGCTGTTGTGGTTAATTTACGTAAGAAGGTGCGCAATGAGGCAAAGCCACTCAGTCCATCAAGGTTGCTCCCTCCACACGGCATGCATACCCAATCTATTGTGGATCACCTCACTCACACGAGCTCTAAACCAAACATTTTGCAGAGGCAAGCAATCAAGCGAAAACTCCAGAGGTCTGAAATTCCATCCAGTCTGAGCCTATCTGACCATTCTTTGTTGAAATTGAACACGTTGATTGGAATAGCTGCAGTGAGAGTGGCCACGATTTCAGAATGGGAAACTCATCCATACCTGGACAGGCAAGTTCCTTGTTGGTTGACTGGACAGCATCAAACACCACAGCAAGAAACTCACGGGGAACTTGGGTCCACTCCTCACCTGATGCCAGCTGGAAAAGCAGATCTGGAAACTAGAGAGAGCGGGGGAAGAAAAACTCAAATCAATTTTTTTATAAAAGTAAGAGTCAAATGTTCCTGACCCACCCAATCGTATTTTTTGTTTTACAGGAATCTCTTCTTGTTAAATCAATTATTTAGGCTTTACACCATTTCAATGCATTGCACTAGTTATGAATTATGTTACGTGCAAACAGTGCAAGAAGTAAGAGTTATGAAAAAAACGACTGGCTAAGCTAGGGCTCTTCAGATTCAAAATGAAAAAAAATCCAGGGAAGGCCTCCCAGAAGTATAAAAGATACTAAACGGGATTAAGTAAAACCAGAGCAATACATACGTCAAGGCAGTAGGACAAGAAGTGTGAAAAAACTATTTTAAAACAGACTCCAGGAAGTATTTCCTTATACAGCGGCCTGGGACTCTACCCCACGTGAAGGGTACTATATAAATGCAAGTTGTTGTATACAGAGGGAGCAGTGGCTAAGAGCAGAACACTGGACACATTTGCTTTAAATGATGCAGTAATGGGAGAAGGTAGGGTAGGTATTTTGGAAGGAGGAGATAAAATGGGTCAAAAGTCTCCTCATTTGAATCACTTTTATGATTTTCTATGAAGTGTAATGAGGAGCCACCCTGATGCATGTTTGAAATGTGTAGTTTTTCCCTAATCCTGGCTATTCCTGAAGTTCAGTTTGGGGCGTGCCAAAAAAAACCAGCCGGGAATCCGGGTCCACGAGAGGATATTGCTAATAATGAGACATGACACTTTAGAATTCAAATAGAATAAGTTTCGGTACCTTTTGAGTAATTATCATCAAGTCATCCTTCGCCAGAAGCGTAACTAATGGTCCAAGATCCTGTATTAATTCAGGCTGCCACTCAGTGGGAGCTCTGAAGAAGAACACAGACTACGCATAAGGTACCACACATTTTGCAGGAATACTCTGGGAGACACTCACTGTCAAACCACACACACATCATCAATAACGTTTTGAGTGAGGAACCAAAGGGCATCCAGTCCCTATGGAAACATTCTCCAGCAGAGGTGACAATAATAATCCTTGCATTTGATATAGTGCTTTTCACGTCTTCTAGAAGTCTCAAAGCGCTTCACAGAATACAGTGTAAAGTGAATTGACTGTATATTTGTGGGCGAAACGCGGTAGCCAGTTGCACACAGCAGTGTCCCACAAACAAAATTGAGTGTCCAAATTTATTTGGGGGCTTATTGGCCAGGCCAGAGTTGGAAACTCCCTTCTCTTTTTGTGTAGTGCCATGGGATTTTAAACATCCACCCGAACAGGCAGATGGGACCTCATCTCATTCGAACGAAGGCAGAGGAGGGCAAAAAATAAAGGCAAAAACAATGAGAAAAATAATAATGATTGGTCTGGATAATTGCAGTCAATAGGCCTCTCCAATCCCTGTCTCACAAAAAATGATATATTCGATCCTCACAAAGTAGCTCTGAATTTCACAGCAGACACATCTATACCAATGAAGACGTAATGTCCGTGTATCTGCTAAGAACTCAATAACCGATTGACATAGAGGCATGATTTATACCTCATCGGAAAGGTCTTGCACCTGGGAGTGTCATGGCCATATTTGTTGGGGGATCTCCTATTGTTGATGAGCAATGCCCGAAACAAGCTCATCACACACGTATGACAGTTTTGCTTAAGGTGTAAAATAGCTCTGTGGCTTCGTGAGTCGCGGAACCCGTAGGTACGCATGCACTCGGACGAAGCCAAGTGGCGGGAACAAGATGGCAGTGGTGAGATGGAAGTTGTCTCTCGAGCGGCGATGCCGTTCCCGGGCTGGGCAGTGCCGTGTCGGAGTTGGGGCCGGTGGCAGGTAACGGTTGGCTGGGTGAGGCCGTGGGGTTTCCGGCTTCCTCCACGCCGTGGCCTAGCAGTCACTAGCCCGTGGAGGGTGAAGCTTGGGGCTCGAGTTTGGGTCTCACCGCTGGGGTTTAGCTCCTCCCCTCTGGAGTTTAGCCCCTCCCTTTATGTATATAATTCCAGAGGATCCCACAGAGGATCAAATTGAGATCCCTGAAGGTTGTGGGACCATTGTACAGGTCATTGCAGAGCTCAAGAACGAAGCTTTCCCGAACCTCAGCCATAACTACACAAATCTACATTCCATCTCGGATCCTTTGGTTGCAAGCTTTGCAGTGACGGGTCGGTACAGCCAGTAAGTAATAAAAAAGCAGAAGAGAGAGAAAAACGCTTAAGAGCCAGAAAAGGTCCAGTAATATTTCATCTCTCGGTTCCTTACCCATAAAATAATTCAAGCTGATTATTAATTTCCCTTCTCTGGTTGGTGCTGAGAGCCCTGCAGGATCTGAAGTGACTGAACATCTCAGCCAGTGCGCTGCGGGAGACGTTAGTCTTTATAAACCCCGGAGGCAAGTCGCAGATTAACCTCCCAAGTAAGTCCACGTCATACTCATCCCGTACTGTGTAGTTCTGAAATAAACACCATTTACAATTTACAGTTAACACATTGATAATTAAGAATTTCCTGCGTCCTCACAGTACTGAAATCAATGCGTTATTATAATCCTGCTCTGTTAGCCTTCGGTCCCATAACTAGGTTTCTCGTAGGAAAGAAGAACATTTCTTACTGTTATTAAACAAATCTTTGCTAATGCTGTTCTGGTTTACTCATATACTTCTTTTCTTTTTACTTTGAGGAACCTGGTGTTGAAATCATTTTTTTTTATTTCTGCACACGCTGCAGTCTCTTACCAGACACTGTAACACTTTTTCCACGATAGTTGTGCTCTTCACTGAGTTCGGGATCATTTCGAGATCAATCTTCCCCTGGGTGATTAACAAAGGGCTGCATATGGAGGGCGGCGCTTTATCTAGATAAACAGCGCTGGAGAGAATCAGAATATTAATTATTATTTTGTGCACCAAATTGCTGTCTGTCTGCCTACAAATTCATCTGACAAACAATTACCCGTGAAGTGTTTGAACACATTTTGATGTTATAGGCACTATAACAAATGCATGATGTTATGGGCATTATATCAAAATGATTTAGAAATTACTTCAACGGAGTGATTTAAACTGCAATAACATAATAATACTTGGACTTGATAGAATGCCTGGAACAACTAAATGTGTTCAAACACTTCACAGGAAACATTTGTCAGGTGTATTTGTAGGCGTATTTGTAGGCGAACAGGTAGCTATTTAGCACAGCAATGCCCCTACAAACAGACATGCGGTGAGCCACCAATTTATTTGGAGGATTATAGGACATGCATCAATGGACCTGTTGCTTATCCAGATCAGAGAGAGAGCTGGCTTGAAGAGGCAACATGCTGAACACTCATAATGTGGATGACAACAGCAACAACTCAGATTTATATAGGGTCCTGTATGCGGGGTGGTGCCCCAAAGTGCTTTGTACCACAGAGGACCATAGAAACAGGAAATCATTCATGATTCCCTGATGCTCACAGTAGTCTGTGTGGGAGTAAATCAACCACTTAAAAGGTTAACAGGCTCTTTTGTTCCCCAGCCTCCTCCCTCTTCTGAGAACGTTGACTCATGATGGGTAGCATTCCTTGAAGGGTCTCTCTAAGATCATCCAAGGTGCCAGTCTCATTCCAATCTCTGATTGAAAGATCTGGGGATTGAAATTGTAACCTTCTGACCCAAAGGCAGGATTACTACCAATCGGTGATAGTCTGACAGAAAAGTAACATTAGCTGTTAAATCAGTCACAGATTTTAATGTCCACTGGCCAACAAAGGCTCACCAACTGGCTGACAGTTACAGATACTTAATGACTTACGGAAGCGCATGTAGGAAGAGAGCTGGCACCTTCAGTGGAGTAACGTCATGGTATTTCTGAGCCAGGCAGTGTATCTGCAACATTAACAAGACATCCTATTGAATCCTTGATCTGTGCTGAGTTAGGGGGGCAACAGTTTTTTTTTCTTCAAATCCAGGCATTATAACAGACTGAGAATAGATTGAAACAAGATATTTATTAACACGAGTACAGCACCTGGTGGGGCGACAGGAGATGGAACTTCCTTTGAAATATGTCAGTAGTTTGGAGAAAGGTAATATTGTTCAGGGACTCGATGTGTTCACACGTTAGGCCTTTTATTAGCTCCCCCACACTGAAGGAAGAGGAAAAGGTGAGCGAATCGAACAGTGCATGAGGTGAATGGTGCACATAGAGCAGGCAGAGAGAGGGTCCAAGTCAAACATTTCAGCTTGTAAGTGAGCGTGAGCACTCGCAGAGACTCGCAGGAAACACCAAGTCATTGAGGTTTCTAGTTATTTATCAAATGAAAAATATACATGACTGACATATGAAGAAATAGCACTTCTTACCTTATGATTTTAGGTATAGGCTTCTGGGCAGCTAGAAGATTAAACAGGTACAAAGCCTACAGATGATGAGGAAGAATTTTCAGTTGTAAAGTGAGTATTAATTCAGGAGGAATGACAGCAACATCACAGCAGCAAATATTACAGTTTCATGTTCTTTGGATCACAAGAGATGGATGAACCTTGAGTCTGTTTGAAACATTCTTCCCAAATTCCAACCCTACCTTCTTCTCATTACAGCATTGAGCTGCTTCTTAAATTACTTCAGTCACCTGGCTTCAACCACTCCTCTTGGTAATCCGTTCCAACTGCTGATTACCCTTTGTGTAAAGAAATACTTCCTGGTACCCACCTTGAACTTGCCCTTCACAATCTTAAACTTCTGCTTTCTTGTCCTGCTACCGTCACATAAAAATGTTGTTCTCGCTTCACTTATGGCATCTCACTCGTTTTTTTTATCCTCTGTAAAGCCATGTCTTTGAAAGGCTGAAGAGCCCGAGCTTGTCAAGCTCTCCTCATGGCTTGCTCTTTTTATCCCTCCCTTGCCCAAGGATTAGTTGTTATTACTGTCACACCTCCTGACTCAGCAGTAACCAGAGATCAAAGCAGGCAACTCCCTACCCTGCAAGCCTCTTTCACTTTAGGCAATGGTTTCACCAAGTTTGTCATACAGAAAAAGCTGCCAAGAATGGATGGGAATATTGAACTGACCTGACTTCTCCTCAGCTCCTTATTGTGAAGAGAGGAAATGTTGAAGGTCTTTATTTTAAGCAGGTTGATAAGAGGCACCTCTTTTAAGAAGGACCCTGGAAAGAGGTCCAATACAGAGGAGACATCTTTGCCTTCAAGAATCTGAAAATAACACGGAATAAAAGGATCAGAAACAAGTAACAGCAACAACTACAATGAGTTGTGTACAAAGTGTCACCTCAAAGATAATGTCTGTAATAAGCCAGTCTATCACTCATTGGCCACTATCAATGGTTGAGCTTTCAGCCACTGTGTCTTTGGTCAATACTTGCCGAAGGAAACTTGCCTAAGGTATTGTGGGGTGAAAACTTAGGCAAGTTTCCTCACTCCACACGCCTCTGTTTACCTAGCAGTAAGTAGGAACCCAGTTGTTAGTCGATTGGCGGATCACTTTTCCGGGGATAATAATCTCTCAAACCCCCAAATTATAATTTAGTCACTCAATCCATGACGGTTTGTGTAACACTGCTGTGTGCAATTGGCTTCCGTGTTTAGCCCACAAAATACACAATAATCCACTTACAATATTCTATGAAGCGCTTTGAGACATCTCAATGAGTTGATAAAGCACAATATCAAGTGCAAGGATTATTATTAATTATTATCATTATTATCTTCAAACTCAGTTTCATCCTATCCTGCTCAGTTTGATTGCATAGGAAGATGTGTTACCTTAGTGATTATCGCCAGTCGCTGAGTTGGTGTAAGTTGTGAGGCTTGCTCAGATAGCATCCCTTTTACAGCTTGGGACAGGTTACCAGCGCTCATATTGTAAAATAGATCGGAGCCAACTCCGGGTACCAATGTACTCAACTGGCTGATGTTATAAAGTGACAGGTGCTGTGGAGAGCAAACAGGATCATCAGTTGAACCACTGAGCTTGTTCATGATGGTGCTGGTGCATTAGGGCACTCCTCTAGGATCAGGGTTAAAGATATTGGGATCTGATCACTCACACCAGTGAATATTTAATTTCAGCCTTATTACAGGATTCATCAATGTGCACTACTTGGCCATTGATTAAAATGTTTGCAACGGTCGGTGTTAGAGGCTCATTATTAAAGGAGATAGAAAGTGTTACTCTGACTCTAGGATCCTGAAAATATCCATTTCCATAACTAAAATGAGTACAGAATGTAAGAGCTCCGAGTCACTATCTGAAGGGCGCTGCATAAATGCAAGTTGTGGAAGCCTGTAGATCAGTGGTTAGAGCACTCGCCTCACAAGTGAGAGACCTGGGTTCGATTCCTAGCAAGTTCCTTACTTCACACACTTGATAATAATCCCACAAGAAAAAAACAGTAATGAATTGGTCACTTCAATCCATCACTGTTTGTGGTTTGTGGGACACTGCTGTGCACAATTGGCTGCCGCGTTTCACCCACAAAACATACAGTCAATTCACTTTACAGTATATTCTGTGAAGCGCTTTGAGATGTCTAGAAGACTCGAAAAGCTCTATATCAAAATGCCAGATTATATTATTGTTGTATAAAATTCTGCAGCATCCCCCCAAAATAATTACATGCGCACATTTACAGCATCCTAAACAGGTCCATGTGCCACATTCTAGTGTATAGGCGGAAGCAATAGTATGAAATTCTTATAAAATATTTCATATAAAGCACTGCGCCTCAGTTATCCTTGTGTGTTTGATTGCTGACCTCTGAAGACTCTGAATCGTTAGTTTACCATTAAGTTTTTGAGTATAGTTAGTGCAAGAGCTGCCAATTTTTCCCCCCCCTTCTCCCAAGATTCTCATTTTCTTCCAAGTGTACCTTCTGGTACCTCTCTCTCATGGTTTGAGTGTGAGTAGGCTATTCATCTGTGGGGCTTCTTACCCTGAGCCTAATTGTTTCCTCACCTGATGTCCACATTCCTTCCAACAAACTTCTGAATAGCGTTCAGGAGTGGAACCCTGTATAATTTTCCCTTCTCTAACCAATTGCACTGAGACCAATTGTGGCCGTATTGTCTCAGCTGTGATCAGCTAATTCAGCTCAGTAGGGTCTTGAACCTGCGACTTTCTGTTCTGTGTAGTACATGTATCAAGGCGGCCCTTGGAGAAAGCTTAGTAGAATATGTTCAAAGTGTTACCATCTTACCTTGTTGTTCCCAAGAAATTTATTGACCAGGATTATCATCTGGCTTTGTGTCCATTCAGTAACTGCCCCTAAGATGGAGATGGCATTCCGTACAGCCTGTGATGACAGTGACTCGAGCTGATTAGAGGTGAGTCCAGCAATAGCATCCGACAGGGTGACTAGCATGTTGTTCAGAGTCTGGTTCCTCAAGGCTACTCCAAGCAGCTGGGATTTCAGCTAAAAGTAAAGCAAACAAGTCTTCATCTAAGCACCATACTCTTACCTAACAAAAATCTATCCACCTCAGTCTTGAACTGATCAAGCATCCACAGCATTTTGTGGAGAGAGTTCTGGATTTCTATTACCCTTTGTATGGCGAAGTGCTTACTGATTTTACTCCTAAATGGCCTAGCTCTAATTTTAAGATTATGTCCCTTTGTTCTGGATTATACTCCTCAGGACTCTTTACACTTCCCAGGAACCCAGTACATTTGCAGGCCCCTACACGCTCTTCGGGCCCCCTGTAGATTCTCTGGAATCACAATCACGTCCGCTCCTCAGGTACCTGTTTAACATCAGCTTGAAACGTCCGAAGTCGACTGCACTTTATCATCTGATGGAGCAGATTCTGAGCATGGACAGCATCCAGCTCCTGCACATTGTGGTAGAAACACACCAGGAGGCCCAGCCTGGAGTGAAGAGTGCCAGAAAATGAGCATAACATTCACACACTTTCATAATCAATCCTAAAAGGTTCTTTCCCTGAACCATTTACTTACAATCTTCCTGGATATATATATAACTGTATGGTATCCTGTAAGACTGTTACTACCCATGTGGCCATGTTCCATCCCCATGGTACTGTGTTCCATCCCATGTAGTTATCCATTGATCGCAGGTAAAGGTGTGGACTGTTATTCAACCAAGGATTTTCACAGCCAAGCTCCACTCGGTCAACAGATACTTGTGAAGCAAGAGTATTAGGGATGTGGAGAGAAGGCAGAAAAATATAATTGGAAAATCTGCCATGATCTAATAAACCATGGATTGGCTAAATGTCATCCTCCTATTCCTATGCGTTCCTCACCAAGCCCTACACAAACATCAAGAACAGGATTCTTATTGGACAACCAGTTCATAGCATCCTCTCTAAAAGAAATACTTTAAATAATGGTATGATGGCAGTGTGTATGTGTGTGGCAGTGGTATAACTAGGAATAGAAATTTGGGTGGGCACCAACTTATGGTGGACAGGCAGTGATGAAATTTCCATTGCTAGCTACACAACTATATGATACCTCCCACTCTGGCTCTATTCACATCGTTCTTCACGCTGTGATGGGAAGCATGATGGAGCAGGAGGTATGAGGCAGATGAGTGGGCCTGGGTGCTAATTGGGTTGGGGGTGGGGAGGTGGGTAAGCTTACCAGCTTGAATGCTGCTACTTACCTGTACACTGTCGAGGTGTTTGTCAAGTCAAACCCAGACGCATTGATCCTCTCCTGGAAAGCTTTGGCCGTTGCCAGTGTGATGTCATACACAGAGTCCATCTGCTTAGTCGCGTTGTCGTAGTTGATAAACAGTCGTATCTGTTTAAAAATAAAACCCAAGTCAACGGGAAATGAATCCCGATCATTTACAGTCCAATTTTCCTCTTCTCCCTCTGATGGGGAGACCATGTGGAGACAGGGCAGATTGTACACATGGCTTTTAATGATCTACGGACATGTTAGACATCTGGTGATATCAAATGCATTGTCAGGGGCTAAGTCATTAAGCCCAGCACCCGTCTGTTTTGTGGCTCAGGTCGACATTAAAGATCTCATGCTGCTATATCAAAGAGGAGCAGGGAGTTCTCCTGGAGCTATTCCAATATTCCTCTCTTATCCTAACCCCACAAACAACAATTCATCTCACTGCTGGATGTGGGATGTCACTGGTTTAGATTAGTTGCTGTGTTATCCTACATTACTGACTGTCCTTATATTTCACAATAATTAATTGTGTGAAGCAGTTTGAGACATTATAATATATGGGTATTGTTACTGTTACTAACTTTGGGCTGGATGGCCTTCAGTGTCCTTTCCAGTTCTCTCTTCCTAACACGGGAGCACAGAATACAGACAAAGATGAACACAGACATAGAGTGCAGACCGAGGCACAAGGCTCAGCCAAAGAGTACAGGCAGTGGGGGCTATATAAATGAAAGTTATTGTTGTATATTTTGTTTGCAAATCGTGGCAACCAATTGCGCACAGCAGTGTCCCACAAACAGTTGTGGATTGAGGGACAAAATTATTATTTTATTTTAATAGTGAGGTACACATTACATGCCCGAACTCACCTCATGCGGACTGATTTTTTTGATCTCCTCCAGAGGGAGATGAACAATGTACCTCCCCAAAACCCACAGGCTTTCTGCAGTGATCCAAGAGTCTGCTCCACCCGTCTCTGTGGCAATTACAAAGCGGCAAAGAGCGCAAACTGTGAAATACAGCATTGAAAGTGAAATATCACAGTGCTTCAGCGCAGTGGCAAAGTTGCTCTGTGTTGCATTACCTACCCTTGGCTTTGTGAGATTTCTGCAGAACTTGCCTCATCCATTCATACACTGCTCTCCGTGTACGAGCTGACATTTGATCATAGAGCTCCTTAAACACCAAAGCTCTGGAAAAAGTAAGTGACTTTTCATAAGTAAATAAAACAGGATTAAAAAATAGGATTAAAAAANGGACAATGATTCAAATGTTTCATTCAATCTTACTGATCACTAATAATAACTAACAGCTGTTTCCCTTTGTGATCTCACTCCTTTCAGAGAACTATAGAAATGTATATGATACAGTAGGAGGTTATTTAACCCATTTGAGTGTTGGTGTTTAGTTTGCTCCTCCAAGTAACTATAGAAATATTTGACTGATTGTGTAAGGGGAAATGGGAATAGGAGGAGGTCATTTCGTACAATGAGTCTTTTTCCCCAGTATATAAGAACATGACAGATTTTTTAATCCTTATTCCCCACCTTTTGTCTTTATTACCCTTACTTTACAAAGTACTATGTTCCTTGTAAACATCCTAATTTGTTGATCCATCATCACGGCCTGCTGGGGCAGTGTGTGTCACATCATCACCTTGTAAAACCTCTTGTGAAGAAATATTTTTTGATTTCGAGTACAATTGTACTAGATGTAATGTGAAGATTTGTGCCCCTTTGGGTTTGGGTTGCTCTACCAGAGGAAAGAGTCTAAAAGGAAGGTAAGTAAAATACAATAGCTAGAAAAGAAATCTTGAGTTTGTTCTTACAAAGTCTTAAAGGTTTCATCTTCCAGATCTTTGGGTATACTTGTGACCATGTCCGATCGAAGATAGAGACCCGACGACAGCTTCAGCATCTCTATCAGAAGCTCCGCACAATCAGGAGTGCTCAGGGCTGACACACACTGGCTCCATGTTGCATCAAACAGTGAACGGTTCCCTCTGGACTCTGCAGGATTTGGCTTTTTATGTACCCAAAGTCAATCCTAAGGAAAAATTGCTGTGTAAAACAAGGGACAACATTGCTTTAGTGGACCATTTATTGGAATCATAGAATCTTATAGCAAAGAATGAGCCATTCAGCCCATCGTTCCTGTGCCGGCTATTTGAAAGAGTAATCCAATTAGACCCACTCCCCCACTCTTTCCCCAAAGCCTTGCAGTAAAATTGCATTTATTTATCTATCTATTTTTACTTTTTTTTCCAACAGCTGCTTCTAATACTTTTTTAGCTGGTGCAATCTGTATTTGTAAGTGAATGCGACAGCCAGTTTGCAGACAGTAATGTCCCATAAACAGCCATGAAGTTGTTAGTCGATTGATGGATCGCTTTCTGGGGGGTAATAATCTCTCCAAAAAAAATTGGGTCACTCAATGCATGATTGTTTGTGGGACACTGCTGTCTGCAATTAGCTGTCGCATTTTGTCCACAAAATACACAGTAAATCGCTTTACAATGTATTCTGTGAAGAGCTTTAAGCATCTCAATGATGTGATAAGGTGCGATGTCAAATGCAAGGATTATTATTAATCAGATCCCTGTCACCTCTTTGAAGTTGCTGAGGAGATATTTCATGGCAAGTAAGAACATCGGAGTCTCCATCTGTTTCAGGTCAGCTGCCAGCTGCCTGGGATTCAGGATGATTTCGACGTAATAATCCATCAGTGAACCCTGTGGGAAAGAATGAATAAAAACTAATACTAGGAGAAAAGCATGACAAAACACCTCAAAGCGCTTTACGGGAATTACTGTTCATTGTAGTGATTGTTTTTGTGAGAATCATGTACTGTTCAGTGGTGACACTATTGTTCTTTGTTTTTATAACAATAATAATCCTTGCATTTGATGTAACGCCTTATCACGTCATTGAGACGTCTCAAAGTGCTTTGCAGAATACACTGTAAAGTGAATTGACTGTATATTTTGCGGGCGAAACACGACAGCCAATTGCGCACAGCAGTGTCCCAGAACAATCGAGGATTGAGTGACCAAATTATTATTTTTAATATATTCTTTGAAGGGATTATCACCCCCGGAATGCAATCTGCCAAATGACTAACAACCGGGTTCCAACTTACTGCTAAGTAAACAGAGGCATGTGTGTCGAGTAAGAAAACTTGCCTAAGGTTTCATCCTGCCCGGGAATCGAACCAGGGTCCTCTTGCTTGCCAGTCGAGCGAGCTAACCACTACGCTGTGTCACTCCACTATTAAATAACCAGAATGAAATTGACCAAGTGAGGTCCCTGCAGTCAGAGTTGGTAACATGCAACTTCACAGCACTCTGCAATACAGAGTATTCAGTCTGCTTCTAACTATGTCAGATTAGACAAATACATGCACAAGCACCAATTACTACCATATACTTGTACTTCAATATTATATCATTTAATATTTCATTGGCTTTATTGTACGAACCTGTATCTTTGACAAGCTGGACCCCTTATCTTGCACATATTGTATAATGTTCTTATGATTCTGAAAGATTAAACCTTGCCTGTAAAAGAGACAGCACATCATCAGTACAATATTTTAAACATACTGTTTAGACAGTAGAATGTCGATTATCCGCATGTCCATTTATTCGCATCGGGAAGTGGATGCAAGACTGCGAGACTCCAGCAAATAATCCTGTTGCATGAGAGGTCATTAGAGATCCAATTTAGTTGCTCTAACCAGATAAATCATGTCCCTACTAATCTCGAGCCACGCAGACAAACCCCCAGATGCACACCACAGGGTTTTGGTTTGCTAGAGGCGCAAAGCAAGTCTTTATATTTTTGTAATAGTCTAGATTTAGGGAGAGCGAAAGGCAGAGAGTTTTAAGAGAAAGAATAAGAGAGAGTGAGGGAGCAGGAGGGAAGGGTTGGCATGGTGTGGTACTATAATAGTAGTGAAACGCCTGTTGGAACAAACAAAAGTTACCTGAGATTCCCAATCACCTCCACAGTACCTGAAAAGCAAGATATTCGAGAATAAATCAATGCAAAGACATCAACATTTCTGTCTGAGCGTGTTCCATATAATCTAACTGTTTCAACCTTACCTTCAATATATCTTCTCTCCAGCAACGCATCCTGAAAGAGAGACAGGATTTAGCTGCTGTGTATTAAAATGACTGATGATAATAATATAATAATCCTTCCATTTGATACAATGCTTCATCATGTAGTCGAGACGTCTCAAAGCGCTTCACAGGATGTACTGCAAAGCGAATTGATTGTATTTTGTGGGTGAAGCACAGCAGCCAACTGTGCACAGCAGTTTCCCATAAACAGTCATGGGTTGAGTCACCAAATTATTATTATTTTTTGAAGGGATTATTACCACTGGAAAAGCAATCTGCCAATCGACTAACAGGTTCCTACTTGCTGCTAGGTAAATAGAGGCATGCGGAGTAAAGAAACCTGCCTAAGATTTTACCACGCCTAACCAAGACACCACAGGACTACAATCAAATAAAATTAAGATTTCTTTACTGGGGATAAAAGGGATTCAAACAAATGCTATCACTGACCAGCATTCTTTTCAAAGGCAGAGGCAATCCTGGAAAGAAAACAGAGCCAATATTGAGTACATTTGATTATAATTTTTTCAAACTTGTTTTAATTTCTTTAGATGACTCTTTGGAAATAATTAGTTTTATAAAATCTTCTCTTCGTACAATTATATCACCTCTCTCCTGCCCTGAAGGCACTGGCTCTTGCCGGAGTGTGCAACTAGTAGTTCTCCAGTCCCTCTCTACTGTTACAATAATAATAAAAATATTCCTTTCATTTGATATAATGCCTTATCACGTCGTTGAGACGTCTCAAAGTGCTTCACAGAATATACTGTAAAGTGAATTAACTGGATATTTTGCAGGCGAAGCAAAAAACAAAAATGTTCCTTTCAACACAAATCTATTCTTTCATTAAACTTGCTATTGAAATAAATCTTTCCTGAATCGGAGCTGCTCTGTAATTGACTGTGTTCTATGGTGCAATCGAAGACATACTCCTCTTACTTTCACCAGGGTCTTCATTCAGTGTGAGTGTAATGCAGCCAACATTCAGCAAGATCAGGCACATCCCACACTTTGACAACATGGTTCCACTGAGCCGCAGAGTGTCCAGAATTAAGTTAAAGCTGTCTATTAAAAGAGAACACAAAAGGTTAGTTACCGGAGGCCAGAGATCTTACCCGAGTTAATCTATGACATACTATTTTCTAGCATTTTCGGTGACCAAGCCTTGGCAATTTTTTTCGTTCACAACTGACTTTAATATTAAAACTGGATTTAATAATAATATTCATTTTTTATATAGATCCTTATCACATCATCAAGGCCTCTCAAAGGTTTCACAGGATATACGATATTGGGTATTTTGTGGGTGAAATGTGGCAATTAAGGACTGTCATTCTGAATGCTAAATGCTAAGAAAATAGTTAACGGCTAGATGCAGGAGGAATATCTATCCCAAGAAGCAGATCAAAGTCACCAAGTACAGAATACGATCATATCCCTATGACCTATTTCCATAGGTCACAATCGGCAAATTAATTCATGCTTTTTGTAAACTTTGATTATCATAATCCTTATGTTTGATATTATATCTATAACATTGACAAGTCACAAACTGCTTCTAAGATGATTGCTGTCAAGTGTGATGACTTTAGACACGCGGAGACACTATTTGGCACAATCCATCGTGGAGTGAATGATAATAAAAATCCTTGCATTTGATAAAGCCCCTTTCACTTCTCAAAGCACTTTACAGGATTCACCATAAAGTGTCGGGATTTGAGATGCCCAAATTTATGCCATACAGAATGTGTCAGGTTTACCCAGACAATCAGAGGGCTCTCATCTGCATCAAGGCACAATTTGTGTCTTACTTTGCATCCAGTGAATAGTTGATGCAAATGTCAATGCAAAGGACAGAGGTAATGTGCTCTCTTGACTAACACAAGACTTAGGAGATCAGAAACGTTCAATTTCAGATCAACCTTGTGGCTATTTTTGGGAATATTGCTATGCAGAAATTGGCTTTCACCGGTGTCTGCAAACACGCACTTTACAAGAAATTACTTTGAAACGTTCAGACATAACCACCATTGTATACATCAAATACAAGGACGTCTCAAAGCACTTCACAGGAACGACTGAAAAGTGTAGTGACGGTGCAGGAGAAATAATAAATAAATTATTCTATCTACATGGATTGAATCAAGTTCTCAGCCAGGCATCAAAGCTACAGGACCACTTTAAGCTGTATTCAGAACTCACCTGCAATCGCTTTGCTGTCCAACCTGATCCAAGATCTCAATAAACCTACAAACGTTATCCAAATTTAGAACAGTGTGCAGTTAACAAACTTGCAGCAAAATATCGTTAGCCGATGGTTACGTGGAAGAGAAAATACCTGATTGAAGACCCTGGTGAGATCCCTTTCCAGACAGTGAGTGAGGTGCTTTGCTTAACTCCCGAGGAAAATGTTTTCTTCAGGGAACTTGTGAAAAGCAGGACACTTACTTTACACTTCAATCCCTAGTCAGTGACGTTAACAAAATATCTGATTACAGCTGTTTCCTCATCCCCTCAAACAATGGAATAATGTCCATTGGGGAAAAAAAAGAAGACAGGAGGCTTTCAGAGGATAGCAAAATCTCTGGCAACTTTAAAGGGAATTGCATGTGTCTTACTTCTTTGCAGACACACCCTCCTTTCCTCCCATGTAGGTCAAGGTGTCGATTTCAAGTGAATTTCTCGCCTGAGCAGTTTACCTGCGTGATTAAACTGTAGGAGTGACTCCTTTCTTAAACCGTTTATGGCAATCCAGGGTCATTTAGTTATTTTACTTCTTCCGATTATTTGGAAACAGGATAAAAGCAAGTTGACTTGTAACCTGGCTTTTTTTTCTTTCTGTTTCTGCCATCCGCAAACCACCGTTGTTTGATAACTAACAGTAGCGAGAGAGCCCACTAAGCACTGTGTGTGTAGCTCATTACAAAACCCATTCAAACCACAGGGGAAAATAGATGTACCTTCTTCAAATGAGCAAAAGTTTTAATCTTGAGTTTGAAGGTTCAATGTTTCATCTCTGGTCTGTGTGTTAAACGATTTGATCTCAATTGCTTCAAGCTGCCTAAATGCCCCTGAGTCATGGAACATGTGCTCAACCTCTTCAGAACTCCATAAAGTTACTATAATAATAATAATCCTTGCATTTGATATAACGTTTAATTACATCTTCAAGACGTCTCAAAGCACTTCACAGAATAAACCGTAAAGTGAATTGACTGTGTATTTCGTGGGTGAAACGCAGCAGCCAATTGCGCACAGCAGTGTCCCAAAACAGTTGTGAATTGAGTACATTTTTTTAATGGGCTTATTACCCCCATAAAACGATTCGCCAATCGACTGGGTTCCTACTTACTGCTAGCTAAACAGAGGTGTGTGTTGTAAGGAAACTTGCCTTAGGTTTTGCCTCGCCTGGGAATCGAGCTCTCTAATCAGTATATTTCAGCATAAAGCGTTTGTGAGCTGAATTTGTAGAAAACTGGTTGCTACAAAGGGAGAGAGGAACCTCCTTTCGCTTGTCAGCATTCAAAGGGTTCAATGCAAAGTATGGTATCACCTGTGTGACTGCTGCTGAAAGGGTTCGATGAAGATCGTTCAGTACACTTGATCTCATCCGTCCACTTCCAAATTTCTCAAGCACTGGACAAGGTTGTGGGTTCAAACCCTACGTTGGGAGTTGGAACTCATATCGAGATGTCACTTTAAATGCAGTGCTGGTGGGGGTGGTGCTGCATTGTTGGAGATACTGTACTATCCTTCAGATGAGATATTAAACCAAGGCCCCACCTGCCTACTTTGGTGGACATTAAATATCCCACGGTACTATTTGAAGAGACGGAGTTTATCCCAGTATCCTGGCCAACAATCCCCCAATTAGAATTGGTCATTCACTTCATGGCTGCTTGTGGGATATTGCTGTGCACAAATTGGCTGCTGTGTTCAAGGACAAAACATACAGTCACTATAATTTATGATAATATCTTGTAAAGACATGTTGACATGAAAGGCGCTATACCAATAATTATTATAAATTATTGTTGTTCCAGAATACTAACTTGCCACCTTGACTCGTTGTTCTTCTCTCCTAATTCTTTCCAACCTGAGTGGTCTCCAATGCCTTGAACCTTGAGCCTTCATCTGGGTTTCGCAATTACAACATAAAGCAAACAATAAAGCAATCAAATCTGAGAAGTACGCACATCTGGAGAAAAGCAGATCAAAGAACTAAGAGACGAGTGTTGGAATAGTAATTTATTATATTGATCTTTAACGGTTAATAAAAATATACAAATCTTGTGTTCGGATTTCTCTCTCCCTAGCCCAGGAATGCTGCTTTCAACTGCATCACCCAAACCATAGCTCCAAGTCAAATCATTCTGCCTGCAATGGTTTAGTGGCGGAGCTAACTTCCTTTTTGGCAGAGAATCCCCCAAATGAAACAAATTCTGCCCTCTCAAATTTTAAGACATTGCGGTCTTACTCGCTGAGACTCCGTGGAATTTCAGGAATAATTGTAACTCCTGCCACATGTAGGCAGAAAAATCTGAATCATTCACACAAACCTTACATGATGTGCTATACCACTTCCATATTATAAATCAACCCTACAAAAAAAGCAGCAGCACTTCAACACTCACAGTCTTCATGAAAACTATTGGCCGGAACATTTTCGGATGTTTATGAGGTAGTCTTCAAGTACATTTATAGGCATGTCGGGATTTCTGGGGAAACTGAGCACTTGCTGCATTGAAACAATCACCCTTTATTATACAGCTCACTTTGGATTAAGGAGAAGTTGCTCATGCTAAAGCATTGAGTGCTTACCTGGCGTGTGTGCGCGCTCTTACATGTATTTATGCATACATATATACATCCAGGAGCGCACACACACACACGCGTACACGTGCATTTTCCAGCACGCTGTCACCAGCTCGTGATTTTCCCTCTTCCCAGCCCGGATGCGCCAATCATGGCACCTCTCCCACCTCCGCACAGCCCAGGAGTTCCAACTTTGTGTTCTAGTAACTGTGTGGTTCAGTGTCAGTGTCATGCCAACTGCTATATTTTCCCACTGAGCTATCTCGGGGAGGGAGGGAGGGAGGAGGAGAATGAACCACCAATAATAATAATAATAATCCTTGCATTAGATATAGCGCTTTTCACGTCTTATCAACGTCTCAAAACGCTTCACAGAATATGTTGTAAAGTGAATTGACCGTATATTTGTGGGCGAAATGACACATTCCGAGCTGAGTTACGAAACAACTTCAAATTTCAGTTCATTTTATTGTGAAACGCGATTTCTTTGAGGCACGTGCTTGACGGAATAACCAAGAAAAGACAGTTCTAGGGTTGCACGTGGAGAAACAAAACGCAACCTACATATTATTTGCCGTTAAGTCAGCGAGCACGGTAGGTGATGTGACCACAGTTGTACAAGTTCTTCCATGACTGCAACATAGACTCATAGAATTATACAGCACAGAAGGAGACCCTTCGGCCCATCGTGTCTGTGCCTGCTCCTTGAAAGAGCTGTCCAGATTAGTCCCACACCCCCGCTCTCTCCCCATAGCCCTGCAAATTTGTCTTCCCCGTGTGCTTACCTATCTATCGAACGTGTGCAAGATTAAAAGTTTCAAGTTGAAATGTAAAACAATTGACTTGAACTTACAAGAGATGTAATAAATGGAATGGCTGAAACGCTGAATTGGAACATCCAGCCTTTCTGAAGACCACCATGATTTTATTTTAGCCCAACTAAGCCAACCGTAGTTCAAAGTCTCCATTAAAACTCCACAGAGTTATTTTACAGCAAAACAGGGTTTTAAAAGCTCTTCAAAAAGTAAAGCAGCACCAATAGTGGAGGAACATTATAACCCTGAAACTCCACCCAGTCTCAAGCCTGTAGACTATTTTGCCTTTAAACGTAAGATTGCCCAGAATTGTGGAAAGTCTCACATTTGTCTGATAGACACGAGTCTCAGAATTTGGAAGCCAATTTTCTGTAGTTCTTGAAAAAAATTTCCAAAAGCTTCCAAAATCGACCTTCCACCATGTTATGCAATCGTAAATTTTAAGACAAATGGATCTCACAGGCTAAGAATAGGTGAAGTTTCGAACCTTATAATGACCCAATTATCGGGCGAGTTTTTCGATTAACTACACGTTCTCTGGCTCACGATACAATGTTTAGTCTGCATCTAAGTCATGATTCTCGTTGTACTGCAAGGGCAGCGACTTTCAACCGGGTTGGATCTCAGTCTTGTTTAATTATTTTCCATTTGTTTCCACCACCCCACCATGTCTTTTCACAGGAAAAGAAGCACAAACCACAGAGAACGACTGACATCTGGCTCTGTGCCCATCCTGTTGATGCAGGGAGATGTGAAGGGGGGGGTGAAATAAACATAATTAAATCAGCTTCACATCCCAATGAGGAGTTACACAATTTCCCACAATAAAAACAGGGTGGTTGGCAAATACAGCAGAGTAAGGTAGGTCAGTGGGTAGAGCAGCTGACTGGAAACTGCATGGATTTGAATGCTTGCGTGTCCATTAAACCTCTCACCAATCTGGGGTTGAACTGACTCCGTGAGTCAGGCCCACGGCAACCCGAGGCAAACTTGGGAGGTGTAGATGTGGCCTCAACACCTAGAGGGATCCTGGCCAGAAAAGTCCTGCGGTCCACACAGTCACCCGTTAAAAGACAGCACTTTTCCGTGACATCCATCAAATCAGAAGTGAATTCACAAAGTACTTTTAAAACCCAAAAGGCCCTTAAATTTCAGAACCTTTTCATTACTTGATTGAAGAGTGAGATGAAAAATAATTCGTATCTGTTCTTCATTATTCAGCATTAAGATTCATCCAGTTTCCTTTCGCTTTTTCACACGGAGTAGTGATTTACACCGGCTTAAGCACGAACACCACATCGTCTAAGACATAATAGTCATTGTACAGATCCCCTTCGCAGAGGTACGGCAGCCTGGTGAACGACTCCACCTCAAAGCCGGCCTCTCTGAAGACGTCGCTGCTGAAACTGGCTACTTGCTCTTCCCACGTCAGCCCCTTTATGTCCAGGAATTCCGAAGGTCTGTCCCACTTGCCCCCTGGACCGAGGTACACAGAGAGGAGAAAGGTCAAAATACAAAACCAGAGCAGCAGAATAGAAACACAAACTCAATGGAAATTCCAACCCCTAAATAATCATTTGATTTACATAATAATTCAACTTATAATGTTGCATTTGACGCTGCGTCTATAATGTCAAGCGGGATATTTAATTATAAGTTTTCTTTCGCCTTTTCACACGGAGTGAAGATTTACACCGGTTTAAGCACGAACACCACATCGTCTAATTGCACACAATCTTTCCATTTGTTTTGTGTCCTCCTTGGGCAAAAACTGCAATTGGAAAACAACCACAATAAACTCCAGTAAAATGTTTTTTTTTAAAAAAATGAATCGTTGATATTACCCAATGAAAATTAGAGAGAGAAAAAAAGGATTTCCCTCAACTCTACCTATTGGTGTTGAAAATATGATGAGGCTTTGACAGGAATTAATGGTTCAGTCAACACGTACACAAAAGCTCCACAAAGATAGTGTGATTTCACTCATAACCATAAGTGATCTTGAACTGTTAGAAAGTTCCACTTTGTTATTTTGCAGTTTTGGTCCCTGGACACTCCCTGAGCGGTTAAACCCACATTAGTAAGATACAAAATTACAAGCCACAAAATTTCAATATAAAGACATCAAGAGATCACAAATTTAACAGCCAGCTTCCTCTGCCAAAGTGACTGCTGAAAGCCACAGGAAGCCAGAAGCACAGTTTCACAAGACTGGAAATTCGGAACTCGCTCTGAGTTCTCAATCTGAGCGGCAGCGAGCGGCAGAAAGGAGCAATGTGGAGATGGGTTTGTGCTGGAGAGTTCGTCGTAGTTTTGCTACAAGCACTGGACTTTCACATAAGAGGTGAGACTGGCTTTCATTATAGCAGACTGCTGTCGCGACTACTGGTCACACGCTAGACTCAGACCCTGACAATCTGGTAAAGTACTTGAGGAGTGCTGCATTGTCAGAGGTGTCTTCCTTTGGATGAGATATGAAACCAAGGTCCCATCTCCCTGTTCTTCAGGTGGATGTTGCAGGTCCTTCGACACTATTGGAAAAGAGAAGAGGTCCAAGGCATCCTGGTCAACAATCCTGCAGGTTAATTTGAGGTTTGTCTAATGGCAAAGTCAGAAAAATACAGAGTGTTGTCAACCAGGATTGCCGAAAACACAACTCAGTAGTTAGCCAGGAGCGTGATCGTTGGTCTTGGTGCACGGCTCAAACCCACATCCTTCTAACACAGAGATGAGAATGTGAGCACCTCGGTCAGACGGTCACTTGGCCTGACTAAGTGTGACTTTGGTTCACTTGGGAACAAACGTGTCTTCTGTGTCAGAAGGTTTAAGTTCAAGCTGCAAATTCAAATGGGGACATGAGCTGATTGTTAAGGCACCGCTGTGCAGTGTTGGTGGTGTGGCAGGGAGGGAGAGGGAGACGGAGGGGAGGGGAGAGAAGCAGGGTGATCGAAAGCATGATCGAAGAGGAGGCTCTTGTAGGAGGCAAGGGAGGGGGCGAAGCGGAGGGGCTGTGGGATGAAGTTCCAGAAGGTGGGGGCATAGATGTTGAAGAGGAGGGGACCAAGTACAGAGCCCTGAGGAACGCCGCACGAGAAGGTGCGGGGGCTAGAGGGGGAACTGTTTGTGGAGATGAAGCGGAGTATAGCTGTTATTATCAAGTACAAGGAGTATTATAGACACTTCAATACATTTCGCGACTTCCCTTTTGCTTAGCAGTCGGCTATTTATACACTTGTCCAGTGTTTTACAAACTGAATGACGGGAATTCAACCAGTTGGGAAACTTCTTTCATTTAAAGGAGCATTGGCTTCAGGGGAGGTAAAAACATCTGACAAACATTTTTCTAGTGTTGCGGCATGAGTCATGTTTGTCACAAGGAAAGCACACACAGGCAATGAATCAGATCCCAGTGATCCCATTACGTTGTGCGCCTGTACAAAACCCTAAAAACTGATAAGACAATTATTTAGTCACACAGACAATGTCCCTTCAATAATAATTGAGCCTGGTTTAGAATACTAAGCTACAAGATTTTTATTCGGGAATGAAATCCCCGGCTGTATCTCACTTCTTCCCATCACAGAAGTCCTTGCATTTGATACAGCGCCGAGAACATTGAGAAGTTTTCAAAGTGATTCAACATAGTTTCTGCAAAGTCTGTATATTTGTAGGCAAATGCAGCAGCCACTTTTGACCCAGCAATGGCCCACCACCAGGCAGGTAGTGAATGACCAATTTCATCAGGAGTCTTATTCACCGGGCACGATGCTCATAGCAACACTGATAATCTTTAAACATCAAATAACACTTTAGATTAAAAAGATACAAAGCAAATGAGTAAAGGCTGGTAAACCTGGTAAATGCCAGCAACCAACAATTTAGCTTGTTTTTTTCTTGTGAATTTGGTAGAGGGGGAATATTACACCAGGTTAAGTCCTCTACTCTGCAAAATAGTGTTGTGGGGAGCCCTATGATCCACTTCAACCACCAGAACAGGCCAATTGCAATTCAGTTTTAAGGGCAGCACCTCCAAAAATGCAGCACTCTCCTAGCGCTGCCTGGAGCATTAACTACTAATAATAATAATCCTTGCATTTGATATAGCGCTTTTCACGTCGGAGGACGTCCCAAAGCGCTTCACAGAACACACTGTAAAGTGAATTGTCTGTATATTTGTGGGCAAACGCGGCAGCCAATTGTGCACAGCAATGTCCCACAAACAGTCGTAGATTGAAAATGACCAATTTATTATTGTTTTGGGTTTTTGGAGGGATTATTATTAGGCGTGTGGAGTAAGAAAATAATAATTCTTGCATTTGATATAGCACTTTTCACATCTTCTAGACATTTCAAAGCGTGTCACAGAATATACTGTAAAGTGAATTGACTGTATATTTGTGAGTGAAACGCGGCAGCCAATTGCGCACAGCAGTGTCCCACAAACAGTCGCGGACTGAGTGATCAAATTATTATTTTTTTTAAAGGATTATTATCCCCCAGAAAAGCGATCCGCCAATCGATTAACAACCGGGTTGCTACTTACTGCTAGGTAAACAGAGGTGTGTGGAGTAAGGAACCTTACCCAACATTTCGCCCTGCTGGGAATTGAAACCAGGTCTCTTGCTCTAACCATTGGGCTACAGGATTATATTAGCCTAGACTACAAGCTCAAATCCTGACATGGTGCCTTAACCCACAACCTTTTGACTCAGGGACAAGATCGTTCTCCAGTGAGCCAGCGTGACACCGACTGAAGGCGCAAACTAAATCCTAAAGTGCTATCTGTTTCTGGTCAACAGGTATATTTGCAGAGGAATGTGTGGTGAACGTGAACCAAAAACCTTTTATGGAGCAATTGCTATCTAACAATGTGGTTATCCAGTGCACCTTCACAAACACGAGTGGATGTATGGGTGATCCTGACATCCTGTGGTTCAGACTCAGTGATACCAAGGCCATCAAGCTGGATACCACAGAGGTAACCCAACAAAAGTTTTGCTTGGATGGAGAGGTGTCAAAGGGATTTGCCTCCTTGCAGATCTACAACACAAATCACAATGATAGCGGCATTTACTACTGTGGAGTATCATTCCTTACAAAAGATCCTACAGACAAGTCTAAACAAACAGGAGGTGGCACGATCCTGGTGATCAGAGGTTAGTTAAGTTTCTCAGCTGCTCGCTCCTGAGGTCCGATGGTACAGTATTGTTGAGGCAGCATGTGGTTACTGAGCTGCCAATGAAAATAGTACAAGAACTACTCCCAGATATTCAGTGGGTCTGTACCCCTCTCTGGAGTCTCGCCACCTCTCTTAAAGCCCTTCGTAAGACTTATCTTTTGAACCTCACTTTCAGTCACATTGACTGTACCTTCAGTCACCTTCCCACCCCACCTTGCCCTCCACTCCTCTTGATTCCAACCCCCAGCTCAGGTGGAAACACTTCACTGTCCAGTGCCTAGGTACGTCCTCCCAACGTGAAAGGCGCTATATAAATGCAATTTGTTGTTGAATTAGCCAGTGATACCTTGAATCCTTAATCTCACTCTTATTTAGGATCTGGTTAAAACCAAATTTAAGAATTGTCTGCAGTTCTATGCGACTTTAAGGTAAAAATGGCAAAAACAAGTTAAGATTAGTGGAATTTGAGCCCCTGAATTCTTAGCCATCTTAAAGTAGCTCAACGTTAAACATATGCCATAGCCACTGGACTACTGTAAAGTCTGCATTTTTTAAAAAATATATTTTTTTAAATTTGAAAGAAAACAATTTAATTGCTAAAATGTTTGATAAGGTGTATTTTGACCCTCTTTTTCCAGAACCTCCTCATGCTCCTCAGACCTCTATTCCCCCTACAATTTTCTTGTCAATCTTTAAAAGTGTCAACATGTTTAAATCACTCTTTTTGCTACCTTATTTGTTGAACAATTTTACTTCCAATATTTCTGTAGTTGTATAAAAATGTAAGATATCATCTAAGGCTTTCAAGCCACTCAATCTCTACTTCCGGAAACATCTCAGCAACTGCCTCTTTTCAGCCTTTTGTATGGGAACCGCACATAAAGCTTTCAAAAGATTTAAAATCCACTAAAATGTATACCTCCAGTTTAAGGCAGTTTAAAGGGTAGACAATGAAAAAATTCTGTGTTAATGGAAATTACTAACTTACTCATGATTCCCCTCATCCTGACTTAAAAGATCTGGAGTGTGTAGGCGGCATTTTATATCAAAGAGAAAGAGCACTGGAGAGAAAAGACAGAAACGTAATGGAAATCAGCACAGAATGGGGAAGTGAAGCAAAGGAACAGTATCATTCACCAAAATACTACATTTGATATAGTGCCTTTCACGTCGGGAAGACGTCTCAAAGTGTTTTGACCGTGCATTTTTGTAGGTGAATGCAGCAGCCTATTGCACACAGCAATACCCCACGAACACCCACAAAGTGAATGATCAATTTTTTTCTGGAAGACTGTACTCTGCACAGAGGGGAAAAACCTCTCTTTTCAAATAGTCCCATGGGCTCTTTAACAACCACCTGACCAAATATTATCCAGTCCATCTCCCTGCATCCCTCCCCTGCTTTCTGGGAAACTGACATGTACAGACACAGGATGTCCCTTGTGGCCAAATATCTTTAACATTCACTGGCTAGGCTGATGAAGAATGGTCAAGTTCTTCAGGGGCAGCCACTCAGAGACTGTAGAGACCTCAACAAGAGCTGGAAGAGAAGAAATAACACTAGTATCCCTCCCCATATCGCAATTTCCTGTATCTTGTCTGCCCTGGTTAAGACCAAATTTAAGAATTGTCTGCAGTTCAATGCTGTTCCCCATCCTGCCTGGTTCCTTGAGACATCTCAAAGCGCTTCACAGAATATACTGTAAAGTGAATTGCCTGTATATTTTGTGGGCAAAATCTTGGCCCCAATCCACCTGGTTTTCCAGGGAATGAGACGGTTACTCTGAGCAGAAAGCAGGCAGGAGTCATGAGACTGACGCACATTAAATTACCAGCCCCCTGTTCAGCACTCAGGATCACAGTAATTATAGCCCCGGAGGAGGTATTTTGCCCATTGAGCCTATGCTGATGCCAGCTCTTCCATTGGAGCCATCAGCTCTATTCCCAATTCTCTGTTCTTTTCCTGAAACAGTTTATAACATTAATTCTTGCATTTGATAAAAGTGTCTAAAACATGAAACCATCTCTAAGCTTTTCACAAGGAGTTGCTGTGAAGAGTAATGACAATACTGTATTTGTAGGCAAATGGAGAAGTCAAATTCGCACATAGTAATAATGTCCCACAGTCGTGAAGTGACTGATCAAAATTTCCAGGGTATTGTTTGGAACGATGCTAGATAGTGTTTTCAATGGCAAGGTGTGCAGTTTTAGTTGGATAAGCTCCCAGCAATCCCCTAATACTCCGAGCGTTAGGTTATTGCTGGAAGTTTTCCTAACTAAAACTGCATAGCTTGCCATTGAAAGCACTCTGGGGAATCCCAGACCCTAACCCAACCTGCAGCTAATACTCTCCAGAATTAGGCAAGTGTCCCTCCAGGGAGAGAGTGTCCATTCCATTCTAGACAAAAGGAAATTGTCTGAGTCTGGTTTGGAAACTCTTGGTGACGGAAATCTGCACCTCAGATACTGTTCTGACCAAAAACATTTTGTTTAACAATCTCTCTTATTTTCTTGCAGCCCATGGTGAAATAATCTCAGGGGAGGAGAAGTTGCTGCAGTCAGTTCTAATCACCATTCTAGGTCTATACAGCCTGTGCATCACTGTGCTCCTGAAGGTGAGAGCCTACACATTCATATGAAGAGGCATGAAGCTGGAACAAGAAACAGGAAGAAAGTTTTGGGGGAAAGAAGAATAAATGTTTTTTTCATTTTGATAGCACTTTAAAACAATTCAAATGGAATTACAATCAAGTATAGTAACTATAATTACAATCAAGTATAGTAACTATAATTCTAGACAATTATAGTGCTGAAAAACACTATATCAAATTTGATCAAATCTTCACGACATCTCACAGCACGTCACAGAATATACTGTACATTGAATTGATTGTATATTTTGTGGGCGAAACACAGCAACTAATTGCACACAGCACTGTCCCACAAACAGTCATTGATTGAGTGACCAAGTTTTTTTTAAAGGGATTATTATCTGCGAAAAAGTGATCCATCAATCGACTAACATCCGGGTTGCTACTTATGCTAAGTAAACTTTTATGTGGAGTAAGAAAAACATGGTTAACGTTTCACCCCACCCAGGAATCGAACCCAAGTCGTCTCGCTTGTGAGCGCGCTAATCACTATCACCGGTCTATTTTTTGTAGACAAATGCAGCAATTTGGACCAGCAAGTTCCCATAAAAAGCTATTAGGTCAATGGTTAACTTAACTCAGTAGGTAGCAGTCTCACCTCTGAGTCAGAAGATTGTGGGTTGAAGTTACCATGTTGGGACTTCAGCTCACAGTCAGGACTGATACTTCAGTACTGAGCGAGCAGCATGTACTTACTTGTCTTTCGGATGAAATCTTAAACTAACGTCCTGTCTGCTTGGACACTTCCATGACACTAGTCAAAAAGAGTGTCTAGGCTAACAATCGCCAAGCTAAATTGGTCACTCACTTCATGACTGCTCGTGGGACCTACTGTTTTCTACAAACACATCGTCATTACATTTCATTTTGTCCAAGTAGAAGGTAAACAGAGTCAATTCACTTTCTGGAGTAAATGAGCCCCATCTCCACCAAAAACGTTTAACAGATCAAATGCTTCATATTTATTTACAGCAGTCTTTCTGTTCACAGCAAACGATCAACTGGACAAGAAAGACAAAACTCAGTGCCAAGAAACGAGTGGAGAGAGCGAGCAAGGTCTCGTTGAATAAGGTTAGTGTTTAGTGCGGGAAAAAAAGTTTTCTTGACCCATCTCTCTCGTCAAACTCCCAATTCATCTCCAAGCTTCCCTTTCTTTCCATGGTCCTGGAACAAGTTGTTGCTTCCCAGCTCTTACTCTTATCAATTGATGATTTCATGAGATTATTTATACAGCGGAATTCATCAAAATATTTAAAGAGGGAACGTAATACATACACAAGAGGGAGAAGGGAATAAAGGGATATTGGACAGCGTATTAGGAGGGTGGAGGCTCATGTAGAGAAATAACATTGACACTGGCCAATTGGCCAATTTCTGTGCTGTAAAGTTCTACATAATTCTATATATTAAAAAAACACTGACAGTCTTTAATAATAGAAGTGCAAACCTGACATATGTGAAGGTTTAGAGGTGACTGAAGCCACAGTGGAAGAAGTGGGTCTTTAGGAGGGGTCTGAAATCGGGGTCAACACATATTGTGAAGAATGGGGACTTGGGTTAAAGTTCCAGTTGTCAGTATCTAACTGAGCACAGATGAGAGATCAAAGTTGGGACCTTTCTGCTCTGAATAGCTCCAGTACACACAAGGTATGGAATTTACCCACTGACCTATCATGAGAATCAAATAACTGAGTTTTAATAGTTGTGTTTTAAGGGACCAGAAATTACCGTGAAGGCAGAAAAAAAATGATTTTGCTTGCAATCACTGAACCTCTTTCTCACCTGACTGTTGTCCTATGTCCTGCACAGCACACAGATTTCCAGAGGACCAAATGCTTTCATGCCCTTACAGTGGAGTTCAACAACAAGTACAAGAACCAGGAGGCAGCGTGTGTAAGTATCCGGGAGAACAGAGCATCACGCACAAAGCGTACAGCAGGTCAACTAACATCCGGGAGCCAATGACAGGTTACTGATCTGGGCAGGATACAATGTCCACACCTGAAACATTAAGCCTTCTCTCACTTTCAGATCCAGCACTTTTCCGACTATATTTCGGAATGCCAGCTATAGCTAATCTCAAGAAATAATCCACTCTTCGCACCTCAAAGACACGTAGGGGTTTCGTTAGAAATGTGAGTTGCTGCTCTTTGCACAAACAGAGAACCTTTGTCTTCTCTAGAATCAGAGCACAAAAAGTTTGCTGTGGGGACAATGGGCCACTGAGCCACCCTTCAGTTCAACACTGGCCTTTAGTGCTAAGCAGTGAAACAGCATGCATCCACTAGTGTGTTATTATAATTCCAACCTTAAAATAATCTTTGCATAATATCCGAAAGCTGCTATCAAGCACCAAACCTGTGCATTTGTAAGCAAACAAAGCAGCCAACATGTGAACGGTAATATCTTACAAACAGCAATGAACTGAATGACCAATTTTATCTGGGCGGGATGTAGTTGTTAGCCAGGACTTGGAATAGGTGTTTCTTTTTTGAATAGTCTCATAGGATCTTTAACATTCACTGAACGAGCAGCTATCTCATCTGGAGGACGGCACTTACAGGTTCTCATGATATGGGGGAAGGCATGTCATAAAACTAGTCAGCCACCAGGGTCGCGAAGTAGAGCATTCAAAACAGGAAACCAAACACAAGAAAATAACCAGATATTCTCTTGCAGCTCTGGAGTGATATTTCTCAATTTCTGCTTCTAACGTTGCATTTGGTAATATAGAAAAAACGCCCGGTACCTCTTTTGTCAGTTTCAGTATTGCTTACACATCAACAGAGCAGTGCCAGTAGCAGTCGACAGAGCAATCAAACACCCTGGGGTGCATAGTTAAAGGATTAGAGTGTAAGTCACACGACATGATCCTGAATTAGATCCGTCTGCAGCTTGAGCACTGTGTACAGCCACATATCAAGTATGTTATTCTTAGCCCTCTTATGACACTACTAATTGGGAACGTGTATGCAGGTCTAAGGTTTTTGTGCTGAGTTAGCTGATCTCAGACGAGGTGGCAAAAGGGACGGTACAATTAGTTTCAGTGTGCTTGTGCAACAGTAAGACAAAGGGTAAGTCAAGATTTCACTATTCTGATCATTATTCAGGTGACCCTCGCTAGAAAGTTTGTGGGTTGACAATGGGTGTCAACCTTGGCTGTGGTACCCACCACAGGCACATAAACTGCCTACTCTCACCATCCAGGACACTCACTGTCCAGGTAAACAGATGAGGAACAGTCACTTGGGCGAGGGTCCATAGGGTAGGTCAGTGTCTATGGAGCCTTACTCCAGCATGATTAAATGAATTGAGAGGAGGGGAGAGGAAAGACAAAGAAAGAGATAGCAAAGTACATTATTCTCTTGTGGTACAATAAAAATCTGGAAAAATGTTGTTCTCACAATACAACAGAACCTCACTAATCCGGTCACTCAAGTAACTGGGCAAAAGTGACCTACGTAGTCAGGTGACCTGATTACTGAAAGCGGTCGGGTGATTCAGGTCACTGATGTAATGTTAAGGACATCGGTAAAGGGCAAGTATGATGAACATTCAACAACCATACTTTGCAATCTCATTAAAATAAAGGCATTGCCACATTTAAAACAAAAGCTGTCATGTATTCACTGAAGCAGACAGCCGATCTTTTAACACTGACAATGAAAGAGACTGTGAAATGTACCTGCAATTGTGAGGTGGCTGGATTACTGAGGTGACTGCAAACCGGGTTTTTACTGTGTAACACACTGCAAGGCTATGCCCTGTTTGATGGCTCTCTCTCTCTCTCTCTCTGACTCTTGGCATTTTGCAGGAACATGGGGAAAATGACGGCACCCTCTACGAAAATACGGATCAGATCTATGAAAACGAGTAGGCTACAATCGCCACACAGATAAAGGCAACAGCTTCCATTCAGGTGGACAACATAGATACAAGGATTTACAGCCAATAAGCTTGACCATCAAACACCATGACAGTGCATTGGGAAAGCCACTTTCATTAAGACTCTGTATCTGGAATCTCCAGGAGAGAACCCAACATGCCAAGTTTGTCCCAAGACGCTATACTGCTCCCAAATATCAACAACAATAACAAAAACAATTTATATAGCGCATTTCATGTTGAGGGGAGTGGGGGGGGGTCAAAATGCTTTGAACGGCTGACTAGGAGCACGACCGGTAGGGGGGAGGGGGGCAAGTGAACAAAAACAAATTACAAAAATAAGGCATTGGTTGGGTTTTAACCGTGGAGAGTCCATAGTGACTTTGGGATGGAAATCCAGAGGGCAGCAGCAAAATAGCTGAAGACTCCTCCAAAAAAGGTCTGGTCTCTCTTCTGGCATCTCTCTTTCAATCTTCTGGAAAGAGTTCAAGAAAAGGCTCATTGTTGGATAGCTGTCCCCTCGCCTCCAACCTCTCAGTCTCCATCCAAACCTACCCTGTCTTTCTCTATTGATACCATTCTGGTCACCACTCCCCTGGACATTCCTCTTCTTATTTCCTAACTTGAAATAAGGCAACCTCGGCACTCTTGCTTCTCCTTGCATTCTCATATCACAATACCTATGTGGCATCACCCAATCACGAAGTCTCGATTTTGTTTGTCTTCTCCCTTACTCTTTCCAGTCTTGGTGGTTTTGTGCAGAATGGCCCCCAGCTCTTCAATAAAGATAAACTGCCCAGAGCCAACCACCGACTGACTCTGTCTTTAACGTTAGTGTATTGCCCTACTCTGAAGGATCTCAATGCATTGTCTGTCACAATATCAGGCCGACACTCAGAATCATCAATCTCAGCAGCTGGGACCTCACAAGTCTGAATCCTAACTCATTCAAGTGTCAGTCAAGCACAGTGGGAGCGCTCTCGCTTGATGTGGGTTTGACTCCCAAGTTGGGTCTTGGAATCACATAGTCTAAACTGACACTCCAAAGCGGTGCCGGGGTTATGTTGCACTGTTAGAGGTGCTGTCCTTCGGATGAGACATTAAACTGAGGCCAGACAGAGAGAGACAGACAGAGAGAGACTGAGAGAGAGAGAGAGACACACAGACAGAGAGAGAGAGAGACAGAGAGACAGAGACACAGAGAGAGACAGACAGAGAGACACAGAGAGAGACAGACAGAGAGAGACTGAGAGAGAGAAACAGACAGAGAGAGAGAGAGAGAGACAGACAGAGAGAGAGAGAGACAGAGAGAGAGAGACAGAGACACAGAGAGAGACAGACAGAGAGACACAGAGAGAGAGAGAAAGAGACACAGACAGAGAGAGAGACACAGAGACAGACAGACAGAGAGAGACACACACAGAGAGAGACAGACAGACAGACAGAGACACAGAGAGAGACAGACAGACAGAAAGAGACACAGACAGACACACAGAGACAGACAGAGAGAGACACAGAGAGAGACAGACAGACAGAGAGAGACGGACAGAGACACAGAGAGAGACACAGACAGAGACAGAGAGACACACACACACACACAGATAGAGACAGAGAGACACACACACAGAGACACAGAGAGACAGAGACACAGAGAGAGAGACACAAAGAGACAGGTAGAGACAGAGAGAGAGAGAGAGGGTTGAGGGGTTCTGGTGGGTATTTAAACCCCTTTTGGATGTGCTTCAACTCCCTCCTCTTTCCACTGCCAGAGAGGGGGGGAGAGGGGGAGAGGGGGGGGGAGAGGGGGGAGAGAGGGGGGAGAGAGAGAGGAGAGAGAGGGGGGAGAGAGAGGGGGAGGGGGGAGAGAGAGGGGGGGGGGGAGAGAGAGAGAGGGAGGGGGTGAGAGGGGAGAGGGGGAGAG